ATTCGGATAACGCGAAATCGACACCCTATTTAGCGATGCTAATTTTAAACTTCCGTCTTCCACGGGTATTATAAGCTTGACTTGTTTTAGAATAAAATTACATAGCGATAATATCATACATTACCACAATATTATAGATGATGTTTACGCTAAAGGGAAATAATATATGGAAGTGAAAATTTATCGATTACCTGTTGAAATGTTGCAGTTTTTCTTTTGGACGTTATCTTTTTCACGCAATGTACTCTTTTCCCGTCTTAGTCGCGGCTGCTGTGTTTTTGAGAATGATTGTAATCACCAAATAATTTTTGGCCACCCAATTATCTAGTCCCTGAGCTCTAAATCAGGGATAAATTTACCCTGTGCGGGTAAATTTCGGTTCAAACGAGAATTTCGAATCGCCACCATCTCGCTTGTTCGTCTACGAAAGATCGAGGTGAATCTCTGAATATTTTTATTGAAGCCATATTTTCCAAATCCAATTCTAAAATATGACTCGTTTCTTCCTAAAGAGTTATTGATGGAATAAGTTTTTTATTGCGTGTGAACGCTCAGCGATCTGTCTGAGTGATAGATTCTATGGTTTCTGTAATTTATGGGTCTGGATGACCCATTACAGCAGGGGGGTGTGCAACATTTTTGTCGGTGGGCCAAATAACCAACTTCAACTTCAGGCATCTGGCTGGGCCACACACAAAAAATTGTTTTTCCATGTACACAACAAATTGAAAAAATTCGAGACTAATTAAAAGACAAAACGAATTGAAAAGTTAAAATTGCAGTATCAAAGGCACCGGACGAAACGGCCAAAGATTTGACGCAACGACAAGTGTAAAAAAACATGTATTTTACACTTGTGAGCGCCTTTTTAAACAAACCGTAAGATTAGGATTTTATGTATGGTGCGGAGGGCCACACCCAATGGCTTCTCAGGCCGGTTTGTGACCCGCGGGTCGCCTGTTGCATACAGTAATAAAATCACATATAATTAAATACTTGTTATCATACTTGTAACAAAGACTGTGTGGGTAAAAGTTTTGCATTTTTGGTATCTGGATTCTTATTTTCAATTTCCCGAAGACAATACCTTTTCAGAAATGTTCAAAAGAAATTAAAAAAGGCTGTCTAAATTAGACCACCGCAAAGTTGGCAGCAGATGTCATTATTACCTTTTTGCACCCAGAATCGGGTTGAACTATTGACAACTAGCCCGGAACTACTCTAATGCGTGCGTGTATTGTTTTCATCCGAATATTGGAGTATTGCCCTACTCAAATTACACCTCAGCTTTTAAACATTTGTTTGAATGCCACAATCTGCAAAAAAACGGCAAAAACCAAATCTTTTTTTTTTTTTTACTGAATGACTTGCGTTTTCCCGAAGTATGATGTCACTGACAGCGATACGTTATGTTACCGAGTACAGACACATTCATGCTGGGGTATTCAATATGTGCAATAAAATTTTAATGACTTGTTTTTCTTCTCTTGGTTTGGCGGTAGAGACATCACGACAGATTTATTCAGATCTCTCCTATCACCGTCTTCATATTGCGATCAGTTAATTGCTGGAAATGTATGGAACCTTTGTACATAGCCCCCGTCACTAATGGAAAAATGTGAGATTCAAGGAAAACACCCTCGCCATGTTTTGAAGTAAAAAAAAATCGTAATTACCCAGTTAGGATTCGAAATAATTTGAATATCCAGTGCAATCTGCATTCCTAACCCTAACTGGATAAATAGGAATTTTATTTGGAGGGTTTGGCGGGGGCTTTGTACAAAATATCCGAAATCAGTTCAACTGTCACAAGTTCACAACAACCTTAATACTTTATCGTTTGGATGTTTATCATATTACTAATGGTATACAGTTATCTCATTTGGCTAAAATGTTTTTCACTTACGAAGTACGTGCGTGTGTTATGAATTTCCAGATCGTATTAATATATTAAAGGGATAAATATGAGTGAATGAAGATATATAATTCAAAGGGTCTGATCCATCGCCAATATTAATAAAGCGAAGAATAAGAATTCATAAGAAAAACAAGTATATATCAAAATATAATTCAACGAAAACTGCTTTATAAATGATATTACGAAGAAAATATATATTTGAGCTATTACAAGCGGAGGAATTTAAATGCAATTTAGGTTTATTTAGACGCAAATGTGTGTCTTGTTGTTACCTGCCACGTCAGACGAATTCCCTTCAATAGAAACCACAAAATATAGGAAAAGGATCATAGTGATTATGCGAAATAGTAATTCCTTTCGATTTGCATATTACTCTGTCGTTGTGTGGAATGTTATTCAATATGTGTCAAATATATGGTCTTTCCGATTATTTATGTATCCTAGGATTTCAATAATTGCACAGGTTTTTTAAAATGTGCTACATGTAAAATTACCGCCATAGAACCCTTGCGCGACCCCTTTTTTCGTAAGATGTGTAAAACTTTATTTGTATATTATGCAAGTAGTAGTCTTGCGTCAAAAGGATTGTAAAACGTGATAAACGTGCATATATTATCTATTGAATTTTATCCTTTTCGTTCGAATATAGTCTAAAATGAGAAATTGCAACATAATTAAATTATCTTAAGTGATTCAAGAGTCTTGCTAAACACTTAACTGTTACGTTTCGTCTGACCAAGGTTTCGTAATCTCGACATATAAGTCGAGATTACGATTATATAAATAACTCCACCCAACCTCAAATGTCAAAAATATTTTACTTTGTGGCTTGCACCTGACAGGAGACTAAAAATTCACAGTTTAAAATATTGATTCTGTTTTCGGCGTTGCATATTTCAGTCCAGTCATAAGCACGCCCAAAATCACGTTGACACACGTACAATAACATGTTTGTGTGATGTTCTGAAGTAGGCCTACTGTTGCTACTGTGTCAGTTTTTGATGAAAACTGACTGACGCATTACGTGTTCCCAAAATAGGTTCGCGGGTAAACAACTTACGCTTTTAGTTCATAATTGCCAAAAATGCGTGAGTTTTCAGTAAACTTTTTACGTTGAGTGCGTATTAAGTAATATTTAAAACGCGGATAATCTAATCACAAGCGAAGTTATAATATCGTATAATCGAGATTGAACAACTCAATACCGCCCCTGGTGTATCTGCATACTGAAACAGCAGTGTGAGAGTCGATGACGAGAGATATTGTGCTTCAACCTGCGAGTCTGTTCTCTTGTTTGTCGTGATCAAATTATCTTTGTTAATAAGTATATTGGTAGCTTTTGTTAGATCAACTTCTTTAGACAGTACAAGGTGTAGTGAGTATTGGCTGTCTGAAGATGGTAGAGATTAATCAAACGGAAGCTCACGAGTTTGCTGCTGTTGTGCGTTAATACATATTTCGCTCATTTTGGTAAAAAAATCATTTTAAACCAGGGGTGTGCAAAGTGCGGCCCGTGGGCCAAATGCGACCCGCAAGGGAAAAGAGTGCGGCCCGCAGAGGCAACTGGAGAGCAGTGCAAAAAAATTAATATATATTAAAAGATACAAAAGCTAAATGAGTTTTCGTTCCAGCCTATCAGTTTATTTTGTATCAATCTAACCTAGAATAGGATTTGACAGCAAATAATTTGGAAATGAATCTTGGCGTATTTTACTGAAACCATCTCAACCAAGATAACTTTCCACATTTGAAAAAAGTCATGGCTTCAAAGTCACTTTTCGGTAACGTATATTTTTCCAAAATGGGCGTCATATCGAATTGCTAGCAATTCCATTTAAGCAAATTTGGATAAGAGTAGTCAGAAGAATCCAGCAGCAAATTTCTGACTGAATTCGTTTAAATTTGGTGTGGCAATATATATATTTTAATTACAGTTTTGAGAAATTTATGCGTTTAACTCATCATTTCTGCAAGGACCCCAAATGATGACATGAGATCAATAACAAAAAGACACCATTTTGTGCCTGCAACTAATAGAAAGCCTGTGTTAAATGAAAGTGCGGCCCGCGGTTTCACCCGGTTATTGATATTTGGCCCGCCTGCGAAGAAGGTTGCACACCCCTGTTTTAAACAATAAAAATGCATGTTGTGTGATGGCAAAGATATGTACATAAGGCATGACTAAACAATCGATTAGTTTCTTAGTATTCTGAAAAAAATTTGTTTTGGATTTTGTATAGAAGTAATTTCTATGTACCATGTAATAAATTGTACGCACTTTCGAATGGCTCATTGTTAGTGATGAATATATGGTATTATTCATTTAAATGATTTTCTCCATAGAGGACCATTGTATTGTCGACGACAGCGGAGTTGCTTTTTATGGCAGCTATAAAAGATATATATTGCTAATCAAGCACGGTGTTTTATGTATTGACTTGTTCTTTTAAATGTTTCAAGTCTAAATAAACAATTAAGATAGCACAATCTCTTTCCACAAAATAGCAAGTATATTTGTATGCTTTCGTCTCCAACTTCTTCAGACAACACGAGATATAACTTAATCAAACAGCGAAGAAGTTAGACTATGATCTAACATAAGCTTACAAATATAATTGCTATTTCGTCGAAAGAGATTATGCTATTCTCAATTATTGGACACGTAGTGGACATAACGATCGTTTCAATATTATGTTGGTCTTGTTGTTGTTGTTGTTCTATGACACTTTTTGTACATCTAGTGGAAAATCTAAAAAACCGCTTTTCTCTTTCATTACTGGACCGATTGCTTCGAAATTTTTACCGGTTAAAGATGAAATTTTTTTCCAGAAGGCTATTTTTATTCATTTCAAATATTTTTGTTGGTGATAAATATGCCCACATCTGCAAGTTAGTTTTTTGTACCATACACTCTGCTCCATAACCCGCAGCAAAACCTACTATACTAATCTACTAGTAGAACTACTTACTATTCTTTCTGCTTTGAGTTCGGGGATTGCGATTTTGCTTTGAGTTAACGTGCATATAAGCGTAATACGGTGCAACTATAAATATATAACAGTACTATCATTATTTATTCCAGAAATGGTCAAATGTGCAGATACTTCTCGGTAAAACAGGGCGTGAAGGCTTGAAACGAAGAATCGGTCAATTGACTGTAACAGACGTTAACAATGCTACTGCAACGAAAGCAAAGTCACTGATGGGAGAAATTGATTTGGAAATGATTCGTGATGTCAGTGCTGGAGCTGCGACGTTTTACGTATGGGTGAGGCGGATTGTAAAAACTAACAGTTGGAGAGTTTTCTTTTCTGCAAATATCGTGTAATGTAGTTGGTTGTACATGGTTATAATCATTTCCAGTTATTATAAAAGCGTCCTGCATATCGAGGGCTATTGTACTGCCACGTAAACAAAGTAATTCATTTTAGGACAGACACACATGGTGTGTACTGCTAATCAAGTGTTAATATTTTCTATGAATACTTGTTCTTTTCATAGTTTCAAATGTCTCGTATGAAGTTTTGTTATAAAGATATTCAGTACTGTACGACTTAATTAGAAGCACGACCCCCTCCCCCCAGTCTTTTGTTTAGACTTTATTTAATAGTTATCCATATTTCTCACGAAGCGGTAACCGACGAGCGATACATGACATTCTCAATGTTATTCGAAGTTGGCACCTCACACAGGTCAATTAGTTACGATAGATAGCATGTTTCTTATTGGGAACAAAATATTCTCTTTTTCCGGAAAAGGGCTAATTATGGGAAGATCCGTATTGAAATTAATGAAAGATTATTATTCATATGTAGATTTTTCAGGCTGATTTTAACCAATATTTTATATCTTTTTACAGGTGGAAGGAATGGTGGAAGAAGTTTTAAGCACATCGTCGTAATTCCTACTTATGCCATTATTATGTCATAATTAATTCTTCACTTATCTGCAATTTTTTTGACATGTTTTATTCTTGACCAAATTATTATGAATCAAGTTTTTGTATGAATTCTATTTTTAACTGTTTGTTAATCTATAAAATAACCGGCCTTTTTATTCCAATGAATGTTTTTTTCTTGGCACAGAAATTGTTTTCTTATATTGTACTATTGCAAACAATTGTAATGCTTAGTTTGGGACAGTTTTCACAATTTTACACCTTTGAAAACACCATTATGTTTTTGAGAATTCAGTTTTGACTGGAAAATCCGTACAATTAAAATTACCTTAGTTGTCGTCTTCGAGGCCGTTTTCAATTACTGCAGCTAAGCTATAACTAATCCGAATTATTAATTCCTCAGTTTTGTGCGCATAACTCTAAATGACAAATGAAACCTAAAGCTATGAAAAGAAATGGTTACAACCTTAACAGCAATTGTAGTGTTATGAAATAGGGATTTCACTGCCCATTGGCACTGGACTCTTCATTAGCATCATGCCTAAAATTTTAAATTCATTGTGGTTGTTCAAAGTTAAATTTTACAACAAGTGACACTCTTGACTAATTTGCTCCATCTAGCGCCAAAGACTTGAAAAGCTTTGATGACACAAATACTTTGAAGTACCAATAAGCGTGCGTTACCCAGGATGCTAAGTGGATTTTGCGTCTGTTAATATGTTAAACTAATACATATATATATATATATATATTCTGTGAGTTTACCTATGAACATCAACAGCTCGTTTAGATATTTTTTTTTTCATAATTCGCCATTTTTAATTGTGCATTATTTGCTAAATAGCAGTATTTTTTATATAATTTACCTACATGCCTGCAGTGCCACTGAAGTACCACTCATTTCACTGTAGTTATTTGTTTTATTTTTGTAATGTTTCACTGTCACCTCGCTCATATTTTCGTGAACTGAGCTTGATGGGTACATATACTGTATTTGAATTTTTCACTATCCTTGCGACATGTCCCGGCTTTTCCTTGACCAACCTCGATTTGGATTCCCCGATCACACACAAGCGAATTATAAATGCATATTTTTTCGTTTCATCTTCACCGCATACCCGAACAATATTTTCCCCGGGTCCTGTATTTTCACTATGTGCTCTTGCTAGCTGTATGAAAATCGAAACGCAAATATATGTGTTTTTTTTTGTTCAATTTTTTTTTTTCTGTATACTCAAACTGTGGTTTAATGTTTCGAACACAAAGTATGTGTAGTAAATGCAATGTAATTCCATGTTGTGGTCGATTATGTAAATACTTTCTCGACACGAGGTGTTGTGAAAAGTTGCACGTGGGTCGTAAACATCTGACATAATATAGGTATCTCCTTGCGTGTATATAACTGTCTTCTTATTGGGCACGAAGTATATATATTGATCGTTTTGTCATCATGTTGTTGTTGTTGATCATATCATTATAAGTATTTCTTTTCTTCTTTTTGCTGCTTGGTGGTTAAAGATTGTTGTTGTCGCTAGAAGACTATTACTTTTATTTATTCCACACATTTCTGTGGGCTCTATGGGATGCGTTTTGGCGTTACCGCGTTCGCTGCTATCTGGTGGTCAGGCCAAGTTGTGAATACTGCGGTACCGGTATCTAATGTGAAAGATAACATACCCGTACTATTTCGTTATGGCCTTCTTGTCCAATCATTTGAGCATCGCTCTTTTGTAATCAACATCATATGGTGGCGAGTTAGTATCCTGGTGGGTCGCAAAAGGGCTCTTAGTGGGTCGTGAAAAGATGTGGAAAGCTTTGATTAATTATACTGGGTATTAGGATCGGTGCCGACTCGAATACGTAAATCTTCTAAAAAAAAAAAATTTAAATTCTAATCTCTGAAAGTTTCCTTTTTACGATCTTCTCAGAGGAACAAAATTTGCTACACAAAGAATGACCATGTGAATTTTTTACGCATAGCAGTTTTGTACACTGTACAGCACTTCTTACAGTGTTTCCCCGAAATTTAGATTTATTTTGAAGAATAACACTAGTTTTCTTTGGAAGAGACCTTTTGGGTTCTTTATGAAAAATAAAATTACATTGTAGAAAATCACGAGATATTTTAATGAACATTATATAAAATTATTTGTATTTCCTATACGAAAATCAAGTGACAAATATCATAATTGTGATAGTGACATCACACAATCTTGAATAGTGGTGTGATCTTCACATTACCTCAGGTAATTGAACCTTTCCTCTCCCACGCATTTTAAATTTATTTTATTGGTAGGGTTTAATTAAAATCATTTTAAAAATTCGAATTAGGTCTTTTTTTCAAGCCAGGTCTTATTTTCGAGGAAAAACGGTAGTTTTGCGATGATTAGCCATTGCTGTGTTCTGTGTCATGTCAATTTATTTCCTCCATCAATGTTTTATTAATTTATTAAAGTTAAATGAGTCGCCATAAGCTGTGGTAATAAATAGTGGGTCGCAACTCTAAAAAGTTTGGGAACCATAGAGTCTAAATAGTTTCGACCCTATAAAATAGGAAAAGCCTGTTCTATTTTGTTTGGTTCATGATTTCATTTTAAGGTGTTTTATACTTTCTAATCAATTCAAAATAAGGTGTATGATTGCCTTCACATTGGCTGAAGAGGGGGGGACACGTTGACCCGTCGTCTGATTGACTATGGCCGAAATCGCTAACCTAATCCTAACAACAACACCATAATAACAAAACGATTCAGTGGCGTAGCATCCACCCCCGCTGTCGCGGGAGGGCCCACAGCGCAAAGGGGCCCAAGCTGTTAGAATTTAGAAATTTAAGCCGCAAAACCAAAAGCTGCATTCCGAAACCAGTAATGCACATCTTATAACGTTGATGTTAGTTCTGCTCAAATCGGTATGTTGCGTAACAATGCCAGGGAGTCGTCGATTTTCGGCGTCTTGTGGTTTGATCGCACCGGCGAAATTACGAAGGCTATCAGGTCAGAATGAGGTCGAAAGCAAAACCTCTCAGTGGCGCACAGAAACGCAGAAAAAGGGCAGAAGAGGAAGAACGTATGAAAAAAATTATAAAGTAACCAAAATAAACGGCAAATTTCAGGTTACCACTGCCTTTTTATAGCGACAAATTATGCTTTTTGACGAAATAAAAAAAGCGTTCTTTTAGCTTAGGTCCGAGAGTTTTCAGGGTCATTCCCACGAAATATTTTTGCGGGGGGGGGGGGGGGGGGCACGAGAGTCTTGCTACGCCACTGAAACGATTCATAGGTCCACTTCGTGTTCAAGTGATAGATTTATTTAGAATCGATAATCAACATAAAGGCGATACGTAAAAACATGATTGAGGATGTCTGAAAACAAACAAAACCTTTTACCAAGTAGCCTACCACGCGTGGGCACTTTTTTATTTATTTAGCTGTGACATGGAACGAAAAGAAAAAAATCCACTCACTCTCCGAAGTCCGAAAGTATAGGAAGGTATTTATCTTATAGAAATTAATCTAGGTCATCTATCAATATGACTAACTGGAAGGGAACGCTCAGATTGTCGAATTGCCCTGCCAAATAGTAACCACGCTTTAGAATTTAGATCACTGTGGGGTTGAGCACGCGCTTAAGCCATTGGCCGAAATGTTTCCAAATCGTTCAGCTTTTTATAGATATGATAAATTAAAATAATTGTACTGGTGCAGTCCAATATACAATATTAAGGTATTGCTAGACGTGAATACTTAGCCTTTTGACGCCTTGTAAATCGTGTCGTACATATAACATGAAATAAAGCCAGCTACGTCAATCACAGGGAAAATTTGAGAATGACTAAAAACAGTTTCGTTAAGTCCTCGCATACCAAGTTGTATGTCCCTCTGAGATTGAGCGAGAACAGAGCTAACAAAATCTTCTAATATCTTTCCAAACCACACGCTGTGAAAGATAATTGACTGAATTGCTTTGAGTATGCCCGCGACTCTAGAAAGTGGAAACACTGCACTTTTGACATCGCCATTCACACGCCAAGTAATGCGGATTTTCACATTTCTATACAAGGATGTAGATTTTCAATTAGGTATCGAACAACTGTAAACAAAAGGATGAAACCTTGGAAACTGCAGTTATCATCGAAAACTTGTGCAAGCTATTAATAACCACGCGAAAAAGACAAAAATCAACACAGGTCTTGTAACGTTAAATCCCCGTCATTGTTGATGAAAATAATACGATATTCGTGCGCATTGAACCACGTTCTTTCGCTTTGTTCGCTTTTTTCGTAGGTTGGCAACGAAGCGATCTAAAGGTCATTTTTCACGGGCTGTGGGTCCGGATTATAAGTTTGTCGATTTGTACCTAACAATTTTCATTGCGAAGTTAGAACTTGATTGTTGAACGAATTTAGGCATAGATTGAATCACAGTAGTCTAAGGAAATAGCATTCACGTTAAGTTTAAGCAGATTGATATTGTTGTCATGGTGCATGAGGCTTGAAGCAATCAGACTGGTGATTAATATACTGTTCGAGGAATAAACGGCAGTTGGTTTCAAGTTTGCTTTTATTTATAGCAATCAGTGGACAGTGTAACGATAAATTTATTTTATATTTAATGCTCTATTGTAAGCCTGGGGGACGAGAGAACGGCGACATTTTTAGTTTCCCACTGTTAATCAGATTACGGGTCGTTATCAAACACGACAAGTTTCCTCTCGCGCGTTGCTTGCATGGGGTGTTATGACGTCATAAGAAAATAAAATGCACTAGATGCGAAAGACGGAAACAGTGTTTATTTACACGTGTCGATAGGTCAAATTTTGTTCAATTGTAACTACGCTGTAATTATAACTTTCTTCAGTGAGTTTCATATTTATGAAATGTGGTAAAAAAAGGGCAGAGCGTAACTTATTTACATCTTTTGAGCCTACCATCGGTATTATATATTGTTTATTTTACCGTACAACGAAAATGAATCAGCGAATAGTTATTCGGCCTTCAATTAAATGAGTTCAGTGAGTTCTACTATCAACAGATTTAAGTGTGTGAAACTCGATTAGAACAAACAACTTCATACCCATTAAACACAGGTTAATTATCACATTCAACGATGTGTGTTTTGCTGTTCTTGTCGGCTACGGGTGGTTGCCTCATGAGATATGTTTTTGTAAGCAGATATCCTTATTCGTGTGTATTCATAGGAATGTAACTAATCAGTCAAGCGCATGAGACTATCCCTCTAAACTGGTTTCTTGGATCTTGATGTTACACAGTCAACATTTCTTCAACATTTTTGGTTGACTGGTAAAGTAAGGTGTCTGTCGTTTCCAGTTAAAATAAAACCATAAGTAGATATGTTTTTGTTCTTGTATTTTCATAATAATGCTTCAAAACCTGACATTCACCATTTTCCGATTTGGGCAACGAAAACTGAAAATAGCGGAAATTAAGATTTTGTTATCAATTCCCACATACGTTTCCTTTGACAATAAAAAGCTCGGAGGTGTGGCATGATAGTCCATTGACGATATAATTATATTTCTAAATTTCTCTTCATAAAAAGGGGATCTACATTTGACAAAACGCTCTGTTGTTTATTAGAAATCAATTATATTAAATTAATTTTATCCCCTTCCACTAGCTATATCGTATACTTGATTATAAAAATGAAATAAAACATTTTACAACTTTTTGGAATAATTACGAGAGATCTATATAAAAGTATGTAATCGCTTTTCTTTTATATGTAAAAAGGTCAGATTAGTAGCATTCGCACGGTGTTAAACATGTCATCATCATGTTTACAAATTTCTAAAATCAAATGTAAAATTGTTTTAATCGCCACATACAACGCCTTTGAGACATTTCGTATAATACTGGAAAACAAAAAGGTAGAAAACCTAGCACAACAAATAATAATGTCCTTCTCGTATCACGATTGTGTACACCGAAAACTAGCGCCCAGTGTAAGAAAAAAAGAACAGTATTAAACAGACATTCGATAGTAATTTCGATACTTGCTGACTACATTATAGAAATTTTATTTATTTCGCAAATTCGTACCATGCCAGAAGCAAGTGGACGACGAAACGACTTTATTATTGCAATCCACCACAATTTTAGACAAATATGTTCAGAAATTGACTAGTCACTAGATCATTTATTTCGAAGTACAGGTAAATTCAATGTTTTCCTTAGCACTCAACCGTTGTCGTGCATGGCAGCATGAAGTAATAATATAATACAGTAAAAAAATTCTAGTCACAGATTAAGATAATAATACCATATCGCAATGTCACGAACAAACGAACACACAACGATAAAATTCTTGACACGGATTGAGACGTCATCGACCAGACTATTGATTTGTTGAAGTTCACAGTTCATTTGTTCCCAATTCAACGTTTTGACTGCTTCAACTTCGATTATAACGCGCACAAAACATGAGAGATTAAAAAAAAATAATCGTGTTTTAGGATGTTATTTTGGGTTTGAAAAATGAGCTAGGAACCTGATTATATTTGTTTAACATTTGTGTATATAAGTCAAACGATTTGCACTGAAAGAGGGATAGAATAGTAAAGACTGGACAATCAGATATGTGGTATAAATTAGTGTGAATGAAAAATGTATCGGCTGTTTATAATTTTGTTAGCTTTTCGTCTTTTTTTGTTCCGTTATGAAGTCAGCAGCGATTTGAAATTAATCTATAGAAACACGGAAATGAAATGAGATTTTGTTATATTTTTTATTGCCATACCCAACAGTTTAGAATACATTTCAATCGTTAAATGCGCAATTGTCTAATTTATATAGAAAGCAAAAGTGCTTTATCAATGGACAGCACGTAACCTGAATGAAGATATCAACAAATATATTTTTAACGATCAGTTCTATAACTTTTTGGCGTTCATGTTAAGTCATAACCTTTGAGAAATGAGTTTCCAATTCGTATATAATTATCTGTATTTCTGCTACCCGATAAGTATCTGCATTTAAAATACAACGATAGCTATACGTTACTGTGCCATGACAAAGTTAAGTTGCGGTTTGCTTAGAAAGTACCAATGACGCCAATCGAACCTTTTGAAAGTACGGACTGTAAATACAAATCTCTGAATTCTTGGAAATTATCCGCTGCGGTACTCTAAAAAAGGAATCTACGGTACTTGTAAAGATATGAAATTGGGGTCTGTCTTGATCATTCGAGCGTGCATGTATGTATAAAAATTATACGATCACTAGACATTTGCAAATATTATATTATATATATCAGTATAATAGCAATTAATTTATTCTCATAATAATTGTATTATCTCGCAAACTTATCGGATTTGTTATACTTCCGCATATTTCACATCAATAAATGACATCGTATGCTTGCGTTCACGTCATGTTGCTTATCTACATGGCGACGGATAAAATATATGAACGACTCGCAATCCACGGTTAAGTTTTCGCCCAATTTTCGATGAACGTCGCCTTCCTGTATGAAATAAACTTTTATTGCTATTATAAAAGCCTTAACAAATGATTCATTCATGAACAAGTCAATGGTATTCTCCGGGCGGCACATTTTTACCGTCAGGTAACTGTTAAAATTTAATCGACCGTTCCCTAGTTTAGTGGTCGTTTGTGAGTTCCTAATATTTCTTGTTATTTACTATGATACCGTCTGAAGAGAGGATAGCTCGAGAAAATTTTTGTGTCGATGTGATAAGCCAGGCGGCCAAGCTAGGCAAATTAGAGAAAGAAAATCTTATAATAGTATTGTATTAATTAAAATTGAAAATTATTATAGAGTCACAGGTCGGAAAGATTTGTTTCATCGTGTATAATCATCAAGAATCCTGAAATCATATATCTCGTTTTCAAATAAAATTCGGAAAATACTACTGGAAGAGAATTGATGAAATTTGTAGTTTACGTTCGCAGCAAATATGGTGGCTTATTCTCATGAAAGTAGCTCAAAAATTATTACCTAAATAGTCTAGTCAAATCGATCAAACATTGGCATACTTATCGACGCTATGTTCATCAAATATTTGGACCTCAATGACAAAAAACATGCCCGCTATCGTCAATGCATTTTAATCAACTTTGGACCAGAGAATGCCCTGATTGTTCAAGTGCATAACTCGATATCGAACTTGTTAGCCGTTGGGATTTGTTTATTTAAACAGGCAAAAGATGTTTTTGTATCTCTTTACCGTGTATACACGGACGCGGCGTCTCCGCTACGAGGTCGGAGCGGCGTCAATATTTTATTGCGCTAATCAGTTGTGAGAAAATCCAGGCCATTCTAAGATTTAAATGACATTGACATGCACAAAGCAAGCGACAGATAATAACAATCTTTTGCTGCGTAGTGTGTTAAAGTTAATACCACCATTACGTTGGTCAGCATAAACAACAGGAAAACAAACGTAGTTACGAAAAACAGTTTTATTACTATTATTAGTGTATTATATAAACCACAGAATTATACTTCTTACCCAGTATGAGCTTGTCCATAAGCGGCAAATTTCTTGCATAAATTAGATTTGAAAGTTTTCCCTACCGGTACAATTTCAGGGAAGTCAGATGAAGAAATTCATAAAAAGATGCCAGATTAGTCAGAACGTACATGTTGCAAACCATCTGTAATAATTTATAAGCAGGATAGCAGCAGTGATGTTATATAACGAACGCATCCAAGTTTGTGTTCTGACCGAATTCAGTTTATGCCCTGAATAGCCTTCGGCGCTGAATTTGCGTGCTATTTTAAACACAGTGCAATCTTGGATTGATAGAAATATTTCTAATTTTTTGTAGACGACTGATTTGCTATCAATAGTTCTCAATACATATATATAATCTTCGAAATGAAGTCTGCATGGCTGGGGGCTTTTCATTCTTATGGAGATCAGATATGGTTACCGCGGGGGTATTTTTTGTTGTATATCGATAGAAACTGTTAATTTCTTTGTCAGAATACGCTAGTTAAGAAATTTGTTTTCACAGTTATGGTTTATCACGCCGTTTATGTGTTTTTCCATATTTATTTTTGAGTCAAGTCCTTGTCTATTTTAGGAAGTTTGGAAGAAAGTGTTTGAGTATATTACAATATATAATACTATATATATGCTACGAATAACATGTAAGATTGAACCTTTCTTCAATCCAATTATACGTATGTATTAATTTAAAAATTGGGAAAATATTTCAAACATGACTTGAAAAGAGTGGAATTTAAAAATCTGATATTCTTGGTGTTACAACGAAAATTGGGAAATTTTTGTAATTTGCATATACAATGTAACAATCTCTAACCGTGATAAAGTTTTTGAAGCATAACCAGTAGATCTACCAGTAAGCTTTCAATTAAAATTTTCTTTTTGCTTTATACTTACATTTGTTCTATATTACTTTTTGTTTATGATTTATAGATTGAATTCTGTATTTAAATATAACAATCTAAAATCATGAATGAAATACGAATTACACCAAACTTGGGAAATACAACAAACGAAGATCCAGTCACTGTAGTACAGACTCAAACGGAAGCTCCAAATCACGAAATCGGATGTCTAGGTAGTCATAATAGAAACACAAGACAATCGTTATCGAGAAGATCTGTGCGACGAGCACAAGCTGTCAACTTTTTGCTATACGGCATAACGTTAATGATACCTGGTATTTCTATGATAATCGTCTATTTCGTAGTCTTCAGAATACCGTCAGGAAATTTACAGTGGTCTCCAGCAGACGCTTTTGTCATAACCGGAGCTATTTTAGTCGGATTCAGTGAGTATACTTCTTTGATATTTTAAAAGTGAATTGTATCAAATTATCTATTATACTACATTATGTTCCCACAAGTAAATTAGTTACTTACCAATACGTTCGCCCGATTGAATATTTTTTGGAATTGAAATTCTTTTTCAAAGTTGTATCAAGTTTAGAACGACGGAACTGCATCGTAAAATTTGGGATCAATAATATAGCATAAGCTATAAATCGATGCATATTAAACGCTACACCATTGTATCTACTCTAAACATTCATTTACAATCCCACTATGCATCGTAAATAGCATCACGTTAACTTTCGTTATTGATTATTACAGGTATTGTGGCGGAGGTAATTGGTTTATGGCAATTTTGCATGTCAAGGTACGAGCCCGACGAACCACCAAGGGATATGACGATACGAAATAATCAGTATAGCGACTCTCCTCCATCGTATGATAGAATAGCAATAGACTTGCCTGATTTAGTCATGGTTTCTGTCCCACATTCTTCAGCAGGAAGTCCACCATCTTTTGAATCTTGCTTTCCAAAAGGCAAACCGCTTCCTGGCTTAGAAAATATAGCGTATGACAGTGCACAGACTGACGACGAAGATCTTCCTCCGCCTCCAGCTTACAGTGATACAGCGAAGAACAATAAATTTGCAAACAAAGATTCACCAGTCATCATCAATGAACACGCCGGAAGCGTGAAATATGTGACATCAGAAAATAGCAATTCGTGAAATTTTCTACGCTTGTAAAACGACCGTAAACAAGTCTTGTCTTTACTGCAGCAAGAAGATTATTATGCATGGCAGTGCTCAATTCTTGGCAAATCTGGCTTTGAAATCGACAGCACATCATGGATATTTTCCACAAGATTGTTCGACCAGCTGGGGTATCAGTTGCCACATCAATCTCCTAGTCATGAGATGTTTTCTTCAACAAACAATAACAAGTACTGCATGAATAATAAATGACACAAGTACATATTTTACTTGCGATGATATATATTTGCGTTCATCCCATCTCCTGAAAATGTTGACCACAGACATGCAATTAGATTGGGCTGTCTGGTGCTTCTCAACCTAGTCTAATGTTGCGATTTTAGGAAAGGTGGTTGGTTCTCAATTATATTTTACTATTATATCACCCAAACAGATCACACAGACTTTCAAGAAAATATAGTTCAGGGATTCTCGCTGAACCAAGCGCTAGCGCTGTAGACCTGATGACGGGGCGATTCGTCACTCACAACCTCTGTCATTTCGATACTTATTGTAGAAACTTTATTAATGAGTACTTTCTAATGAAGTTACAAATAAAATAACTTCCACTCTGAATTGGTTACGTTGGCCAACATTTTTTTATGTAAGTTTTTTATTTCCTGTCATCCGGTTATATTGTCGTTTACAGAATCTTGAATTTATCATCTATGCATATTGTCTCCCATATCGTGCCACACGCCACCTCTTGTGTTTTCAAAATTTTATGCAATATTCCATGAGACATATTTATATGTGGCATAACCTTTTCAGAAATTTTAATTGCAGTAAGATTGCAGCCTTTTTTCTGTACAAGTGTTGACTACCGTAGACAATCTATGAAGTTGGAATATTGTGTAAAATACTAGTCGAAATTAAACTACAAAATTATGTTTAGTTTATTGAATTATACATTTTCTCAAAGAGTTTCAAGTATGGACCGGTCTCTGCATTGATCAAACATAGGATTTTCAGGAAACAGTTGAGGTAATCAGCATTTTTGTAGACGCTACGCCGTAATGCTGTCAACGACGATCAACGCTGCACTCCTATCATTGTTGTTGATTTTAATTGCACTTGTACATGATTCAAATGCACTTGTGGTACTAGTTTGTATTGTTAATAACAAAGGTAGATTAGACAGTCGTAGATTAGACAGTCGTACAATTACACGGTTTAATAAACGAATATAGCCGTCGGCTAAAGTTGCTAAAGCTATAGCTCTCGGTCTGTTCAAGCGCATTTCTAAACGATACCTCAACACGTTTTCTTATTATGCCAGGTCTGGTGAGATGGAACAGAGCAAAAATTGTAGTAAGCGGCTGCTTTGTGCGTAAACTAGGGATCATGGGACAGAAATATAATTTCGGAAGATGATAGAGTAGATAGCAGCAGAAGGAAGTAGTTTTTATCAACGTTTTGGGGTGTATTTGTACTGAATTCAGCGAAGAAAGTTGGAAGTAGAAGACGCCTATGGCTTTCAGAGTAAAGCAAATTGGGATCTTTCGTAGAAAGCCTCTGCCAAGATTGTAACACCCCCACCACCGCTCAATATAAACAAATTATAGTAATTCTCCAGTTAGGGTTAGGATTTGTTTAGAATACAGATTGGGCTGGAAAATCAAATTTTCAAATTATTCCTGACCCTAACCGGATAATTACTAATTTTTTTTATTTTAAAACGTGACGGGATCTCACATTTTTGCATTATGGGCGGGAGCTTTCTACAAATAATTCGCAGATTGTGCAGGTAGCCTACAAAAGAACCTGTATGATTTCATCGTTGGTTCACGGTTGACAATATATATACGTAGAGGTGCACCAAGGGCACTTGCGACCAAGTTATTATACATAAGGAAAGTTTCGAGTCGACAACGAAAATTATAATAATCAGACTTTATTATACATAAATTTACAAAATTGGTGATAATACTAGAATTATAAACTTTCTGTATAACATAGCCTACTAGTTTCAATTTAATTAAGAAAGCATTTCGCGTGCTCATTCCAAATTCAACATCCAAACTGTTATTTGTAAAGTTCATATTCGGAGTATTACTATGTGGATACGGCGGGATACGGCGGGACACGGCTTTATGGGATAATAAACCATTGTCGTATCATCAGTCTGACACATTCTAAGAAATAGAAGAATATAATTCTACGTCACATAGGCACATCAATTGTCCTATTGTTTGCACAGAAATGTGTAAATCTGTCGGACGTATTATATTGTCTTAATGTTGAGAAAGTCACACTGTATTGTTTTCAGAACTAGTAACCCCTTTGTTTGCCTCCTACGAGCTCAACTCAAAACTAAGATATTGTTATATCAGGTAAATATATGAGTTGGATAGGGCTATGAGCGTGTGCGCTGTATTCACAGCACATCTTCGTGATTTATAGCGGGTAATCAAATGTTTGTATACATCGCTCCGCTCCGCTGTGTCGTATGAACTTAGATTTCTCAACGGTCAGAAGTGATCTATTGTTACCCCCAAAACGGTCGTCGTTTGGTTGAGGGACACTCCTTTCTATTGATGAATATGTTGTATAGATAAAGACAGTGCATGATGGGTATATCTAAGAATATTATATAAATGACGTGTAGTTTGGCTCACTATCAATTACGCAGACTACTTATATATGGCTATTTATTTTAGTCAGTCAAAATATTTGAGTGGGGTTTTATTATTATTAAAGAGATTATACTCCAGGATATCCTGCGTTACTCAAATAACGCTATGAATTATTTGCCTCCGGTTTGTAGCACTTTACATCACTCCTTTGAAATTCAGTTAGTTGAGTAAAAAATTTGTTGTCATTTGACGCCCCAAAGGACATCAAGATTTTTCATTGATGACATCTATGGCTCGGATTCAAATTTTATCGCATATTGTTTACAGAACTGAACTAATTTAGACGTAGAAATTTGAATTTTATGATGAGCGATCCTGACAGCATCTTTATAGACATTCAAGGAAGGGATCCCCGTCACTCAAAAAGTCGGAAACACGTCGTCCAAAAACCTCCACAGTACAGGACGAAAGACAAAAGTTGGAACTTTATTTTATGCGGGCTTTCTCTCTTTGTGGTATTAGTCGGAGGAATCATATTATATTTCGTATTGGAGCAGTTTACTGGCGGCGAAAACAGACCATAATTTGCTAAGTGGCATCAGTATGCACCACCGTAAAAACATATTTTAATATTACAAGATGACGCGTTCAAAAATTATTCCATGAACACGGGGAGAAATATTCCACAAATAATCAATATCATGCAGATGCGTTGAATAATACTGTGATTTCTTCCGGCTTGATCACCAGGACAACATGTTTTCTTGCTAGCCAGGGATTAAGCAGGCTTCTTCGTAAGAATAATATCCAAAATCAATTGTCTCCAAGAGTATGACTTTTTGTAACACACCAAGTACGCGACGCTTGGAACTAATAAGACAACTTGATATATTTTGAAGACCATTTGAATCTTCGACCCCACCCTTATGCGATTGGTTTTCAATTCTCAATTTTCGAGAGGTATTTAATTAACATCATTATGATAGCGTATGTTCATCCTAGCGGGGTCTCGAATCCTGGATCCGAGCTATTGATTCAGCATGACGAAATCAAGGATCTTCTTTAGCTTCATATCAAAGATTATTTGCGTATACATTATTACGGTTTTAAATAATAATTGAGTCCATCCATTAACATTAACACTGTGCAGCTACAAATACAAACTTGTTTTCGACCAATGAAATGATTGATTCACTTTATTTACACGTTGTTTTTTATTTTGATCGTCATTTCAGTCACATACAATAAATATGAAATATGTTTGAAAACTAGTGAATTTATCAGTATTGCACATATTTATTTCCACTTACATTTTCTACTACTTTTTTTACATTTCATTATGTTAATAAGTGCAATTGGTCTTGACTTTATCGCATGCCGTATATATTCTTGAAAGCGATTCAGACTGGGTCAATTTGTTAAAGTGTATATTAGTGCCTTTGCTTATTGTCGACTAGTAATTATGCTCGTTTATTTATCCAAGTGAAAAATTAAGATGCACTTCTGTTGAACAAAAAATCTAAATAGTAATAATTTTGTTGTATTGGAGTTGCCGATGCAAGGCAAAAGAACAAATTTCACAAGCGTGCAGTCGACTCTTCACAACTGTCCCGTGATTTTTATTTATTCCGACTATATGCGCTCTTGGCTTAACTTCAGTCTGAGATACCTTCGTGGGGACTTGAAACTTGTATTTCAAGTTACAATCCGAAACGTTTTATCACAAGCTCCACTCAGATTAAGGTAAAATTAGCTCTCGCCGACTGGTTCACATTCTTCCAATTTATTGCCCATGAATGCCCAATTAAATTTCTATTTGAGAATACCCGCCAGTAGATTTTGATACCGCTCAATTAGTGTAACAATCGCTTTAGAACCTACCTCCCCCTCCACATTTCAAACAAAAATTTGCATTCGTAGCATATTTTTTCAATCAATATTTATAATTATATTATGTACTATGATATATATACAGCATTTTGAAATTTTGTGATAATGCAACATTACAAAGAAATATATGAATATGATATATATATATATACGTACCGATAAAAATCGTTGCATATTATTCTAGTCAGAAAAGGAATGCATGTTCGAGGCAGGGTGTAAGAAGGGAAAGAATGGAGTTTACTCCCAGAGTCAGGGTGAGACCGACTACCATATTTCGAATGGGTAACAGAAACAGTTGGATTATTTGATGAGTAAATGATAAATAGGATAATTAATTTTGAACTCCGCATTGGTAAAAATATGACAATACACAAATTCAGGAATGTTGCCAAAACTTCAAATATAGTTTAAGTATGAGACATGGGTAGACCCTTGGATCAATACTTCACAGAATTTCAAACAAAAGCATGAAATTCACTTTACACTGACATGTACAGGTCAGACTTATACAAAGCAAACCGAATTGGTATAAAGTAAGAACAAGATGTTAAAATCAGGTCGACAATTTTTGACACAATGGCAGTAACACAAGTAAATCAACATGAAGACTACTGACAACAAAGGATGGTAGAGCAATACCCAGGGATAGATAGTATTCAGTTCATTGGAATAATTCTCGATTGAACATGTCAACAGGTTTTCCAACCCAACCCATGTAAGCGCCCCAGCCTATTTGCATAACTATATATGTTTTGTTATTCTTGAGTGAAAAGGAAAGCCCTTCAAAGCAAAAAAACTGACACATTTTATACACCAGAATAGCGAGTGTGAACACGAGCAAGTAATGGAAGAGACTTTTTCAGTTTATCTGCAGATGATTCTGGAATTTGTTTACATGATGATATGTCCAATTCTCTCAACCATCTGTTGTTTTTGATTAGTCCATGAAAGAATCTAGATGGAAGTAATAAAAATGTTGATAGATAGAGTACTTATGTTATACCTAAATCTAATTAGAAATATCCTTATCTTCTTGAACACTTTCGATTTGGGATGCTATGTTCTCCTTCACAGAGTAAAAGTTGTTTGATTCTCATTCGGCTTGTGAACAATTGTATCATCGCAATTGATTACCTCAATATAATAAACAAATATACATTCTCTGGACCTCCTGAAGTATGCGTACCAAGATGGCGCACAACCTGAACTCAGGTTGTGTACCAGGTTAGGGTCCAGGTTATGCGACATCTTGGTGCGCATACTTCAGGAGTACCCATTATCTTTTATAATTTGTCCACCATATGTGTTGCCAAAAATTGTTATCTGTAGTCAATTTGGTTTAAATGCATTCTCAAAAGTGCTATAGTTATCTCTAATAATCATTTGGCGAATCACCTCTACAATTAATGATTTGCCTTGATGATTATTTCAATTGTCCTGTTCCTGTTTATAATGGCAGTATTGTGGTGAGATCATAGATTCATATCTCGAGTTTGACCTATAATTACCGTAATTGTGAGATCTATATTTAATAATCGAGAAAAACGTCTGCGATACCTAAAAGTTTCAATCTTCAAGTATTTTTAGGGGAAATGAGTTGAACTCTTGCCAATCATATGTTATATATTAGTTCCAGTTTATGTTCAAACCACACCTAAAGATGGAAGGACCCTAAAATATGCAAATTTGTTGCATTAAAACAGTTTTAATGTATAGAGCAACTTTAATACTGCATTCCAGCAACTTACTTTGGAGTAATATTGTCACAGTTGGACAGATCAAGTTTTTCTAAACGATGGAGACGTTGTGTTATGCCAGCTACACCATCATTAGAAATCTGGAAAATATAGTGTACATGTAGTATAATGCAAAAGTGAAAATCTTTACAGTTGCTCCCTCTGCCTGTAACATACATTTGATTACATGGGTGACAGGTTAGAATGCTTGAGAGGAAAGATAACTCGTTTCCGGCCCTTAATTGTGTTAATGCACAGCAAGACTCCTATATCACTTAGAATAATTATCTTCACTCTGGCTACAGCATCCTTGCATTATATGTATATGGAGCCACTGCAAAAAGATAGAAGTAGGATAAGTATTCAATAGCACGATAATGATTCATTTTCATTCACATTCGGATTGAGAAAGAATGATTTCATTCTCAAGAAACAATTTGAATACCTCCATATTTATGCAGTGGTTCTTTCGGTTAATCGACTTGGAATCATTTGTTTGTAATAAGCAAAATAAAATTCTTACATTAGATCCTGACATGGCAAGATATGTAAGCAGGGGACATCCAATAGTAATCCCATTAACAACATCATTTGTTATTGATCTCTGCATCATATTCAATTCAAGATGTTCCATCTTAGGAAATACTGGTTGACCCACACTACAAAGAAAAATGTGAAACTTTCCACAATTTCAAATAGCATGTATATGGGATTGACCATCCAAGAATATTAAAACAAGTTAAGAATAAATGATGAACTCTCAAAATTTGATTTGTTTCTGAAAGTGCTTTTTTGCCCAGATCCTGGTATATGGACAATACTAGTAAGTAATGCAGTTGGCTAATATCAATTTTTTAATCTTTAATTATTGGCGATTTTTTGCTAATGACATTTTCTAAGAACTTTAATATAAAAAATGATGAAATTTTTTGGAAATGTTTCAAATTAATGGAATCAATTTCTGAGATACGATTTCAGTTTCTATTTTGATTCTATGAAAATAACATCAATATCACATCTCGAAAACTATGTCCCACTAGCTGAGATCCACTGGAGCTGAATTCAAATCTCCAAATGTAACTCCTTGACAAGTATGGCAAAAAGCTTACATTTCTAATTCTATGCTATTGTGAAGAAAAATATTACCAAAATATTCTGACGAGACTCTCATCAGTAACATTAGGGCAATTGGACATCGACAGACGTTGCAGCTTTCTCAATCTTGTAATCCCTCTTTCTGGTAAACTTGACTTAACGTCAACTTCACTCCAATCAACTATAAAAAATAAATTACTTGAACAGAGTGATTTATAATATTTGTTCCTTAAAACAACATTTGAATGAAAGAAATCTTTGTAGAAAATTTTGTACAACCAATTTATTGCCTGATACCCAGGTGGCAAAACTTTGTATTCAAATTGAGACACATTTGAAATTAATGAAACATTTAAAATGATGAAAAGTAACCATTGAAATATGAATTTACATTTGTAGATACATCTAGTTTGTGAAAACCTATATAATTTGTTGTCCATGATATTGCAGTACAAGCAGTGTTCCCAAGATACCGTTATGGTGCACAGATGAAAATATATATTATATTAATAAGCATGCAAATTACATGACAAATTTTTTTTTATTCAGATTCAAGAGCATTCAGCATGCAACCTCATATCTCACCATAGCTAATATACTCTGCACCAGGGCTGCCTAAAAACCCAATACGACTATGGTTTCTCGAATATCTTCCTGTACTGAGTATGTGAGCTGAACATTAAAACACAAAAAATTGTTTTCCAAAACAAGTTTCCATTAACAGAAATTATTAGAAAAAAATGAGTTTCTCATAAGTAACATATATCCAATTGGGCCGCAAAATTCTGAAGAATATTAATTTAACTAAAAGATGTTAAAAATGTAAAATGAACAAGTACCATATTTATTCGGTATGATAGCCTTATGCAGAAAATTTGTCAAGTATCGCGCCCCACTTCAAAAAATAACCAGCTACAAATAACAGATAGTAAGGCAAAAGTATGTTTTATTCAAAAAACACATTGAAAATACATGGATGACACATAAATAATGATAAGTTTTGAAATGTAAATATCCAAAATAAGGCGGGCAAGATCAAATCTAACAAATATTTTTAATTAGCTTCATGCTCCCTCAAAAAATTGTCTAGGCCCCCTCGTGGGGCGCGCCACCGTATGAGAACCACTGGCCTAATGGTTAGGACAACAGAACAACTCATTGGCAATTGGTATCAAATATAAACCTAAGCAAATTATTGAGTAAGCAACGTCAGACTACAGAGATTCTGGTAGTAGATCTCTACATATTTATGGCTGCTTCTACAGACCTTTGTTCAGAGCAAAAACACCTTCATAACAACAACAAAAATTTCCATGAAAACCAGGTTGCAAACCACTAAGATAACAATATTATATTACCTTCTGTGTCTTTAACGTTTGGAAAAGTCATTCCATCAGTTATAGTAATGTTGAGTCCAAGCAATCCTCTGTCAGTGATATAGTGGCACCAGGATAAGGATAGTTGTTTAAGATTTGTGAGATACACAAATATGCTCTTAAAGTAGAGTTGAAAAAACAAACTTAGTTAAAAGTAATCAAAGTGTCTCTCAACAGATTAGGTATATAAGCTCTCATTCAATCAAGTAAAATATATTATAACACAATTGCAAAGTATTTATTCCTTCTGTAATAAAAATATTGGAGGTTCTTTCGAAGCCATCTAATGCATCCATTGAATGTATTTTTTTTTAATTCATTAATATGATTCAATCACAAATAATCCTATAGTTCGTTCAAATCAAATGGTTAAAAACAGTATGTTGTTGTACTACATAGAGTCAGATTCTGTAAATTAGAAATTGGAAATAGGAAAATTCTGACTTGAAAATAGATTTAAATTTAAACTATTCAAAACTTAATCCCTAACCATGGTGGCTAATTAAGATTTTCATGTGGGTATAAAATTTTAGGTAACTAATGTTTGAGTGACAGAATACTACTAATCTTTCCAAAAGAAATTGCCAACCTAAGGTTTTTTTACAATAAGTAAAGTCCAAAGTGAAAAGGCTAATAAAGGCTGGAATAAATTTGTCGTTTGGAGTTTTATAAGTGGTCAGCTGAATTTTTTTTTTATTGAATAAAATTGAAAAACACTAATACCTGAATAGTTAAATCTGTTACATGTTTTCCAGAATTGATGCTCAGTTTAGTGAGGTTTAAATACTGGAAGCAATCTTTTGGAATAAGACTCAGTGGAACTTTTTTCTCACTGAATATAAAATGTAATTGGGATAATATGGTCAATAGATTAACTCAAGCAAAATATACAAATAATATGCAATTTTAAATGTAAATTCAGTCAATTGATTGTAGCTATGAGTTACAATTTAATATAACAAAACTTGGCAATAATAGTATTTTGTTCTAATTAATAATCAGGCTTCAAATGGTATAAATTGTAAGTTGTAACCATTTGCTGATAAATAAAAATTAAACTGTGAACATAGACAACTTATTACCATTTACAACATTGATTGTATCAATAATCAAATGCCAGCATTTGATTATTTAGCTTAAATATTAGAATTTACCTGATTTCATTCTGTTGCTGGTTTTTAGATATCCAGGTATGAAACTTTGCAAAATTACACCCACTGTAAAATAAAAAATACCACAGAAAATAAGAATAAAAAAGTTCTATCACCAGATATATTAATATAAGTTAAAAAACACATAAATAATTGTCATTCATTTAATCTATTTACTCATAACACTTTTTAGTTTTCAATAGAGTATTATATAAACATGTTCATACTTTGCAATCAAGGTAGAAAGTGCTGTAAGCAGAGTCAGAATTACAGAAATACTTGTCGTGGTTATATCATAACATTCAGATATATCAAGAATTTCTAACTTTTCCAAAAATGAAATCTTTGATGCTGATATGTCTGTTACCTAAAATTATTCAAAATAATAATAAAATTTGAAGGCATATTTTTTATAATAGAGTCATTTAGCTGATGCATACAATGTACCAAGAAAAATTACATTGGCTGAAAAATTACCCGACAAATAAATCCATTTATTACAATCCAAATGAAATTTAATTAAATCAAACTTTCAAAATGTATTCATCTCTACCACATATTAAATCTGACCATATGTCTCATGGTATACCATATATCCTTGAATATAGGCCAAGTTCAAAACTCAAATGAAAAGGTGACAAACTATTCCCGAATAAATTTGATCGCACTCAAACGAAATGATATTATGCTTACTTAATCTCAACAGCTACAACTCAAACTATGTTTTCTCACGATAAGAGCGTACGATTTGTAGGGGTTGGCTTATATTCGTATTTTGAGGAAATTCACCGTTTTAGGGCCATTTTTAGGGGATAGACTTATATGCGAGATCGGCTCATATGGAAGGATGTAAGGTAGTTAAATTGTGTAGGAACCTCCGAATTCCAAGTGTACTAGCTCCTAACATGTTGCTTGTTCAGAGCCTAGTTTATATTGAAGGTGAGAAACACCTCATGAAAAAAATTCACTAAATGTTTCAGCAAATTTAGTTTTACCAATTCAAATTATAAGTTAACTCACCTTTCTGCACTTAGCGAGATACAACTCCCTCAAATTATGAGAGGAGGTACAAATTGCTGAAACACCTGCATTACCAACTTCACAGCAACTACGAATATCAATAACTCTCAAATCTGGCTGTTGCTTAGCTAATGAACTTACTCCAGCATCACCCAGTTCTCTGAAAGCCAAATAAATATTAATCAGTTTATATAGGCCCACATTCATTGATGCATGCATAAATATATTAAATAAATACTGTTAATTTATGAAGCGCAGGCACTTAAAATGAAATCTTATCATGCCTTTGCCAATTACTTGGAAATTTTTGATATCTGATCAATTTGCATAATTTTAAAGAGAAGGTGTTTAAATTAATTCACTAATAAAAACGATATCAGTTCACATAGCAAAATATGAAATTTGTGAATGAATCTGATTTAGAATAATTTAAGTTGGCATACTTTGCTGTAAAATAACAACGAATGCCAAATTTTGTTCCAAAATATTTGATATAAATACAGAATCCAACTCAAAAACGGCGACTTTTTGGGATAAAACAATAATTTTGAATATTTGAAAGCAGCATTTTGAGAATTTGAGAATAATTTGTCTGAAGAAAGTCATCTGGCAATACTTGATGTGGAATAGACCACTAGATATTTACTAAATAACCAACATTATGATTTTTCATCTCACCGACAATTCTTGAGCACAACTTCTTTTAGTTTCAACCCTTTAATGGAAGATAATTTTGCCAAAGCAAAATTTGTGATTCCAGTACGACTCAAATCAATTCGAGTTAGAGTTGAACACTGTACAGATGCCAATTGTACAATACAAGGGAATGTTAATGCAAATCGTTGAGTGCTTCCAAATTCACTGAAAAGTAGAAAAATAGAAAATAACAACTTTTTATTATTGACTCATAAAGTAATATGTGCTCGGAAGAATATGATAGAGTAATATATAGCATCTCCCTAATCAAGTCCATGAATCTGAAACAAATAACTGGCTAACTAATTGATATTTATTTATATATAAACTTTTAAGAAATTTGAAGTGAATTGAGAAAACGCTGGGAGCTGGGAAACTACTTTTATAAGAAACAACAAATTTATTTGCAACATTGACTTTTTACTCACCTGAATAAAATATTGCAACATGCTAATTTGATTGAAGACAAACTCGGGCACAAAGAATAAAACTTTTTTAAAATATCATCATTCATATATCTTATCGATGACAAGTTCAAATCCACAGTTTTTTCTAAAACTTTTGCAACAACGAAGTGTCGATCAGATTGAGCTAAGAACGATCCTGACATAAACATTGCATTGCAACTTGTTATGTCCAGAGACTGTCAACAATGAAAAAAAATATGATATGGAAAATAGATCTGCTAATAATGTTTATCATTTAAAATAGAGAGTTATTCTAGAATTTTTATATTTATTCTGGAATAGAAAGAATATACAACGAACCAATCATATGAAAAAAAAACTCATTTGCTTAACTTAAACTGGGCACCCATGAGCAATCGTATCACATAATTTATCCCCCATAATTACAAGACTGTACAGCCACATAATGTCTTGAGTCATCTAGCAACAAGCATGTTCTCAACACTTGACGTAATGTGCCCATTACCATGTCATTCAGCATCCTAGGGTACTACTGCCATAGTGAACACACAACTGTCAGACACTCTTACCTCAAGAGAGTCGCACTTATTCAATATTTCAACGAAACTGCTTTCTAGAATAGATGAGCCTTTCAGAGAAAGACGTACAACATGAGGTCCAAGAAGGGACATATGTCCATTTTGAGGGTTGAGCAGAGGCCTGCAATAAGATTTTAATAATAATGAATATTTTACTGATGAGTGGTTAAAATCCAAATTATTGAAATTTCAAACAAAAACACACATTTGACAGAACAACACACAATAATCTTATTATAAAAGCCAATATCTTCAAATATACATTGGCAATGCAAATTTTTTCACTTATTATCACTCAATTTTGAATATAGCCTACTCAATGCTTAATATTCAAAAGTTTTTTTTTCTGAATATATAGGTGATAAAATGTCATTCAATTTTCTTGACAATCTCTGTTATGACTTACTTCACATTGATGTTCTCATCCAAGCCATTAATGTAAAGATTTGGTGATTTGCAATAAATTTGGTTGTCAAAAGCAGCTTCAGTGAATTCATCTTGTGGTAATAATGCCTGTGCATCAAAAATATAGGTAGATTTCCAATGTAGATCTGGATCCAAACTTGCTTCATAACTGTTTAAAAATTGATCATCTTATTAGAAAAAAATAATTTCAGATGAATAAATTTTATTTCAATTTATAAGAATAAAACAATACAAAAATATGGGAAGTAAATAAAACCTAAAAATATGTCTAAAATGTGTTGAACTTATTCACCCACCGAAGTCAGAAAGGAGAAAGCAGGAAAGAAAACATATCACAACAAACCTTATGAATGAATATGATATAGAAGAGCGATTACTCCAGCGTCTCACTTTGTAATCAGATTACCTACAATTTTAACGCCATCTACTATAGTTCAGCAATGTCAGCTTTAGACATAGGCTATTGTTTACTATGAAAATTTCAGTATACATACTACTATATATAAAATAGAGATTTTTAGATAAGGAGAAAAAATTGCCATATAACTGTATAAATTTTGCATGTTAACTCGACAAAAAACAATTTAAATTAAGTGCATAGGTCTGTAGGTTAGCAGTAAAATCAGAATATTGGAATATCGGATCCAGCCTGCCTGCCTGCAGTAATTTTATATGAAAGAATAAAAAATGTGTGAGAAGTCTGTATATAACAGTAAAGAATACAATTGAAAAATACTTACAATTTTTTACAAACCAGTGCACACTCTCTACGATCCGCAAGATTCAAATACTTCAATATTTCTGACCAAATCTACAAATCCAATAAAAGTTTTGCATAAATCTCACTAAAAATTGGACCAGCTATTCCTGTATTCAGACACATTCCACAGTTCCCAAAATTTTGAAAACCTCAAAACGGCAAATTTAGACAACAGTGGGACTGGCATTAGATTGGCTACATAATTACATTATCCTGTTATCTGACTTTGGTGTTCATATTCCAGTATTTCGGTTATGATTCTTAAAGCAGTAAAGTGCTGACTTTGCGTTGGCATTTGGCAATCAATCAATCAATCAATTTTATTCGGTCACTCTGATACAAACAAAACACAAAACAACAACAAAGGGACAAACAAAATACAGAGGACCTGGAGGACGGGCATAACTTAATAAAAAAGTTAAATACGTACAAGTACGTGCCCGTCCCCCAAAAACAGAATAAAACAAAAACACGATGTAACATCGGGCAACAACTTATATTGCAGTGTATTACTTTTTAACCCCAAAAGTGTTGTATTTATGTAGACATACCTCTCCATTATATATAAAACTGTCAAAATTGGGTTTCCCGCCTAAAATTAATATACTTTTTTCCAAACTTATGAGACGGACAAAACCCTAACACCAACGCGCTGGTAAATATTTGTTCAAATAAAATTCCATCCTACCTCAATCGGCAAATTATCCATCATCCCTTGCGATCCAGTTTCAATAAATTAGTTCAATCGTTCAATATCAATTTTCATAACGGGCACATATCGAAATGATGATACCGCATTTCTACACTTTTTATTGAGCCAGGAACAGATAGCGTTTACAACATGAAAACGACTAGCGTCGTCTGTCAGGTGACATATCACATGTCATATACCTGGTCATAACATATCATGTAACTTATGTTATTAAGCGTCGCTTAATTTAAAATTTCATTCAGACGTCATATCGCATTTTTACGCAACCGTGAAAGGCATATTATGGCGTCATAATATATTATCTATGTCGTCATTTTTAATTTTTATTCAATAAAAGCATCACATTATATAGACCCAATATCACATATATATAGACACAATCGCACAGATTCAATTCAATTTGAAAAAAAACGAGCACATAATAGTTTTCCACCTCTTCTTGTGGGTTGACAGTTTACCATTTTTAGTTGCAATGTCGTTGTCATTGTTGAATAGGGGCCTCACAAATGGGCATAGCCAAGGCCCAAGCTAGGACCTTATTTATTTTTACCATTCATTTTATTGTTTTGCTGATTATGGAGTCGAAATAAACTTATACTTATACTTATATACCTCTCATTGTATAAATCGGGCCTTGTGGGACCCAACTTCAGCCATCATTTAAACTTACTTACCAAATTACATGATCATACGACACAAAAAAACATTATTATGCTAACGTATATTGAAATACACAAATAGTTAACTGCAAATCCAAGAAAATAGTTGTTGTCATAATTTGTCACAGATTCCATTCACAATGATTTTAACGTTGTATGGAAGAGTGAGTTTTGGTACGCCTTTCTGTGACGTCAGGGACACAACTTGGACAAAGCGCCATGCCCTATTCACACTGATTGTCTTGGTTGCTTGAATATTATCGGTGTCTTCTGATATCTTTAGCTTTATCCTATTAGCCTTGTTTTAGCATTATGCACTTCATAGTTCTATAGTTGACTAGACTAGTCAGACAACAGTACTGTACTGCAGTAAGTATGTAGCGTGAGTAGACTACAGACGTAGGAAATACTGAAATATCATATATCATGATATACAGATATACGAGCAAACTGGACAGACAGATACACTGACACAGGACGTTAGGTACCGTACGGTACCCTGTTACCGGTACCGTATATCTGTCGATCACGGGTTTATACGCTGTAAACTACCGGTACTTATTTAATAAGTCATGGCTGCATGGAGTAAAAAACTTAATCTTAAACTGTTGAAATATAAAAGCAAAAGAGCAGATACGGGTACAGAAATACCGTAAGCTATAACCCTGTAACCAGATACCGTAACCCTGTGTTGTGTTGATTTTTCAACTTGAGATTTACCAGTTTACCGCTGACAAAGTCAGAAAGCCGAAAAACATAGAAAGCATTTGGTCTGATTTTTTTCAATGCAGCAATGGGTATCGAATAAAATTTTATGATACCAAATAGTTATAATAACCAATTTCAGAATATGTTAATACAGTAATAGACTACCAATACTGCAATATCTGACTATCATGGCAAGTTATTATAGGCCTGTAAGTTTAAATTGTGCTATGACAAATGAGATGCTTAGTCTTTATGTTGTTATATGATTACACATGGGGAATGGCTGAATGGGAAGTGTTCTAGAATTCAAGTCTACTCATCTCTTTTATCAAATAGAAACCAGTTTTGGAATCCTGAATTTTCTAGAAGCAATTCAATGTTATACTGTAGTGCACAGTTTTCTGATTCCAAAATGTCCTGATATTTGGTTCAATAAAACAAACACTCTTATTTGTCTCTGAAACGAGGGCACCTGGTACAGTATCTGTGCCATACTTTAATAAAAGAAATCCAGGCTATGATAGATTAATCAATTACTATTTGTTTTTGAAGACAATGTAAGTTTTTTTTTTGTACTGCATAGGTTAAGTTTGAATAATATATGATTACTGATTAGCAAAATGAACTGAATAGGCAACTCCAATAACTTAAGTTTCCACCAAATAACTATATTCAGATATTTCACAATATACAGTTTTAATGTACTTGCAAAAAATGACCATTCTAACAGGGAAAACCTTGTTGTGGTTAGTTTCTTTTTTAAGTATTATACAGCATCACTGAGTTCTACATAAAATATATACGATAAAGGTAGATTTGAACGAATTAATTTATGATAATCTATCCGTTTACGATTTATTTAACACATGCTAAAAACAATACCAACTTGGAAAGAAGTGTTTTCTTTGTTTAGTACAGCCAAATAATTTAATATAATTGTTAAGGTTTTCAAATAGTTCCAAGTTATCTAATATTTGCAAATGTCCATCCCTATATTTCAGATTTTCTGCTCAACTATCACTATTAATAGATGAACACCTCTTTTTCTTGAACATCACTATTTTATTAATTATGTTATAGGAGAATGTAAAGTTTTATTGGTGTTAGGCAAAGTTTAAATTTAACTTTATCTTATTCCTTACCAAACCCTGATGGTGGATAAAAGGGTGATTAAAAAACTCAGAGGATGCGCACGTTGTGTAATCCAAGTTTATGATAATTGGAGTCATGCTTTTGATTGATGTCTTAAATGCCCAACTGGGGGCGTGGATACAAAGGGGTGTTGGGTCTCATGTAGATTCGTACCTAACATACTTCTAGTGGGCGTAGCATAACAAATTTTTCATGTGTCCCCCACCTGACTACGATATCCAAAAATTACCTCACTACGACGTCACAGTGATGTAATAGAGTCCTTCAAACTGTACGAACTGTCATTTAAGATGTGCAGACGAGCACCCGAGATCGAACAGCTATTTTTCTCATCGTGACGATCCCAAAATGAGAGAGATCGATGACGTTAGCCCAGTTACTCATCGTCGGCGCCGATGCCATTTGATCGTACGTATATTTGGCAAGCTCTATAATATGATTGTGATCTAGTAGTGACATCATTTTTGGATGGCGTAGTCAGATGGGATTAGGATGGACATATCGAAAAATTGTTATTCTACGTTATTAACGTACTAGAAGTCCGTTAGATTTTAGATAGAACGTTGCTTAGATAGATTTTAGATAGTATGTTAGATAGAAAGATTTTTCTGGGCAATTTTATTACGAAACAACACAAAATGCGATTTATTGATTACTCTCCGAATGTGATGCGGGCGACAGATAATGAAGTGGCGGGCCACATGTGGCCCGCGGGCCTGGGTTTGGACCACCCTGATCTAGGTTATGCTTCTGATTTATTTGAATGGAACTAAACAATTATATTCTGATATAATACTATACATTTCCATCTGGTATGCAAAATTATAGGTCAAACAAGTAATCTTTTCTATTGTAGTTTCATCTCTCTAAATATTCTATGGTTCGGAAGTTCAGAAATAGTATTTCAAATGTCTTTTCAGCATATGAGTATGGCACATTCTGTTGGCACACATCTTATACTAGATATTCAAATGGATAGAATATTTCAAGCGTCCTATTACATTGAAAATGAAACAATCTATCTTTATTAGTTTATTATTATTTGTTAATAAGCAAATAATTTTTCATTCACAAATTATATTTTAATCTATTTCTTTATTTTCTGATAAATTGTCATGACCCAAACCATGTTTGCATTTTCTATCCAAGGTTCATAATTCTGTTTACTGTCATCATCATAAATTTAGGAGAAAATCTTAATTTGCCTGTGATTTGGTTGGATTGTATTTCTGTCTGAAAATAGTGTTTATTTATTTACCACATATGTCTGGGATTGTGAATGGGACACTGGGTATGTATGCTGAAGTTAAATATCTGTTTGTTTAGAGTGACATCGAGCTTGGTTTTTCTTTTAAATTAAATAATAATATGCACTTATTATTATCAAGAAGTTACATGTTTTATATTTATCAAGTTAGAACTATTTACCTGTCTTTTACTGTCATCGATTGGTTATCTCAGAAACCTAATTTTTTTTTTGTAAATCAGTGTTTAAATTTAATATCTTCACTTCTGAATTAAATTTGTTAAAGTCTGTTATATTGTTCAAAGTATAATAAATATGTTCATATGTGATAAGTACTATACAAAGCAAAATCATGCACAAAATTTTACTCCAAAAAAACTTGGGCTTGAATCATTGTTAAAGACTCTGGAAATAAAAATTTTTGAAAAAAACGTAATAAATAGAATAAACTTAATTTGTCAATTCTACCTTTCACAAAAAAATCATTTAGTGCATCGAAATTATACATTTCATTCTTGTGATTTTTTTATTGATGTTAACGCTAATGATGAATTACCGGGTACAGTTATTATGAAATGGAGCGAGATTGTCCTTGTTTATTCAATTCATTTGGTATTTGTCTCATCTAGAATTCATTCATTTTTTGTCCACATGTTAAGTCTTATTTATTCACTTTATTTACTTTACAGTGAGAGGAATTAATTTTCGTTAATTCTATAATTGTAAGTAACTATAAGTCTGTGTGAAACTATTTAATGAATACAGTATTATGGAATACAATGGGAAATAATTAACAAACATGACGTCGTACTTAATGCTGAGTTATTTCTGAAAATTACCATGACGTTACGTTAAGTCTGTAGTCTGCCGCCTTTTATTGATCCAAAAATCATGTCTTCTCCTGCACTCTGCCTTTCGAACTCAGACTTTTGAATTGGTCATGTTTCCTAAATCACATTCTCCATTATGTGGTTTTCATGCCGCAATTACTATTTTTTTATGTGTTTTATATGTCTGCTTGTTTCAATAGGTAGGCCAATTTCTATAGTTGGAATACTGTAATTTTATACGGAATTGGCATATTCTGGTATGCTTTGCAATTACCTATGCCTTGTTGAGAAATAGCATATTATCTACATTATTAACCCTTTTAACTCTATTCCACAGGTCAACAAATACCATATATAAACCCAAATAGAAACAATGTTATTTTATTTATTTTTTTTCTGTATTTTTAATAATAAGCCGTTTTAATTTGGTACATTTTATTTGGCTTTCTAAGTTGTTTCCTTCTTCATTTCAAATTTTATATAAGAAAACATATCGGTATGACATATTAAAGTTAACAAGGTATGATTCTAATTACCCTAATAAAGTTTATATTAGATGTATTGACGCTATTAACATTTTATTTACCATAGTTCTTTGTCTGAAAATGGATTTGACCTATATTAGAAGTTGGACTTTGTGATTATTGCACTAATTCAAGTACACTTACACTTCTTTTTGTGATTATGTCATTAAACAATAGAGTGAGGGGTCTTGCATGACCTACTTCCAAAACTATTATCTAGTAAGCTTATTTGTTTGGTAATTATGTGATATGTATCATTTTTGTTTAGTATTGAGAGGTATAATGATAACTTGAGTCATCAAATATCGTAATAGAATATTGTAGATTTGAATTATGATTTTTGTGGAACATAAATTTATACATCCATCATCAGAATCAGATTTCCTTTTTTTTTCCTTTTTCCTATTATTTTGCTATTATTTTGGTTCAACAATTTTATAGTATCTATCTATTTCAATGTCAAATTAAATTTGACTTGATTGATAATTTAGATACTTGGATTTGAAACATGTACAAATCATTCCATGAGCAAATTTTTGTTTATATCCTAAAGTGAATCATCACACTTGGGATCTACCGGGTAATACTCATTCAATATGTAGGTGCTGGTCTTGGTGGTTTATTACAACATCCTACATAGATTAGTGACATATTATCTAGTTCTTCTCTACATTTCTAGTTTCATTAAAATGCTGATAGATAGATGAAGTTTGTAAGGTTTGTCTATATACAATGCCCAAACTTACAGTTACTTTATCATTTGTAGGTGAACTTTGTTGTAGTATATATGGGATAATAGGTCTGAAGATCATCCTGAATTGCTATGATCGAATATTTTAGGACGTTCATTTTCGTTTAAGTCAAGGTTGGTATGTAAACACTCAACTCCTGTGTTTCACCAATTGGAACCATTTCAATAGGAGCTCATGGGCAATTCAGTTTATTCATTAATAAAGTCATTCATTGAATCAGCATTGGTAATTCATCAGATTAAGCCTATCCAATGTCTAATGAGTGAATCACCGAATTTATGACGCAACTCACAAAGGTGATTACGTTAGCAAGTACATAACCTGTGTGGTATGGTGTAATAGATAGAGAAGTAACAATCGCGTCATTCTTAAGTTATTAGCGGGCAAACCGGGCTATCAAAATCCTAGTGTAAAATTATTTTTTTTATTAAAATATAAATCTCTTTGCCAGAACTGGAGTCTCCAATTTATGGGGCAATAGCAGTATTTATGGGACTTAGCTAAAGCTAAAGAAAATATTATTACCGGTGTCTATAAAATGTATATATGAGTATGATATTTCAATATAGACAAAAAATATTTGTTGGATCTAAATAGGCCAGTCTGTGAAAAGAAACGAAATAGGAAATAGAAGATTATTCAGCCATCGACATAATTATAGTCTAGCAAACATAATATGTTGGGAAGTCTGATGAGCAGATTTCTTATGGATCATCAATTTGTGAGTCTTTGTATAAATCCTATGTTTACAAATGAAGCATAACACATTTAATATTCTAATGTAAATCTAACTGAGAAAAGATCCAAATACAACCAAATACTCCAATCAGTTAAATAGAAAATAACACAAACATGTTTGCTACAGTTAAGGTGGAATGGCATAGAAACAGGATGGCAGAAATGGCATAACCCAATAACATATGCTTTAATAATGAGTGATACCATTACCAACATCGAACAAATTCAATTTGCTGAATATAACAGACGAAATCTTTCCAATTCTTTAATACAAGGTAATGCAAGAGTTATCTATATTAAACTTCAGACATGTATGATAAATGGTGTATAACTTTCAACTTTCGAGAGAAATGTCATATATTTAACATTCTTTCAATAGCAATACATTTATTTCGTAATAAGCGTTCATGAAATGTTCATCCCAATCTTAGGCATGTTTTTCCAGTCAGTAGAGTGGGTAGAATTTTTGAAAGATATCAATTTCTTCTGTGAATAATATTTACTAATCTTTGTCATGAAAGCCAGCCCTAGAAAGAAGTCTTTTCTATACTGCTAATCACTTCATTGTCTTAGTTAATAAAGGATAAGAGAAAAGCTCATATGATTTCTTAAGTCACCTAATTATATCATAATGGAGCACTTTAGATCAATATTCTTATATCTATCGTACTTAGCTATGTTTATGCCAGTAAGCTGCCAACCTATCAGTTTTTAATCATTGGAAAAAGTTATTAATAAAGTACTTATTATTACTAGATATTATTTACAATGTAGAAACTCAATAGTATATACTGGTAAATGAAATAAGGGTGTCATTAGTAATATTGCTTTAAACGTACAGAGTAGAATGCAAAGTAAAATATTAGATATGGTGTTGATTCCTTTCCTGTTTTGGATGATAATACTGAATCAATACTTAATTAGGTGGTGACTTATTGACAACGCCTACCTTATATTGTCATTTTGTTTTCAATATGTTGGAAGGTGAGGCAGGTTATAATCATACTTGTTCAAGTAATAGGTTGACAATCCAATTTTCTACAAATATGAAGTGGTTCAAAGTGATTTTCTCCAAGCGTGGGTAAATAATAGCCTATAATGTTAGTAATCACAGACAATATTTGAATATTATACGAATCCCGCTCAGTGTTGATATGCTAGCGTACTTTGTAGTTATATGTCTATGTGTATTTAGTGTTAGTATTTGTCTGCATTATCATCCGTAAAATAGCAAAGTTCATTTAAGGATGATTATTTGATATTAGGGATTAGGTATATGTGGGAATGTTATTAAATATAAGACAGGTTTTGGCAATGGTAATTTCGCAATGTTGTAATTTGTCATATTGTTGTATTTTAGCTTGGAAGATATTGTAAAATAAGCTATATAGTTATTTAGATTTATAATATTAATTCATCTACATATAATTTGGATGCTGATTGGTTTTGACTTTCAAAATATGAAGACTATATTGGGCTGAAAGAAGACAGTTTTGTATTATTGGACAAATGGATGACACAATGAAAAGTTTGGATGATATTGATTTGTCCTCACTTCGGGTAAGATCTAGGATAAGGCCTGCAATTTAGCTTATTAGCTTGCTTTAACTCCATAAAGAATATGATCAAAAATAGCTGAATATATTCAATTTAATGAGGTTTTAAGAATTCGGAATTTTTTTTGTTTGAAAAATTAATGATTTTTATGTTGATTCTTCACTGCCGGGAAATTTAACACTAATTATGATGTTGCAACAGAATAGATATTAAAGGTTATTTGAAGTAAAAAATAGGCATTCGTGGGTGATTTGATGATTGTTAACTATTATCTGCTTTTAGCTTTAAATCAATTTGTTTTGAACATTTTTATCTTCAAAAATCCTTACTATTACACATAGGACCCTGCTGGAATTTTCGAACTTGTTGAGGTAGTTGGTAATGGAACATATGGTCAGGTATACAAAGGCCACCATGTCAAAACAGGCCAACTTGCTGCCATCAAACTCATGGATGTTACTGAGGTATGTTGTTCTGTAACTATATCATATCATATCATACAGTGATAATCATAATTCTTTGTTAGCTAGTATGTTTATAAGACAATCTTTATCAGCTACTTACTATTATCAGTGAAATATTTGCTTGGACTTTGTGTATCAAAAAGCATGCATGGTTTACACTGGGGTTTTTCAGACTAGACCCTCGGCATTTCGGGGAGATTTCTCTGCCCACGACGCCCATGGACAGGTACAGTTAACGTTGACTGCTATACTTTAAAGCAGTGGTTCTCAAAATTTTTAAGTGGCGCCATCGTTTTAGAATTTGTCAAGTCTCGCATCCCTACTCAAAAATAACTTGCTAGCAATAAGCTCCAAAAAACAGATAGTAAGGCCAAGTATATTTTATTCAAAAAACACATTGAAAAGATGGAATATCGCAATCTCCAAAGCTAAAGAATAAAAAAAATGTAAATATTCGGAATAAGACGGGCAAGATCAATTCTAAAAAATATCCTTTTATTTTTAATTAGCTTCACTCACTCCACTTCACTCCAATAGTCTACGCCCCCCTTGTGGGGGCCCCACTGTTTGAGAAACAGCAGCAGTCGCTTAATGTGCAAGTTTGAAGACCCCTGGTCTAAATAATGTCTAAACAAAACATTTCTGTAATTGTTTATTCACATATTCTTTTATTCACAATCGTGTTGTTTATGCACTTAAGTCCTAAAATGTTTCAATTTCAAGTATTTACTTGTCTGTTTCGGCGAGCTGGATGCACAGTTTACATTAATATTGAATATTATTTTTTGATAATCAATAATTTCAATTTGAAATAAATAGCTATAACTAAATAAAAATAATTTTTTAATTTTTGATCTATTATTACAGGAAGAAGAGGAAGAGATCAAACTTGAAATCAATATGCTGAAAAAATATTCTCACCATAGAAATATTGCAACTTATTATGGAGCTTTTATAAAGAAAACTCCTGCAGGACAGGATGATAAACTTTGGGTGGGAATAACTAATGATATAACATTTCCAACCAAATACAATTTTGTGTGAATATGGTAACTTATTTCGTCTAAAAACAAAAAAATGAAGTTTAATCGATACTACCTTTAATAATAATTTAATATTATTGTCGTAGTTTGGGAGTAGCAACTATCAGTTCGGGTTACACGAGACTAATAACTAAATTTCCTTGCTCTACGCCTTTGGAAAGTGAATTCGTATGTGTATAATGCAAAGATGTTGTAAGATGACTATTCTATTTTATTCGAGAGTCTTGCTGCGCACTAATACAAATGTATTCTGTAATGTTTTGGGCAGAATAATGATGACTAGGCTATAGGAGCCCTGCTGTACATTAAATGAAATACTCATTGAAATGAAACGTTACAGAAATCCATTTGTGTTAGTGTGCAGCAAGACTCTTCAATCAATTAAGTTTGGAAAGCTGTTTCGTAACAAATCATAAGCTGACAAAGTAGTTTTTTTAATTATGTCTTATTGTGGTCAACTAATCTGCCTTGTGGCAGAATGTGAATATACACAAGCCTTCCACAAGAGGTTGTCATTAACAGTTTTTTTTAATATTGATGGGTTTGGTTTGGATCATTTGCAATAAATTCATATTAATCGTGTTATGAGTTGGCTATTCATTCATCATTGTATTCATAGAGAAATAACTGCAAATGAACATCATTTATTTGAATGATGTGTAAACTTTTTTATTGTCTTGTTTTATTGAAATTCAAATAAGTTGAAAAAAAGTAATTGATATTAATGAATCCCTGATCTATGCATTTTTATATATTCTGGTGAACTTTGTAATATGCTAAGCATTTGAAATCACTTGAAAACTTTTTCTGGTGCGGTGAATCTGTAATTTAGCAAAAAACTCAATAATTCATAACTTTCTACTTTTGTTTAGCTGGTGATGGAATTTTGCGGTGCCGGATCTGTAACTGACCTTGTCAAAGGTACGAAAGGCAATACATTACGAGAAGACTGGATTGCTTACATCTGTAGAGAAATTCTAAAGGTTAGCTTTGATATTCATTTACAACAAAAAAAATGATTCGAATTTGAAAATAAATCTGATATTAGTTTATAATAAGTATAACAAATTCATGGTGTTTGGAATGATTCAAAATATTTTTATTTTTATTCATTAAGAAATTTGAATTTTTACATGACATTCATTTCCCCAGAAATTACCTCAGAGTGAGAAAACTGTTGTTTGCCATCAGTGAGTTTTTGAAATCTTGGCGTGACCTCACTTGAGCAAAATGAATGTCAAAGTTTCTGCGCTGTGATACTTGCCTCATATACAATTACTATTGAATTACATTCAATACCAAATATAAAGTATTCGGTAAAATATACTGGAAAATAAATTTAGGGAATTTTAACAGTTGTGACTCCAAGGTTGGGAAACACTGCCTAATCCATTGTTTGGCACAAGTCACATCACATAAATTCATCACAAGTTGTGTACAGTCCAATGTTTGTTTACATACCTACTCTTATCAATCTATTACCTTAAATCTAATATCTTTTTCTTAATGCCCAGGGTTTGCAACATTTACATCTACACAAAGTCATTCATCGTGATATTAAAGGACAAAATGTTTTGCTTACCGAAAACGCAGAAGTAAAATTAGTAGATTTTGGCGTCAGTGCACAATTAGACAAAACAATAGGACGAAGAAACACATTTATTGGAACACCATATTGGATGGCTCCTGAAGTGATAGCTTGCGATCAGAATCCAAATGCCACATACGATTATCGGGTAAGACATATATCAGTTTATCAGGAAAGGTGTTTAAACATTTTGTATGGAAAATATTGAGCTTTAGGCTTTCGCTGAAAGTTATATATTAGTTCTGAAACTAAATGTGGATGCTGTTGTAGTTTCTGAGCCTGTGTAAAATTGATTCAGACAGTAGAGGTATGAGTCACGAAGCCTTCTAATGAAGGATTTTAAAATTGTTTATGCTCAACATTGTTCGATTTCCGAAAGAATAATTTTTTTTAGTAACATGCAGAAAAATCATGGTAATTGATGGAAAATCCAATGAAATTTCATATACATTGTCATGAACGAGTGTATATTTTCATAGATCTCTCTGCTTTTATTAGTTATTCCTTATTTGAAAAAAAGTGTCCAAAATTAGAATTTGATAGTGCAGTTGAACTCTCTTGGGCTTTGAGGCTGTCTGTTTTTTGTTACTCATACTGTTTAGCTTTTGGATATTATCCAATACAAATGGCAGACTGCTTTATAGCTTTCATGTAACGACATGCTTTGTCATCATTTCTTATCTTTACATGTGTTAATGATGTGTATCTTGTGCTCATTGCGTGATGGCATTTGATCTGCAATCGATGTGTCATATGTGAAATTAGGAATTCATTGGAATTTTCATAAAGCGAAAAAATATTTTTTTTTATTAGAAAGATTTATTAAGACAAAAATTAAAAAAAAATTTTGTTAAAAGAAAACTAGCATTTGTTTACTTTTCATATTCACTAATTGCATAACGTTAAGCAAGCGTCATTTTTTTACTCCAGTCTGGTTTACTAATTATGAAATTGAAGAAGATTTATTTAATACTTGAACCTCTGTTTGCTTATGATCGTACCAAAAAGCTTCAGTAATTTAACACATCACACAAAAGGTATTCCCTCGCTAGAAAATGTTTCCAATGACCTGGGTGGGTTCTGTCTCTATGGGGGGTCATTCTGAACCAGAAATCTGAAAAATATTTTCTGTACTGAGTCATACTGACTGTATACAGGACACCAAAGCAAAAAAAGCACTGGTTACGATCTAAGTTTCCCAAGTAGAAAAAACTTTTCGGAATACGTCCAGGGTCCACAGTCGCGAAAGCTTTAAATATCTATTATATTTTAAGGATTGAACTGTAATATTCATTCTTTCCTTATCAGCAATCTGATAATGAAATGTTTTCTGTGCTGGTTGTGTATGTCCGATTACGCACCTGAGCACAGAAAGCAACCGTTACAATCGAAGTTTTCAATGTAGAAAAATATTTTCTGTAATAAATCGCTTGGTAAATATGGTGCTGGATATGACAGACATTTTTGAATGTTGACCTGAATGAAATAAACCAAACTTTTGATGGCATTCAATTTCATGACATACTTGTTTATTTCAGAGTGATGTTTGGTCCCTTGGTATCACAGCTATTGAAATGTCAGAAGGAGCTCCTCGTAAGTACTTACTTTTGACCTTTTTCAAATTTGCATTTTTCAAGATATCAAAATGATTTTGCTTTTTTTTCAGCTTTATGTGATATGCATCCAATGCGAGCACTTTTTCTCATTCCAAGAAATCCACCACCTCGATTACGTTCCAAGAAGTGGACTACAAGGTAAGTTAAACGCTTTCTGATTTGAGTTGAATTAATTAATGGTTCAAAAAACATGCATATGTCAGACAATAAAAAACGCAATTGGAACAATTGACTGATTTTGGTTCGGAAACACTCTCTCCTTACATATTGTTAAATATCATTGGTTGCATTGTTCAAAGAAAAAGGGGTGAGCGTCACATAAAAAAAAATATTGTTTAAAAATAACGCTCTAAATCTTACATGACTGAAAAATGTTGTGTCAATGTACAATGTGATTTCTTCAACATCTCTGCTCAAGACAAGTATTCAATTATGTGTATAGAGCAAGTGTGCTGAAATTTGTCTGATTTATAATAGCCTTTTCAGTTTATTGCATCATTCGTTGTCGGCAAGGCGTGTAAACTGGAGATCTCAAACCTGCGACACCATCTTCATTAGTAGGTCCCATGTCCCAAACTAGTGCTCTGTATTGTAATTTTTAAGCCTTCAAACAAATATATGCTGCAGGCTTCACTGCATTTCAAAGTAAAGACTGCGATAAACAAGTCTTCATACTCAATAATTAATATTCTTCATTACTTTTACCATCGCAGGTTTCAGAGTTTTGTTGATCAGACGCTGATTAAAAATTATCATCAACGATCTGGGACAGATGCATTACTTCGACATCCTTTCATCAAAGATCAACCCAACGAACGACAAGTTAAAATTCAATTGAAAGATCATATTGATAGAACAAAGAGAAGAACAAAAGGTACAGTTGGTTAATAAATAATAGAAAATGTTCTCTTGTATTTCATTTTGTGAGATTTTTCAGTCATTTTACTAATCCATCGCAAAGGAGTAAATGAAATCAATTTTTTACGAAATTGCAAGTATATTTGTGAACTCTTGTTAGAACATAGTCCAACTTCTTCAGACAAAACAAGATGTAACCTAATATTAAATGTGTTTCACACCTCCTCTCTATCTTATCATTGTTTATTCTGAATTTTATTGTTGTATTTTTCTCAACTATTTCTGATCTTGGTCATAGAATAGTGTAATATGGTGTAATACTGGCGATTCACGTCAACACTTCCTATTCAAACATTTCTTTTTTCAATTTAGATGAAACCGAATATGAATACAGTGGTTCAGAAGATGAAAAAGATGAAACACCAGAGGAAGGAGAACCAAGTTCAATTATACAGGGACCAGGAGAGTCAACATTAAGAAGGAATTTCTTGAAGTTGCAAGCTAATCAGGACAGGTAGATTGAATTTCTCATATTTTTTCTGTGCTACTATTTCTATATTTTAAACCGTCATTATACATATACCGATGCAGGTTTTCTCAAGCTTGTAGGAAATGTATTACATTTGTCGCGCCATTTTCAAATAGTGTATGTTTCAAAATATTATAGTGAAGGTGAAAATGTATATAGTTTTATGATTACTTATCCCAAGATTAAATTACATATTACCCAAATTTTTTGGTACGGAATAAAAAGCATTTTGATACAATGCATTGGACCATATTAATAAAGGGTACAAACTTTTTCACATGAACATAGTGAATTGAATGAGGCATAAATTTTATTAGGAAAGCTCTTCACACTATTTTTCTAATTTTATCAAGAAAAACCTATTCACATGCAGGTCTGGATGTCGATTACTTAAAATGACGTCTCAAAATAAAGTCACTAATATTTCAAATACATTTACAACTTACTGTGTAGGCAGATTGAACGAAATTTCCAATTTTTCACCAATTTTTTGTTTTCCCATATATTTTCTATATGAACTCATAACTTAGTGGTTCCATACAACCTTGGGAATGTTGTGTGATAGAATATGTTTTTCATACTTAGTAATTTAAGATATAAAATGGCATTCTCAAGTGACTTGAGTTTTGTTTTATCCACTTTGATCCAGACTGACTTTTTTCTTACGAATCTTGCTTATCTCATTTTATAAAATTCCAGGGCCGATGTTCCTCGTTCTGGTCCAGAAGCTCAACCTCGTGATCCTGCGGCTGACCAAAGAAAAAGGCAGAAGATACAGGAAGAACAACAAAGAAAAATTGCAGAAAAGGAAGGAAAGAAAAGAATGGATGATGTAAGATTTATATATTGTTTTCCGGATGGGAGGTATTTAGTGCAATACAGAGTATTATTCCTGTTTTCATTTTGAGTTCAAATTGGATTTGGGGATTTTTTTGAAACCAGGCAATACGATTTTACCATGAATTTCAATTAACATATAATCTTGTGTGGATGGAAGCTTAGTGAGCCTTATACTTGACTATATTGACATCTAAGTTCAAAAACCCCAGTTTCAAATCCCATTTCCACCACCTCACCTAGTGTGTAATAAATCTGGTAGGCAGTGCTAAACCAGAAATATCCCGATCATTCCAAATTATAGTAGCACCTTAACTGACAGTGAATGCTTTCATAAAGCCTTACAAAGATAAAGCCATATAAAAATTTGGAATGCCAAATTACACAAATTGCTTTATTTAGTTTATGCCCACCATAGTTTGTTTTAATATTGATTATTTAATCACTTTCAACTAGTCTTACCCCATCACATTGATTTGCTGATTAAATTTGTTCTGTAATTTTTAAAGCTAATTTTTGAAATTTAGACTGTAATGTATTACATGCTAGGATTCTATAAAATGATTGTCCGGATTAAGATTCCTATGTATGATGATAAATTCCTATTTTTTCCAAAAATAATTTTGAATTTTTTTCTCAAATTTTAGCAACAGAGACGTGAAGCGCTTTTGAGAGAACAGAAACGAAAAGAAGAGAAAGCAAGAGAAGAAAGAAGAAAACTAGAGCAACAGAGAAACGATGATAGAAGAAGAAGAGTGAGTTCAGTTTTCTTTTATACTGTATGGCAGTTTGCTGTGTTATTGGAAGAACTCATTACAATACATATTAATCACAGAATTTGAATCCCGATCATATTTTCATGATTTTACTACATTTGTGGTACCCAAAAGTTATTGTTTGAGACATAAATTAAAAAAGTTTATCATCTGTGTGCAACCTTTCATACAGGAGGGTCGGAGAGAAATAACTTGGGTGAAACCGCAAGCCGTACCTTTATTTAACATAGATTTTCTAGTAGTCACAACACAAACATTTTGGTTATTGATCTTATGCGATGTGTCGTTCGCTGCGCGCAAGCTAACCGTTAGGGCATTGTATGGGCATTTACTCATTAAACTCAAGCATTTAGCATAGATAATACATTGACTCTGGTATAGAGATTGGAATTACCAAATTAAAAACTCGTTTCGCGGGCCGCACATCATTCAAAATAGGCACTTCTCCACGGGGCCACACGATTTTTCCTTGATGGTCGCATTTGGCCTGCAGGTTGAACACCCCTGATCTGCAGCATTTTCCAACAAATATTTCATGCATATTTATTTTTCTCTTTGATGCGTTTTCAACCGAAAATTTACAAAGGCAAAAAGAAAATAATCAAGTGTTTAGTCATAAACTTATTGCTGATAGAAACATGGAATTCATAACAGAAAAAAAAAATTGAATATAAATTTTTTGTATACACAATGATTACAGAAATTATTCACATTTTGAAACTGCATTGTAAAACTTTTTTTTCACATAGATTTTTATGTAATTTCTGTAAATCTTAATTTTGTTGAAAGTAATATGTTCTGTTCTATAGGATTTGGAAAAACAAAAAGCTGATGAAATCCGTCGACAACAAAGACATCAAGAAGAAAGAAGACAACGTGAATTGTTAGAGCAACAACAAGTAGAGAGAGCTCGACAACAGATTCAACAAAGAAAAGAAGCTGAATTTAAACAAGATGTAGGACTTCCACCTGTAGTAAGTATAAGTAACACATTCTTTTTTAATATATCATTGGTTTTCCTGCTTGGCGCTTATTTCAGATGATAAAAAAACGTAACAACAATGAAGATCGCACAAACCATTTTATAGACTCTGATGGCAACAAAAAAAATTGAACGAAATTTCAGAAGCAGAAAACGTCAAACAAAGCTTATGAACTTATTTATTTCATTTTTCATGGTGCATCATCTATTTAATTGTCATTATTTCACCTGGTTAACTACATTACTACTTGATCATCGTATATGCTTCTATTTTCAGCTATCTGGCTTTCTTTATATCTTGAAAATACGTAGTCTCTGCTGTGTGGTGATTTATTGAATATATATTTATACTGTAGTGATGTTTTTATTTTTGAAATGCACTGAATCAATGATATTCTATTTTGATTATTGCTTTTTCTTGGACTCTATCTACCTCCTTATTGGGCTGTATACTGAGCATGGCAAGTTCCACTCAAAACTTTCTTAGTCTTTTCTTTATTTTTCTATTCTGCACTTTGTCTCTCTTTCTGTTCAAATAATTTTGGGAACATAAGATATTCTATATATCTTTATGTTCTTTTCAGAAATCTGATCAACACAGATCTTCTTCACAAAATCTTCGAGATAAACCGATATGGGCTCGTGAAGTCGAGGAACGAAGTCGAAGAAATCGTCCCGGGTCACCTAGCAACCAGGACGTTCGTAACCGTAGCAATTCACCAAGCATTCCGTCCAGAATGAATCCTGCTAGGCAGGTCGGTCGAAGCTGGAATGTCCTTTTTCAAAATTCCTCTCAATACTTTGGTGGCAAGAAATGATTTTACATTGCATGCGAATTGTTCATTTTTATTCACTTAGCAAACTGACCGAAGCAGCCATATTGGACTCATCTTATGATGAATCATCATAAGATCATTCAGATGATGCCATATATGTAATAAAATTCATTTCTTTGAACAAGGCTCATTGCAAGAAACCACTGAGATGTACTGATCGAAATGTGATCAGGGTTTTTTTTTTAAAAAAAAACTTAAATTTTTTTCAAATATATCACGGGTTAGATGTGATGCTGGGCATGACATTTTTTAGTTATTATTGGCCTAACAGGTTTTTATTACAAACAGATATCTGTATCCCACTTGCATGCTCAATGAAGTTCATCAGGTGTCAAATGTGCTTGAACTGTTGTTGTTTTTGATGACGCGTCTCAATATTTGTTCTTGAGATCGTCATCATTCTATTGTTATATACAGAGTTTCAACAAAATGTTACTACTTTATTCATATATTGATTCAATAAAAAGCATTGCTTTGTATTTATTTTTTAGGGTGCAAGAGCATCGCCTCACCAAAGTCCAATTATGCAAAGGCACATTATGAATGCCGGTGGAATGATGGACTCTGATGACTCTGGATCCAACGCGAGCCCTGTGGGAACAGCAGAACGTGTTAGAATTAAAGGTATAAATGTGTAATTACTTTTAAGTGTACTGTGACTCCATAATTGTAAAATAAAGTTTTGCTATTTATAGACTCATTTAGATGCTGGTGGGGAAGTATTTCTATTTTATGTGGTTTTATGCAAAATGAAGATGTGGAAATATTTCTAACTGTTCGAAGCTGTTAAAAATCTGATTTCAGAAATAAAATTGCATTCGGACTCCTGAGCTTCTTGGAAAACTGTTTTGACTGTTTCTATGTTATGTCTGGAATATCAAAATTTTCACTAGAAAAAGTCTATACTGTCCTCAGTCGTACTTTTTTGTACCACTTTATACCTCCTTACCTGAAAATTTTTACTCTGATACTGCCGTCCTGAAATGTTTTAAATGTACTTAAATACATACTTAGATACATTCTAATACATTTCCGTAAGAGACCCACCTAAGTGAGTTTTGTTAACGTGACTCTTTTTCTGCAAAATAGTCTACCACAGCCATGGCTAAAATGCTTGTAAAATAGTTATGCTAGGACCTACGAAGATAATTTGGCAATTTCTGTATATAAATTATACATTTCCATATAAAGGGTCACCAAGGGCATCACCACATGGCACACCAACACAAGGACGAAAAGGCACATCAAAGTCCAGGTCTTTTGCAGAACCTGGTTCAAGGTGATAATTTTTCTAACATATTTTGCAATTTTTTTGGATGTTATAAGAACGTAATTAGAAACCTCACACTAAATTAAAAAAAGCGATGACAAAGCAAAGCACTTTTCAAACATTTATTTTATGGATTATTTTTTTGCTGCTACTACCACCTTGCAATATTTCTGTGTCTGTTTTAAAAGTGTTCTACTTGCAGATATAGATTACCTATTCTGAAGTTATTGTTTACAGTTTTTGTATGTATCTCGCAAATCTGCAGTTACGTTCTAAGCAACCATTTTTATTACTGTGTGTGTCACTCGTATATTCAAGAGTCGAGAGTGAGAAATAAATCCGGTCTCTAGCAGAAATATTGCTGACTATTAAGTAGCCATATCTGTTAAATACAGTTTTGTAAGTTAAATAATTTTATGTACGATTTAGACCAACTCATTTAAATCGAGTAACGTCGTACTCATCTTCATCATCTACTGGGAGCAGTGAAGATTCATTAGTTGATATTACAGCCATACAACCTTCTTCAGGAATGTAAGCAGATTTTAATATTCTATTAATATTTTAATACATGATTGGTGTATCGGTTTGCTGTTATAATTGTATTTCATGTTGGTATAAGTCTATACTGGTAGCATTTGGAACAGTTCAATAGAAAATTCCTATGTACCGTATATGCTCGCGAATAGGCCGAGTTTAAAACTCCAAAAAAAAAGTTGCCAAAATATCGGCTCATTGGCGCATCAGAATTTGATCACGCAACAACAAGGAACTAAATTAATCACCGTTGTGGCGATTAAAGGAAGTTGTTTTATGCTGATTCCGGAACTCTATATTAAACTCCCGACACAATCACGACGCACTGAAAAGCAATATAGACTTTATTTAACATAAATTAACAAGTAAGAATTACGGGTAATAATCCACCTACGGCCCTCGCTAACATGCAGAAACGATTAACGTGAGAAATATTTGCGTTACAGTAATTTTGTTCTCTTTCTACGTTTTTCTTGAGGCGTCCGGCGTGTAACGATTCGTAGGACCGGCTTATGTGCGATTTTTTATAAACTCGCCGTTTTAAGGCCATTTTTAGGGAGTCTGCCTATTCGCGAGATAGACGTAATTTCGAGAAAGTACGGTAATGATTTTAAATATAATCCTATCTAGATAATTTCATTTTAATTATCTTTTAGAACTTGTGCTTTAGAGTCTGTTAAATCTTATATACTGCTTGCTGATATTTAAACAGAAAGCAATGAATATTTCTGTGGTTCTAGCAAATGCTGAAACAGAGCATAGTCATTTTGAAACAATGTTATTAATGGGGATCATGAAGCTGAGTCTTAAGTTATTTAGCTTTCAAAAATCATGTTATGCTATCCATATTGAGCTCATTCTGATAATTACTAAAAACAAACAGACTTTTTTATTTACTATAACTGTAGATTGAACCAAATCTTTACAATTTGGTAGGCCTCTTCCCACATGTCATTTTACTGCTTTAAAGCATGCATTTATGTTTTGTACAGGAATGCAGGAGCATCTGACACCTTAGTTCGATCATTGGATGATGCTTCGACTGCGGAATATGCATCCATAGTAAATTGTTTCTGTTGTCTTTTTATATCGTTAAATGTATATATAATTAGGTTTTGAAATTGGCATTTCGCTGGAAAGCTATTTGTAGAAATTGGGTTATACATACTTATTATTAATTACTTACTTAACTATGCATACTTATTTTTTAGCCTCAGTTGGTCTAAGTGTTAGGAATGCGCTTGTTGTCTCAGCACCACTGATTACTATGTGTGGGTTCGCAGCTTTGTATCCAATGTGGAATTATTATGTGCAATAGAATACACCTTGGTCCTTGCTGTTGTAGGATGGTTCACATAACCGCTGGTCAGTTACAGCTTCTTCCACGTTTGCATTTTTCACGTTTTCCACGTTTGCAACTTCATGCATTTGAATCAAATACCAGGTTAACAATTACCATACCCAACATGGTCAGGTAACCAGACGAGGGGTCGTGATTTGTCATGTGATTAAACTATCTTATTGTCTTTTTGCTACCCAAGGTATATATGAAAGTCCTATTCCTATTATTGGCAAAAATAATGTTTTCGACAGCTTTGTGTTTTTTTAGTCACCTGATGAAAATATCATTATGATGCTAAAATCTTCTTTCTTAAAATTAAAAATTTAGGACCTTGATAGAAAACATGCTGAACGAGAAGCTAAAAATATGAGAGCGAATGGTATGCATGACAGACAGTCAAGTTGGGATCAAGCTGATTTCACCAAACAACAAGGAGCTCTACCGGATCTTGTACAAAGACTTCAAATATCCGATGGACAGATAGGAGATGTAAGTGTTTGTCTGTATTAGGAATGTCGTATTTGAATAGGTATTACAGGGGGACCGAAAAAAAAAAAGACAGTCCCAGGTCATTTGGAACGTATTCTAGAGATAACCCAACTTTTGTGCAAAGTGCCCTAGATTATCGAAACTTTTGGGTAGAATCATGCACAAACAAGTACTAAGTAATTTTTTTTCGTTTTTGTAGAAGTAATTGAAAAATTTGTAGGTTCTGTTTTTTGTGTCACGCTGTATTTTACAATTCTTTTTATTCGCTATTATTAGAACTGATATTCTGTATTTGGAATATTATGATATATTCCAAATTTGATCGAATTTTTTTGGGAAAAATTACTGGTTTTGGGAATCTGAATTCTGAATATATTTTTTACGATTAATATTAATTCGGAATTTAATTTGAACTATAAATTTTGAACAAACCTTGGTTTGATTGATTATGTTATGATGGCGCCAACCATAATTAAAAAAGTGAGGAAATAATTTTTTGTACGATGCTTGTTCTCGCTTTTTACTGCATAGGCAACCACTGATATCTATCGATATCTAACCATCCCAGTTCCGCATTTCCTACCCAATTTATTACACACTGGATGAGGTGAGTGGAATGAGATTTAAACCAAGATGTGCAGCCAGCGACTACATTACTACATCTAATTTTTAATTTCTTGTGCAATTCGTCTTTTTCTTTGTACATGTGAAAATGAAATTGTACTCGGGGGATAATCTGTATATGTTTGTCTTTATTCATTTACGCCTGTGTTTACGTGGGTATGCTTACGTATCATTTTTCATCAATTTGTGACATTGGTTATTTCAGCCTGCTGGAGCTGCATCAAGAGAACCAAGAAAATCATCAGTTGTGAATGTCAATCCTAAAGGAAGTGAAAGAATTCCAGGAGTGTCGACAGACATGCCTGAAATTCGGAAATACAAAAAGAGATTCAATTCTGAGATTCTATGTGCTTCCTTATGGGGTAAATATCACATTATTTTATACTTTCTACAAGAAAAGGGGAGCCCTATTTTTTCAGGTCTCTGTATTATCAGCAATTCATTTTATTCCTTTTTATATGTACAATTCAACAACTAATTCCTAGCCAATTTTATTCAGTGTTCCCTTTGGAAAATAATTCTAACAATTTGTATCCAGGTGTGAATTTGTTAATTGGAGCAGACAGTGGATTGATGTTGCTGGATAGAAGTGGGCAAGGAAAAGTTTATCCGTTAATAAGTCGTAGAAGATTTCAACAACTTGATGTTTTAGAAGGATTGAATCTTGCAGTCACTATTTCAGGTGCTTATTTCTGGAAAATAATAATAATAAGTCACCATGAATCTGCATGATTTTCGCAAAAATTATTTCAAATATTATTTTATCAATCGTCCTTCAGAGACAACTGGCACGAAACTTAAACTCAGTTTTATTATTTCACTGGATCGTGATTGGTTAGTGGAATCGATTTAATAGCATTCAAAGATTCAAAGAAATATTAATAATCTTGTCTATCATTTTGTGGCGGAGTGGGTTTGGTCATTCCACACAGTTTTTTCAATATTATGCAATTGGGTATTAAAGTTTAACATGTTAGAATGATATGAAAAATGAAAATAGCCATGACAAACATAGACCCCATTTTGTTGTTTGTAGCGCACAACCTAAAAATCTTTTAAAATTCTTTTTCTAGCTTGTCACGTTTTCTAGTTCATGCATCTGAGACAAATACTTCGTTAACTATCCCCATACCCGAAATGGAATGGCTACTGGACGAGAGGCCGGGGTTAAACTACCCTATTGGCTTTCCTATCATGAAAATTCTATTCTACCGTGTCTGTTTTCTGACACACTCGCATTTCAATCATATTATTCCATTTCATTCTCAGGTAAAAAGAACAAGCTCAGGGTTTATTATTTAAGTTGGCTTCGAAATAAAATCTTGCACAATGATCCTGAAGTCGAAAAGAAGATTGGTTATGCATCTGTCGGTGATTTGGAAGGATGTACACAATATAAAGTTGTGAAGTAAGGACATCATTACTTTTTATTTTTTTAGTTTGCTGTATAATATGGGATTTTTGCAAGAAAATTGATATATTATAATATATAACCTTCAGTAATGTATTAAAAGCATTGTTAAATGCTTTTGGTAGTCCAATATATTTTATATACAACATAATCTCACCTACACTCTGAACAAGGCTGTATTCAGTCAAGCATCCAATGATCCGTAAGGAGTTACTCGTTCAGAAAGTTCTGGAATTTTTCCGATTTGGCAAATCGGACCCAGTTCATTTCACCCTGGGTGCAGTAGTGGGAACGGGGTCCGAACTCCGAGCATGAGAAATTTAATGCAGTATTATCCGATTATTGTGTCTACAGATGCTTTCTCTCATATTGATAGTGTGTTTAAAAGTTATCCCATAATTTGATATGGGATGGCTTTCTCCAATCCCAAACTTTTGGCTACAACAAAGCTAATCATACTAATCACAACTTGCTCTCAGAGCATCCTTGTTAAATAAGAAATTAATACTATTACAAAACAACAAATAAATATAATACGCTAAATTTAGTTCGTTTTGGACACCAACTTCTTCAACAATTATGTGTTGTTAATCCAGGTATGAAAGAATTCGTTTTCTTGTTATCGCACTACGCAACAACATCGAAGTTTATGCTTGGGCACCTAAACCTTACCATAAGTTCATGGCATTCAAATCATTCTGTGATTTGCCACACAAACCAATGATAGTTGATCTCACCGTTGAAGAAGGATCAAGATTAAAGGTATTGTTGATTGTATTGATTATTACTTATCTACTGATAACATGGAGATTAGATATAGGTGATAAAAGCTAAAAAAATGTTATAGCACTTCATAATATGTACTGAATTTTTTTTCATGGTTTGGAATGTGCTTGAAACTGCAATCAATCCTATTTATATGTATACCTACCAACTCTGCTTTATTGTCTTGTCTAGTGTAATATATTGACTTCTGATCCCTGTTTGTTTAGTTGTAATGTCTTGTATGACGTCTTGCCTGCAGAGGTTTTTTGTCTTAAAATATGATAAAAACCAGGTCACCATTTTTTTTTTTCTCCCTAATTTTTGTTTATATCAAGAATCTGTTTCATATAAGATTCTTGGGTCATTTTTTCTCAAATAAATTATCTTTATCAAAAATTACAACTGAGAATACATAGATTCAATATTTGACCTTTTTTGGAATAAGTTTTTTGCAGCCATTCTAATTCTTAACCCTTTCACCTGTTTTTCAGTTATTATATGGATCTGCATATGGATTTCACGCAATTGACGTTGATTCTGGACAAAATTTTGACTTGTACTTCCCTAATCATGTAAGCTTTTTTATTCGATGGGTTTAACATTTGTTGTGTGTGCTGATAATTTATTATTTCATATTAAAGAATGGAGATCTTACCTTGTTGGCACATTTTTCGACTGACCAAGCTAATTGTGTAGAAACATGTACATATTCTATTTCTTAGTGAGCTAGATATTTATTATCTTGATATTTTATTAAGGTTTGTCATGTGTTTGCAAACAGTATGAGATTGATTTGTGAAAAAATGAGTTCAAATGATTGTTTATTGTAGTGATTCTCAAACTTTCAAGATTTGTGGCCCATTTATCAAGACTCAACATTTGTGGGCCGTCGCTCTTACATCAAAGATACATAGTTTTGCTCTTAACAGACTTCCATCAGTTATTTGATTCGCCACTTTAATAAAAATAAAAAAGCTAACAAACGTGTGTAAAAGAATGAATGCATTGCTGTCAAAGAATTAAAACAATTCATAATCAAGCCTTATCTTATTGGGCCATTTTATGGACCCGGAGTAAGGGCCCGTTTGAGAATCCCTAGTCGATGGGTTTTGTGAACTGTCCCACTTATGTTTTTGATTGAGACCTTTTCAAAACTTTGGTGTTCACACTCAAATTTATTTATGTTGAATTGGTCATTGGTGTATTGCATTTCTTTCCCATGTGTGTCTCAAATTTGATAGTATGAAATGCCTGTTTGCTTTATCTTATCCACTGACACTTAACATATAAATATTATTTCCAGATTGAGGCACCGATCACTTGTCATGCCATCATTGTTCTACCTAACACAGAAGGAATGGAATTGCTGGTTTGTTATGAAGACGAGGGAGTCTATGTTAACACATATGGGAACATCAGCAAAGATATCGTCCTGCAATGGGGAGAGCAACCAACTTCAGTGGCTTACATCAGATCAGGTATTCACTCTTTTTTCTCGTATTTCGGATATTATTGAAGTATATACACGCTTTCGCAGAGGTCGAAATTTAGCAGGGTATGTCCGAATTTTGAAGCCTTTTTCTTCTTCTTTATCGCTGTGGTGTATATATAGTATGGAAGGATGTAATGGTATCAACAATATTAGTATTGCTTGTTATGACATTAGTTAGAATTAATATCAATGAGGAATTTATCATGGAGCAAGTACATTAAAATTGAACAGAAGTTTTAGCATGAGTAAGTACTTTATACCGATTTAATATTTATTTAGTGAGAAGGTATGCAAAAGTAAGTCATTATGTTGCATTTGTATGGAAGAAAAATTTATCAAATTTATCAAAATTTATTTGTTTTAGAAGATGTAATATACACTAAACAATAGGAAAAAAATAAGGGATGCCCAATGTCATCTACAGCAATATCAACATAATGCTGTGCATATAGTTAGCTTTAAATGAGGCAATTATTGATAGGAATTATTGTTAATATAGAGTTCAAGATGTGGTGGAGGCTTCCATGTATTTGCTAGCTTGTCTAAAATTGTGAAAGAGTGTTTGCGTTAGAGATACTACTCCAGTTATAGTATTACATTGACAATTTACAATTCAAGTCTATCTTGGTCAACAGGAAAGAAAGAAGTATGCTGCTATAATATCCAAGGTAAGGCGAGTCAGGTATAACCCGTTAATAATCAGCTTTAGACTAGTTGTCTTGCTAGAGTTAGATATACCTATGTAATAAGTTACATCTTGGTAATTTGTAAGTTGTTTAGCAGTATTATTAGCTATAAATCACAGGTATTGATTTGTTCTATTGATTTACCTGAGTCTAGTAGCGAGTGTTAAATTATGTTTGGGGTTCAACTCTTCGTTGAGTAGATATGAGATTTGCAGATAAATTTGATGCATTTTGAAGTACTTTTCAAATGATATCTAAGGTTTAATAGTGGTAATCGAGCCCCAATATGTGCTTTATATTTATGTTTTCAAAACAATGCTCCAAACATGTTCTTGAGGAAGAACAGAAATTTCAACATTGTCCATCAAAATTTGTTACTCACTGACTCTTCAACCTACGACACAAATCCGTAGGCCATCCTACTTTCACAAAAACATTCCAGTACTCATACTACTTCGTTTTCCTTTTATGAATATGGATAATAACCAAAATTCATATTCTTAATCAATGTTCCAGGTCAGATAATGGGCTGGGGAGAGAAGGCAATCGAAATCAGATCTGTTGAAACTGGACATCTGGATGGTGTGTTTATGCACAAAAGAGCACAACGTCTCAAGTTTTTATGCGAACGTAACGACAAAGTCTTCTTTGCTTCAGTACACAGTTCATCATCCAGCCAAGTTTATTTCATGGCTCTAAACCGTAATCTTCAGATGAATTGGTGAGACGATCATTGCCAAATCAACTACACAAAACGATGAGACAATTTTCTCATTTATATCTGTGAAAAGTTAATATTTTTAGTAGCATCAACACAACATCTTTCTCATAATTTGTAGCCTATACCATCATATCGCCACAGTAGAACCAAATTAGATTATGCCACATTTTTAGGTTTTGAGTAAATTGCAAAAATAGTATGGTTTTTACAGCTGAATTTAAAAATCGGCATACGGCAATAGAATACTTAAAATCAAATTTAGAACGAGAACAGCTTTGGAACCCAGATCAAACAACCTGCTCCATAATGACAGAAGCTCATAAAGGTTCAATTCATAAAAATTTGACATAGGCTGCTTTGATTTTACTGCGGCGATGTAAGCGATTCAACCACAATATAATTGCCTTTTGATTAGAAATGCTCAGAAATGAGGTTTTTGCTTAATCATGAGTCTATAAAATTCAGGTTATATATTAGGTCAAATTATTGCTGTCAAATTAAAATTTTCTGAAAAGAATAAATTGAGAGAAGCAAAAAAGGTAAGGATGTTCCAACGACGGCCATTATTCTCGTTTTGAATGTTTGATTGTTTTCATAATGCAATACTTGTCTTATTATTTTGTTTGTTTTTGTTTAATTAATCATCACATTTTTCATTGTATATAATTATGGCCTTTAGTTAATAGCAAATAATTAATAGTGTGAAAATCGAAATGTAGTGGGCTAATGATATGCGACTTAGTCAATTTGAAATTATTTGCCACAATTCTCCTCATCTTTTTTTTATCGAATTTAGCCAAGATGGTTGTTGACAGTTTTTAACACCAATAACCATTGTTATTCATATTTAAAACTTTTGAGTTTTTTTTTTCAGTGTTCAAACACAGTTTATCTTTGACAATATTGCTTCCAGATCTCTCTAATCATTTTAGATTGGTTCATTTTATTTCAAATCCTAGAAGCAAATCAGTTGTTTGAAACCTAAAAAGAAGGGTAGTCACAGTCACAGACTATATTCACAAGGCCTGTCGCTCAAACATTGCAAATTTCTCAATTTCTAGCGATGTAGTTTCACCAGCTTGAATCTTCATTGGATATTTCCTACTTAACAATTTGTAGGTTGAAAATATTGCTTGTATTTGGTGATGGGCATGATGTATTGTTGATAGACAATAAGTGCGATAGTATTCCACCCATGAATCCAACACACTGTAGCAATGTGTGACCACTACTCCTTTCTGTACAATAATAGTTTGTTTAGAAACAAGATGCAAAATTAAGTCCAATTTTCTCTTTTTTTAATTAATATATCTTTTGTGGACTCCTCTTCGCATGATGATTTTATGATAACTATCCATTGCATGTTCTGTTTGTAAATGTTTCTACGTCACAATAAACCTATTCCATTTATGTTGTGAATTTATCCTCCCCAAAAATAAATAATTGTTTTTCTACTGAGGGAGATAGGAAAACAACTTGAATTTGTAATATGAAAATGCGAGAAACTCATTTTTTGTTCAGGAAAAATTATTGATCCTTTCTTCTCCCAAGTTAATGTAATATTAGTCCTGTTGGCTGGTGTCCCTAATACTTATTAATTGTAATCTTGTTATAATATCACACTGTATGTGGTTTTGGGTTAACATTTGCTTCGTGTATGGAGATGCCTTTAGTGTTGTATCAGTACTTTATATAATAAGTTCATTATGCCCAAAATTCATATTTATATCTTTTAAAGATAAAGACATTAGGATAATTTAACTTGTCAGATTTTATAGAATACTTCATGGTACTCTGTTGTACACCCACTAATCGTTCAAGTTTCTTAGGCTTGAAGTCTTTGTGAATCTTGGTTGTAAGACATGAATTTAGAGTGCTCTTGGGAGTTGTTGTTTTAGTAAGCTATTTTGCCTTTTCTTCGTTGTATTATCCTATTTATACTTCTTCGTATTATAATTAATTGTACTGCTTCGCAAGAAATACAAATGTTTCCTCGAAGGAAAAGTTGTTTTATCAATGAGTGTGTCATTTGGGTTATTATATTGGGAAATAGAGAATTGAATTTCATTTTTAGAGAATCGGTTGTGCAGTGAAGTGTTTTGCCCAGTATATCCACAGTAGACGTACGGCGTGGCTTGCATGCTTCCTGCTATGGAATAGTTTGTCATCGCATCGCCTATAACTCTGATAGATTTATCGATCCTAAACACGTAGGAAGAGTTGCGATAGGACTTCTTCCCTGCAATGAATATGGAAAAATGCTTCTCGCCGGGGAACAGGTGGTGGATGATTTTTCAGAAATATCCAGGCGTCACTTATCTCTGCGTTGATTTGTAAAACGTTTAATATTTATAGGTGTATTATTATTTATATAGTACTATTGCAACTGAAAAGCCATTGGACTCCACCTTTTCGGTAATATTGTACCCGTATTTGATATGTATGAAATGATTCTGGTCATAACGAATATGTTACTTTCACCCTGATCGAAATGATGTTGATACACCGCCGTCTATTTTATTTCATTAATCTATATTTGCTGTCTTTTTGGCTCGGTGTTGGGGCATCTCAGATTACCACATGTGGATTCGCAGTTTTGAATCCCGTGAGGGATAAAAATGAGCGGCAGACAAGATTGCTGTACTGCTCGCGCCGTAGGGGTATTCACGTAACCGCTAGTCGATTACAACTTCCTCCACCACCAAGTCCATGCATTTGAAAACAAACAAAAAAAATAACTGGCGAACTAATCCCATACCCGACATGGACTGGTAACCGGACGAAAGTGTTCTTCATACACTTTCTAGCATGGATTAAAAAAATTGGAATATAATGTTGTCTTCTTTGAAGCATGTTATACCTACCTCAACATTTAGTATATTTTTTACAATATTGCTTTGACTGCCCTAATCAAAGTAAACTTAGCATGTGCATCAGTATACCTGACCAGCGTTGTGGTCGTCGTTACAATAGAAATGAACAATGAAGACCTTGCGACTCGTGTCAAACAAAGTGTGTCCCACTTTTCCTACTTGTCCCACTTTTCTCATGTGTCCCACTTCTCCGGGACACGTGGTACAAGAGTGGTGCATGTGGGACACGACATTTTGGAGACACTGTCAAACAAATACGCGTACATTTATTGAGTATATCCACTTTTTTCACACGTGTATCTTTTGTTGTGTTAAATTATTTATTGATTGGTGTCAGCAAAGTACAACCTATAAAGATGGTTGTTTGCTGTCCGTCGATATGTCCAAGAATGTGGTTATTAAGCACATGCATCTGAAACAAATAAATGGCTATTTTATAGTCGACATTGACTGGTAACCGGACGACGGGCCGTGATTCGCCACAGGATTAGGTCTTCCTATCGGCTTTCATGCTCGTCGGGATAAATGTGTAAATGCTAGTTAAACCTGTAGCAATTGTTCTGTTGATATTGGTAACTTAGAGGCGAAATTCGCTGCAAAAAAAATATTTTTGGCAATAATGCGGATACGTTTTTTCCGGGGATAGTTAGTTTCTATGTTACCTTCTACGAGTTTTGTGTATTCTGAGAGTCTTGCCAAAAGAATTCATATAACATTAACATCGATAAAGTTTTATATTTAGAAGCGATTCGAAGACCATAGTACAGTTTATTCAAACGCAAATCAACTTCAGAAGGTCAAAGGTTGTATAACAGCGCAGAGTAGCGTCCCAAGCGACAGAGCGGTTTCTCTTAAAATGTTATTACAGTAGTAGCAAATGGCACAGCTGCTTCATTGATATTGGTGGGGTATCGTACAGACAATGAAGTCGTTCGCATCTCGAATTACAATTTAGAATGTAAATCAGTTAGACGTGATACATGAACTGATGAATAATAAAAACAAAGGTAGAACTATGAGTAGGTATAAGCAGCTAATAACGAAGGTCCTACAGTCCTGAGGCGCAAACTGGCAATTGGAATAAGAAAGCCAATAATTATGTCGTAGACCTACATGCATTGTTTAAATATTGTATGTCCATGTTTGTTTTATACATAATACTTTGTTAACTTAACCAGGCACTCACATTTATGTCACAAAAAACCTAAGTTTATTTGTAACCAGTCTGCCAGTGGGATTCGGTTTGCAGTAACCCGCCTGTGGACGTGATAATCAGTGAACCAACCCTTTCTTGTTTTTTGTTTAGACACTGCACCCATTGGGTAACATGTGCACTACAGATCACGACTAGTGTAATATTTGTAATTTGAGAAGTTATGCATTCAGGTATTAGATTTACGTAAAGCGTGCGACGTTAATGCAGCTTATGTCTGTACATTGTACGAATAGCTATCACCGTATTATCTGATTATAGCTGTATAGTGGCATACATTTCCGGAAATTAAGGAACCTGTTGTTGATGGGTTAGATAAAAGAAGAGACCCATTCTTATAATTTTGAATCCCACCACTGTTTGTAACCCTGTAAAAGATAATGTTCTGTAAATACTTATTCCAAGAATCATCATTTCATACCACCTCCTGACTTCTGAGTGTCGGTTTCTTGTTTCAGTTAATTTGGTTGCCATAAAACTAGGAAATGGAAGATTTCCGAGGTGCATATCTTCGTATTTGTAAAGAGAATTACATTGAACCCCAAGAATCAGTTCTTGAAAGGATACAATCTCTTGCACATCCTGACATCATCAGCCCTGGTGTACTTGATTTAACATCTTATACATTGACCATTGGAACATGTTGCGCTTTGGGAAAAGCACTCAGCCACGACATTGGCTTCTCTGAAATGCTGCTAACCGATTGTATGCTTAATGAAGAAGGCGTAAAAGTGCTGCTATCTGGTTTGTGCACAAATACATCATTAGAAAGATTGGATTTGCGTGGCAATAATCTTAGTCAAGGTAGTGCTAATGCTCTTGGTCATTTTTTAAAAGAAAATCATACATTGAAATGTCTTTGTCTTGAGTGGAATAACTTAGGTGTATGGGAAGCTTCGTTCAGAACATTTTGTGAAGGATTGGCAACCAATACTGGCCTAGAGAGTTTGGATCTTCGAAACAACCAACTAAACTATGTTGGAGCACAAGAACTGGCTCTGGCATTGCAATCTAACAAAACACTACGCAGTCTCGATGTAAGATGGAATAACATAGGTTTGGTTGGTGGAAAAGCTTTAAACAACGCAGTTCAACACAGCCAAACTTTGGTGAAATGTGAAGTAACAGGGAATAATTTACCACAAGAATTGTCCAATTCTATTGAGCAAAGCGTATTGTTTAATGAAGACAGACAACTCCACGACAGCATGAATAGAAGCAGAACGAAAATTCTGGCTCAGGAAATCAATGAACTAAAACATTCTAAAAGAAAACAAATGGTAGAGTATGAAACTGAAATGGAACAATCCAGAGCTGAGCTCAGCACTACTAAAAAATCATCACTCAGAAAAATAGGCCAGTTGCAAAATGCACTGCAGGAAAATAAATCAGGTCTCAATGCTCTTCGGGCTAAACTCGATATGACCGAAGCTTCACTTGCTCTCGCTCATCAAAAAGCTCAGGATCAAGAAAAACTAATCGAACTTTCTCGTAAAGAAACATCCGATGTTGTGAAAAATTATGAAGCACAGTTGCGGAAAGAACGAGAAGACAGAGCAGCTACGGATGATAGATTACGGATGGAACTCACTGATAAACAAGAAAAGTTATTCAGTTTGGAAGGTGAATTTGCGGATGCAGAAAGTAAAATCAAAAATCAACAACACAGTATCAATTCATTAAAAGAAAATGTAACACAGTTAAAATCCGACAACAGGCATACTATAAATACTGCTGATCAGAGACTGGATGAGGAAAGGAGACGACAGCAACAGGCGTTGCAGGTTAATATCTAAATTATATATATCCATTATTATTTATTGGGCATGCGTTTGACTATGGACTGTTTTGTTTTTCCTCTTTACTTTTCAGGTCATTCAGATATACGAGGAAAGTCGGGGCGCTGCCTAACAATAAATTAGTATCAGGATAATATTACTGAATTGTCTTTTATTTTTTGACTACCAAGTGCAGCGCTTCCAAATTTTTAGAAAGAAGTTTCTGTGACGCTGCAGTTTTTTGTGCTTCGAGGGACCGCCGTTTTGAATATTCTGATCATATTTTGAGCTGCCAATTTTGTTGGGTTTGCTCGGTTTGTCATCTTTTTTTCCTTATGCATTTGCTAAATCTAATTATTTTAATGAACCTCATTAATTTCAGGATCAGGCAAATTTACATCAAAAAATGATGGAAGTTGCTAAAACAGAGTGGGAAGATACTGAACGAGCTTTACGTAAAAGAATCAGCGAGTTGCAACATACTAATGTTGACTTAGAAGAGCAGCTGAGTACACAAAATGCAAACTTAATTGCGGAACGTAGCAACTCTGATGAGGCATTACGAAGATTGCGATCACAACTTCAGGAAGAACATCAAATAAGTATTAACCAACTCAATGAAAGGTTGAGATTGTCTTCAACTGAAAAAGGTGATTTGCAAAAACAAGTTGCAAGTCTTTCATCCGAAGTTACTGATGCACAAGCTATGAGAAGTGCAACTACAGTTGAAACTGAAGGGCTAAGACGTACAATACAAAGCTTACAACAACAACTTGCATCAAAAGTAAGTCTTCCAGGCTATCATTTTTTGTGCAGCCTTTTATACTGTAGTTTGGACGAACTGAAATCTTTTCGTTTGACACTGTCTACCCAATTATTTCATTCTGAGTGAGGCCGTGGGCGTGGTATCTGAACTCGAGATTTTTAACCGGCAATGCCAACATAGTCAAGGGCATTTGACCCCTAGGCGCTGTACCCAATCTGCGCGCCTTTTGAAATTTAGTCATAACGATTTAGTCGGTAATGATTCAGGTGCTGAGTAGGGATGGGCCGGGATTCGGATCCGGACTCGAGTCGAATCCAGGCATTTTTTGGACTCGGATTCGATTTCGAGTCCACATCATTTTTACCGAGTCCATAATCAATTCTGTTTTTACTAATTTACGGCTATGTTTGTACTTTTGCCTCTATAAATCCCACTCAAAGGATAAATCCAATTCAAGGTTAGATCTGTAACAATATCCATCGTGTGCATTATAAACACTCCTAATAAATCGACGACAGATATCCTGATAATATAACGCAAGTTGAAAACTATTGATCGCTTATAACAATGATATTGCGCCAGTCGCCTTCAAACTATCTATCCTTTTTGGTACACATGTGGTACACAATAAAATATGTGGTATTGCAATATTTTTAATTCGCGTAAAATCAAACATGCTCTGGATTAACCCAATGTGGATTTTTCGTATTGACATGTAAGAATATCTGAATAGCCGACCAGAATTGACGCAAGGTGGTGGGCTGGAAATCCAGTTCACAGCCAAGGCGCACATTGACCCAAGTTTACGTTTGTTTTATGGCCGCCAAAAGAGGAAAATATATTTTTAAAATGATTCAACAGCTATCTGCGGAACCATTAGGCAAATAATATGAGCTATACGACGTATATTTGTGAGAGCACGATGCTGTAGCATGTTTTTCTGCTTTTCCATTATGACGTCACGGACTCGGCAGATTCGATTCGAGTCCTTAACCTATTACTCGGATTCGTCGAATCTCTGTAATGCCAGACTCGTCCCATCCCTAGTGCTGAGATATGGATTATTTGTTTTACTTCACTTTTAAAATACTTAAGTGTTATTAATGACAATATGATACTATGAAGATAAATTGTACCAATCCTGGTTCAATACAAAATGTGTTCAGCATGACATATCGCCATAGCAAATCTGTGGACAAAGGTTGGATATTAACATGTAGACTTTACTCAAAATTCCTAGGATGCAGACATGGTGGCTGAAGTTGGACGAGTACGTACAGATATGCAAAGGAGAGTCAATCAACTTGAAGAAGAGTGTATGCAGCATTCGACGCTTCGTGAAAAAATTGTTGAATTAGAAACTAAACTTGGAGATCAAGCTGGCCACAATCGAGAGGTAGTGTTAAGTAAAAACTTAGAAATTGTTTGTCTAGAAATAGGGAGATTAAATGTTCGAAATGATCATGAGCTTATGCTGCCTTTTGTGTCATTATTATTCTTCATCGTTATCAACAATTACCTTTGACAACTCAAAACTATGCCTTTGTTATGATAAGCTATAACAACAGACATATGGCACAAAAGAAGTGAGTGCAGATAGATGTCTTTGAAATGAGACAAGAGAGTATTTGGGCTATTATATCAACTTCAGATATATGTGTTAGCCGTACTGTCTCCTGCTATTATAACTGATGTGGAAACACTTCTATCATTACTTTAAACAGATTATTGAAGAAAAGAACAAAGAAATTGAAAAATTATCAGAGAATTTGCGAAGGATAGAGCAAGAAATCGACCGTATGAGAGAGGACGAAGCACAAAGAGCAGCAGTTCTCCAATCAGCTATAATGAATTATGTTCAGGGTTCAAAGTTCAGAACTCATTCTCCTCAAAAATAGTATCTCACAAGAGCACTGGTTATGTTGTTTGTATGAGACTATTTGGAATACATACCTCTTATTTATACTTTACAGATCTTATTGGGCGATTGTCTCCAACCTTAAAAGACACCAGTTTCCCAAACCGCATAGGTTTTGCACAATGGTTCGGTTCCAATGCCTATACGAGCCTTTGCTACCTTACCGGCTTGACTCTCTTTGATGCTGCTGCACAACCACATGATCCCCAATTTATTCATGGTTTCGTGACTTAGGTAATTAAATGGTTGTAAATATCAATGAAATTTTTTATATATCAAAATTATGTATAGATAGATTATATTTTTTTATACTCTTGAATTTTTCTTTGTGTGTATCATCGCTGGTCTTTTTATGATAATAATACAGCAAAATAGATGGGATAGAGAAGAGTAGCAGTATTACAAGTACATACTAAGAAAGTTGACCCAGGGGTTCTGAAACTTTTGTGGTGTCATGGAGGAATTTGAGAGAAGCGTGATTGGATCTCACAAGTGCTTACGAAAAACACTACTGATAAAATCAGTCTGAAGTCCAATCCATACTTATTTTTGTACTGTACGCCGGATTGCATAAAAAATACATGAGATATGAGCCATCATTTTAATGCACATTATATAAAGTAGGCAGCAAGAGGCCCTACTGGATTACATGTATAAACCAACTAATCGAGTGCGCAGTATCAGGATAAAAAATAACACTGAGAAACTTTAATATTCAAGATACTGGTACCATATTCTAGATTACACCAGGCCATGATAACAATAACAATGAGTTTGAGTTGCTTGACAATATGGGTACAATTATACATGTGTATGAACAATCACACTGACAACAACTTTTCTCTGAAATTTACAATAGAAGTATCAATAAAACAGTTCTGAATATAAAAAATTGATATAATAAAATGTGCATTAATACACAACCAGACACAAATGAGCTTATAATCTCACACAGCTTAACATGCACCAGATAACATTCATCACACAATACAAAAAAAAAACAGCACCGAAAATGGAGCCCAGTGTAATATGCATGATTGATGAACAATCTTGAAAAATTTCATCGAACATTTTTGATTTGAAAAAATAGCTGATGAGCTGCCACATTAGGCAACTGCTCCAGCTAATATTCACAATACGTGAATACATCTAAATTAAAAATAGAATGTGTACTATCAAAGCATAGAGTGAAATAAAGGTCATGTACCATCACTGATCATAATACAATTTTTGAAGTCATCTTCATATCCATTGCTAGACATCCTAAGCTCTGGCCAAACAATCTGGAGCGAGCGCAAATCACTTTGCTTTGGGCATGCCATAAGAACATTCGAATCAAACATGTCTTCATATGTCTATAAATACTTGTATCCACTATTGCACGATAACGACATCTAGCAAGAAAGATACGTCATTTGAAGTTGTCCAGATTTTGTGACTAATAAGCTTGTAATATAGTTCAAAGCATCTTCATGGTTTACCAATGTAATGGAAGTTACTCTGAAACTTGACAAAAATATTCCAACTGCATTAATTACGGAATATATTTTGCCAAACTCTCACACTGATGATGAAATATTTTCCATTTATCTGATACTATTTAGAAATAGGAATAGTCAGTTTTGGTCCCCTTTGTCGAAAACTTGGTGTTTTGCCAGAAGGAGACGTTGCAGGAGCTTGTGTTTGAGCCGCAGATGCTTGAGGGCTTGAACAAAGCGTTTCATTCATGGCTTCTTCGTTCTCACTGAGATTGTCAGATGATAATCCTTCGTCAGATCCTGAGTAAATATAAATAAGTTCATTAATGAATAATCATTCTGAAGTGAAATTTGCAATTCTATGTAACACCAAAATGGGACTATTGGGTATCACCGTTTTTGAAACAGCCAGATGCAAATTTTAAAACTTTTATTTGAATGTCCTCGGTTTTATAAAAGCTTGGGGTTATAAAAGAGAATTATAAATGAGGTGTAACTGATATACTGTGTTGTAAGGCCAGAAAGCAATATGCGAAATCAGCTGGCACCCAACTGGATGCTACCGAGCCATGTATCATACAATCATTATAGCTAGCTAGCTTGCGGGTAAATTCCCTTTGTCGGTCTAAATTTCGTGTAAAATGTTTTTTTCAGTTCTAGATAAGCATTGTATATTATGCAGTTATTCCACGATATATAATGCGAATAAAATTCAGATATATTGTATGGTAAAATCTAGATATACAAGTAATTTAGAATACACATATTTAGACGAGAGTTATTTCGAGCAACTGAATTTGATGCTGAAATTTTATACCAAGCAGGAACAAAAAAAATTTGCTAATGAAAAAATCCAAGAGTTGAAAAATACCTTCTTCATATCTCAAATCTTCTCCAGATGCAGCTGATAACGTGCTGTTTAAACTTTGTCGAGATGCAACAGGAGTAAGATCAGCAACATCACCAAAATACCCAGTCACAACTGCATCAATCAAGTTAACTAAGGTCGATGTATTGTCAAGGTTGACAGACTGGATAAGGATACAAAAAATTATATTTTTAAACCAATATATCGCCACTTTCAATCCGATGCATCTGCAAACATAGTACTGAGGGCTTGCTGCCAAGTGTAACGACTGGTTAAATATTCCCATACCCTACAAGGACTGGTGGGCAGACAAGAGGTCGATGATTGCTTTACGACTAAGTCTTCTTATCTGCTGGTTTTCCCCCTCCCACATATTACAAAAAAATCCTGCTACTGTCTGTATGACACAAGTAAAGTATTGATAGTTACAAAAGTTTATTAGTTTTTAGCATCACAACCTTACGAATAAATAAGGGCAACCATTGGTAACGTTCAGCAGTGTGTTCTCAGCATCTCTGTCCCAATCTATTTACAATACATATTTTCAAAACATTAAGATTTTTACAAAGCACTGAGTGTGAATTTTGCTGTTCATTTTAGAGCTATCTGAGCCACCAAACTAAAATGGGTATCTATAACAACTCATCTTACCTGTGGAAAAGGACCAGCATATTTCCACACCCCTCCAAATCCAATATCTGTAAAACAAACAAGTCATAAAAAATGCTCAAATATCTTCACTCAACAGTGTTCAAATAGAAAAAATCATACTTTGTAGAAAGGATGTCTGATGTTGTCCTCTCGTTTCATCATTACAAACAGAATTATGAACAATCATTTGTACTGCACTGAGTATTGAAAGATCTTGGCAGTTGTTCAGTAATGAACTAATTTTCTGATCCAGTAGACTGTGCCTGTTATGAATCAAGACAATTGACAGTTTTGAATTTTCGATCATTATACCAAAACACAGGCCCTTTTCAATATTCCTAAAATGTTTCCAACACTACGGAATCCTGTTACAGTTCGAAATGAATGAAGTCTTACTGGTTCGGATCGCTGCCCTCTGGGTGGCTTTGTGTACTTTCTATCAAGCTGGGATTACCAGGCGTTCACTGGATACTTTTGAACGATAACAATGAACTAAAGCACTGATATGCTCTACAGTCACTGAAACTTGTTGATTAATACAGTGGAAAGCACTTGAAATTAACCTAGAATCAAGATTTTTCATTTGTGCCTCAGAAAAGAAAAAGGCAGAAGATTTCCTATTGATCAGGATGAATGTTGAAAGAAACTGTACCCGATCACCAGTTACCACATCCATTCCACGATTTGTACATATGACCTCATATAGAGTAATACACTGTGCAAAGCAGGGCTGGGGAGCTGCTTCGATTATTCGTATGCAGTGTTAGGAAAATATAAATGTCAAAGAACAAAAGCCACATGCTCCGACTCCAGTTTCCCAGCCCTGGTGCAAAGGCAGTGTTACAAGATTTTGACAAGGAAAATGTGCCAGAATATAGCAATAGTTTAGTCACAAAAGCAACATTTATGTTTAATTGTATATAAAAATAGGCATCTTTGACGTTTTGAAAAGATAACTGAAGAGGAACTTACACAATAGGGAATACTTCTGGGAAAACAACACTAGCTTCTGCTAAATATTCATATAACACTCTTGCTTCCAAATCATCCGACCAATATCGAATCTGTGTTGCCAGGATTGTGAGAAGCAAAGCCTGAAGAATACGAAGATAATCAATTTCAGTGATCCAAAGACAAAAAAAAACTGAACAATTTTTACTCCTTATTCTCTTCTGTCAAAATATAACTGCAAAAAAAGCCTCAAGGGTTGGTGAGAGAGAGAAGACATTCAAACACAGTTTAGTCAAAAATAAGCAAGTTTGTGCTTATCATTTCAAAAAAAAAAAAAAAAAAGGAGAGAATTGCTCAAATATATGCACACGTAGGTCACGCATCAGTACCGATTTCACTGAGAAGATCAGGGGCCAAGCAATATACAAAAAAGTCTCCTTCTAATTTAAATATAACGGCAAATTTTTGGCAAAATATAGAGCCCGACCATATTTTAAGTACTGAAAATATGAAATTAAAGTCCATTCGTTTCGAAAAATAGCTATCGTATTTCAACAACAAATGTCACTCCGAAATTCAAAACATTCCATAGAAACACTTTGTGTCTAGATATATATACCTGAGATTCATTATCTTGCAACATCTCGTCATCTAAAAGCACATTGAATGCTGGATCAGTTGACAACTTTCTCCGTGAATGTCGAGAAGATGATGATTTTGCAGATGAAGATGTGGACGAAGAGTGTTTACATGACGATGGTCCACGACGAGATCTACTTCCATTCACCCTGTGTGATGGACCGGCACCACTACTACTACAGGTACTGCTGTCTGAATCATGAGACATACCTTCACAAACCTGCAACAATAGGTTCATTGACATTTTTTGGAGGGATTGGCAGTAGCAAATACTAGAAATTATATGGCAGAACCAAGATGGAAATGTTGTTGTTTATGAGCGGGTAATATATATTTCAATCCTATTTTATATGGGTGGCATTTTATATGGCAAGTCTTTGAACAAACAGCATGGATTCCTTTGTCGATTGTTCATTTTTCCACCAGATATATTTAACCTGTGAATCCATTATAGTTGAGTCTATTCTTAGGTTCAATGATGTAAACGCAAGGCCATTTCATACTTATCTTGCCAAAAGTGAAATTTTTAAAATGGCACAAAAATCTCATTTTTCTGGGATAAAGACAAGTAGTTCAAGAATAATGATGCCCAGACTATAACTATTGCAAATGATACTACAACATCACTCCTCTCCTTTGTTTACAATTCAAAAATGTGAAATAAGGAACTCACTCTTCTGAGTTTTGTTGGTGTACTCGTGTTCTCACGTCCATCATGTCTTTTGGAAGAAGTTGACAATCCTTTTTTTACTGTGAAATGTAAAATTAACATGATTGTCTGGATAAAAATTTATAACAACATTTATTTTGATAGTTAGAAATTACAATATTTTTTTACTTCGAAGAGGTGTTGCTGATAATTCAGTTGATTTCGCTGGAATTGCCGGAGCATATCTTTGCTGCGATACATCAGGTTCAGTGGGAAGTGGGCTGGGATTCCGTGCACTCCTATGAAAAATTACAAAGTAGTTTTATTTTGTTGAATAGCTTTGTAGTTCAGTCACGATTACTTCTCAAGGAAATGGAATTTCAATAAAAGAAAATTCATATTCCACTCTATCGTGATAGTAGTTGAACAAATTATAAAATACAATATGGTTGTTAATTGCTAAAAGTTGCTTCATTTTTACTAAGACAAATTTACAGTACATTTCAATATACATAACTGGTACAAATTTCGGGATCAACCCCCTTAATTTCTGGACCAATGCTTAAAAAAATATGGCATCAAGATAATTGATTAATCATATCAAAAAATATTCTGATTTTAGTTGTCATACAATTTTCTCAAGCTTTTTTGACTGATCTAGAGCAAGCTTTTAGTAAAAAATTGAATTTTTGGAAATTCAGAATAAGATATTTTTTAAATTTCATGAATATGAATTTTTGGAAATTCAGAATAAGATATTTTTTAAATTTCATGAATAGGGTTAGCTCTGTGTCACACTTCACCTGCGAGAAGAATGGCTGTCTGTAGATTTGGCATCAGAATTATTTTCTATATCATCAGTTACCACTTGAGGTGGTACAGAGCAAGAAACCATGGCTGTTGTAACGGTAACAGTAGATGGCTGTGATCCATTGGATGGTCGTCGTTGTTGCAGTTGTGCAGGAGGATGAAGTTGTCGATGACTACTTGATTTACCGATAGTCGATGAAGATGTAGATTGACGACTGGATGACGATGATCCAGGTTTTATTCTGGTTCCGCAATATCGCTGAACTTCGGCACTAACAGGTAGTAAAGCTGGAATTATAAAATTGCTTCATTTAATACGCAAGTACTTTCATTTCCTAAAGATGCTGATAAGCTGTACTAAGCCATTAAATCGATGATGGTGATCAGCTTCTTTTGAACAATTTCAACATCAAATGAATTGTAAGGTAACCTGGAACTATCACAAACAAGCAATGGTGTAACACTCATTGATGATTAATTTTGGATTGAAAATTTAGAAAATTGTAACTTTGGCCTTGACTTAAAGCCAGATTTCTGCACGTAAGTTGTGTGATGAGCTACAAGTCTATCCAGGTCAGAAAACAAAGTATCATCATCAAACGTCAATGTTTATTCCATGTTATGACATCACAGACAAACACACAGAGTTTCAGTCTATTATTTATATGATATGAAATGCATTTACCTGTTAAATACGCCACACTATCTGGATTGACTTCATACTTCTCACATTGCCTATGTCTAGATGTCAATTCCAACATAAATTGTAGTATGCGGATTGCTCTGGATACAACTGATGAGTCAGGATGACGAAAGCCTGCAAAATAATGAATTATGGATGTCATCAATAGATCATTTCATTAACAATTGTATAATTTAAAATGGTAATTTTATGATATGCTGGTACGTCAATGGAGAACTTGCTATGTTTAGAGTTATCTTAATGAGAAACTATACCCTCTATAAATAAAAGTTATTTTTCATGATAGATAAATTCATCACTGACAGTGATGGAACAAAAAAAAAACAGCTTGCAGAAGACATTATCTTCTAGTATTTTTTTAGTTTGGCAAACCTCATTTCTACCGTCTGTACTTTTTAAACAAAAATTCAGTCATATGATCCAATCAACAACAACATGCGATTATTTAAGGGATTTCAGGAATTAAACATTTGAAAAGATCTTGTAGTGCAAAGCACGGATGCTTTGTGTACCTTTTAATATATAACTGACAAAAGCAAAATGAAATCTTGATTTGAAACTGATTCCAAGTGCTTGATCAAGTTGCTGAAAATGTCTTTCTAATCTAGATCTCATGTTCATCAGGAAACTAGCAGGAGGCTAAGAATAAAACATGTAACATATTACCACAAATAACAAATTTCCAAAAAATAGCAAGTATATTAGTGAGATGTCTTAGTCCACCTTTGTCGAACAAAACAAGATATAACTGTAAAGACTAAGGTCATCATAATTATAAATTTGAAGAATGTAGGGATGGACTGTCTGTCTACTAAAGCATTCTTATGGATCCACGGATCCGAAGTAGGAAGTAAACAAGAAGATAGGAACTATAGTTCAATACACAATATCCTAGTACTCTCAGTAACAAATAATTCCAATAAATCTCTGCCCACAAGGTTGAAAAACTCCTTATTCCATGAATCGTTGAATCAGTAGAAAATGCTCAGATCGCGTAACTAGAAATGGTTCAAGCAGCATGACATTGAATTTACCAATTTTATACAAGTTATATTGTTGTAATAAGAATAAAGATGCAGAAACACTAGTAATGTATTATGATCTCAATATTACATTACCATTTCATAGTTGAACATACGATTAATAATGAAGTACCTATTAAATATAACAGTATTACATTATAAAGTCAAAAACATCCTACCTGCTTTCCAAAGACATTCATTTCATCCAAATGATTCAAATTTTGTTCAATCAATGATAAACCAGCAGAATAAATTGAGGTATCTTCAAGTTGTAACGCAGCTATGCCAATCCAGAAAAATATGGAATGAATTTCGAAGTCCTGAGAAATAGACAAAAGGGATTTGTATATTCAGTGTATCAAAATAGCTTGGTTTGACACTAATTTCACATTTGATCATAATTAAATAAAAATTTGATTTGGAATAATGAGGTAAAGAAATAAAAAAGACTTTACCGCTTGCATAACCAGCTGCAATCTTGTGAAACATAGAAGTGTTGCTTCCAATAAATTTAGGTCTGCATGAGATTCCAACGACTGAAAGAAAAATATTAGCAGAAATTTTCAATAAAGTTTTAAAAAATAGTTTGTTGGTGCTGTGTATTGGATTCATTTATGATATCATTCATAATCAAAGTGAATTGTGTGTGAAGCATTGAAAGTGAAAATTCATTCAACACAGCGTAGTCAAATTTACTTTTGAGCTTTTATTCAATGGGAAATTTTATATAAAAAAAAATCTCACTGTATCTTAGAATATTTTGCTAATTTAATCATTGACTAACTTTTTCATAGATCAGATGAAATTTTCATATTTATCTTGGGGAGAGGAAAGGGTTAAAACAGCTTAATTAAACCACAACTTCTCATTAATTTTAGTTACCAGCAGTGTTAACTCTAAGCAAATTATGAGTGCGAAAGTGCTTCGCAGTCGAAAAAAAAAGTGCGAAAGTGCTTTTGCCGATTTTAACAAGTTAGGTGCCCTAGCCTTTCATATAACCCATTTAAAACGGCATAGATACTCGAAAAAGCGCTCCTCCGGGTAATATTATGAATTAATGAGAAGCCTTTTCCGAGTTCCCTTTAAGCGAATTCATGTTTAATTAATGAAAAAAAAGCGAATTTATCGGCAACGAAATGACATCTGCTAACACCTGCCCCGACAAAACTTTCATGCAATGTAAACAGCAAAGACTTCACATTTGTTACTCCTTCCATCTAACAGACACGAGGCAGGCTGGAAACCATATTAGTTACAGGGTGGATCGTTTGTACAAATCCCGTGCAAAATTCCCCCCCCCCCCAAATATAAATAGCAATCAACTAATTAGGGTTAGGTGCGCTGGAAATTCAACTTTTCGATTTATCCCTAAACCTAATCTGATAATTATTAATTTGTGATTTTGAACCACTTTGAAAGTCGCCACCCACTGTTTTAAAAGATAGGTTAACCTACGTTCCCTCGGAAATATTACCGCAAGATACTCCCCTGTTTTAGGAGATAGGTTGACCTACTTTCCTTTCAAACTTTTTTCTCCGAAATATTACACAAGATCACTTTAAAAATCCTCCCGTTTCGTGAGCTTAGCGTGACCTAATTTCTCATTTACATTTATATTATACTATTTCAGAGCTTACCCAAAGACAAGTAATTTTTAAATGTCGACATGCCTTGGTTTGCGTGCGAGTTAGTTTAAATCGGGCAGAAACATCATATATTGGCAAAATGTGTAGTAATGTCATGTACTTGCAGCATTCATAAATAGCACTCTTTGTAATGCTGCTGACCTAGTATCAAATATTCGCATCACAACGCCACTTGCGAAGTTTCCATATATTTCAATTACACTAATATGAACGATGACACCAAAGAGTTTTCTTTTGCGAAGGTACACTAAATATAACGAGGGTGATTCTTGAGAAAAACATGAATATAAAAATAAACGAATGATATGATAGTGGATCGCAAATAATTTTGAGAGTGTCTCGAAATACCAATCCATTTGATAAATAATTTTTATTCGACCACATGACCGCTGATATCCTGAAAATTAATGTTGAAAGAGAATTACGCATTCTCAGATATCGGACGTCCAGTCGCGATATTCAATCGTTTATATGCACAAATCTCACATTAATAGTAATTGCTACCCAAGTTTGTGAAGTTTAGAAACCAACAAACAGAAAATAACTTATCCTAAAACACAATTAAAATTCAGTCGGCAATAAATTCGTCGTCAAGACGATGCCATACAAAACAAAAAGATTTGGTCGCGAGAGTTACGTGCGTTGTTTTTTAAGCAGAATGTAAAAAAATTTATAATTAATAAACGGGAGTTACGACGCCCTCTACACATCGTGTGTATTAAACTTCCCTGGTAAGTACTATTATTATTGTACTTATACACCTGTTGGAGTACTTCGGACAATTTCGAATTTAAAATAAATGAAAACCCGACATATAATAAAGACGCAAAAGAAAAATGAACATTTATTGAAAAAGTTATTAAGAAAGACAACATGATCGTACAATTCCGCCAAAACCTCAATGTTCGCAAGTGAGATGATAAATAAATACTTCCCTGTATTCGATCATTTAACTTTAGCGTATCGTTGTTCTGCCAACAAACAGCCGGGTGCAAAATATTTCCGTCCTGTGATATGCTCACAAATATTCTCGATATTAATATCATACCCTCGCGTATGTACTTTCTATTAGCTCATTAGTGATCCCTTCCATCCTTGGCCAAGTCATGTTTCGAATATGTGAACATTTTATTCGACCATACATGGCCGGCGGGATGTTAAAATTGTAAACAAGAGAGAGGTAAAATCAATCGCGAATTTCGTTATAACGGCTCGTTTACGAATTGTTGCGCCTGTTATCGTCGAAAATGATTACATTTGTTGTATTTTGAGGCATTTAAGCAGTAATAATTAGGGCATGACATCATCAAAATCGTCAAGTGAGATCCTGAAATTGCAAATTCCGTAAATAAAATTGTGAATTATTCGGTAACGAATTCAGCTTTAATGACCGTTGGGGTATTGTTTTGTTGAAAATTATTATTAATGTGAGAGCGCCAAAAACATACAGTCCATGCGATGCGACTGCAATTTATATGGCCGCAATTGGTGTGGCGCGGTTATTAATAGTGTAAAATAAATTAAACGAATATCAATTATAACCAAGCCTGTCAGCGTGTAAAATACCATCTTGAGACAAATTCACTTCTATTATAAAATCTTAATTTTCAGTTATTATCGTTATACAAATAACGTGTGGCAACTTTTTAATTTATCGTCGACCAAAAAAAACGCCCCACACTCGTCCAAACGTGTGTCGAGCTTGAACGACAGGAACAGATTCGTCGACGACCTTAATTAGGGAAAATATGTATTTTATTGGGAATGCAAAATAAATGTAACAAAACGCATTTTTTTGTGATATAACTTTGTATTTTCGGAAACGGGTTGCCGTGAAAGGTAAAATTTGATCTAAATTAATCGCAAAAAGGTTTTATTTTTAATGTAACAAAACACATTTTTCGAGATACAACTGTATTTTCGGATACCGGGTGTCATGAAGAGTAAAATATGATCTGAGTTAACTGTAAATAATGTTTCATTCCAAATGTATCATAACGCATTTTTTGCGATATAACTTTGTATTTTCGAAAACGGGGCGTCACGAAAATTATTAATCTAATGTTTTATCTATCGTCTAACTAACGTCTGGAACACATCATTTTCGGGGAGAACTCTAGCCCGCGAAACGTCATTTAATTTGAAATAGAGAATGTTTCACGCATTTCAAAACGGAAAATCACCAGTAACTGGACAGGGATTCAACCCTCCGGATTCAGTATTCTATATCCCCCGTGTCAGAACCTTCTGAAAAATGGAACAAAGAACCCGTCAAACCGCCGCGGAAAAAGGGGAGTATTTTTTGCACTAATAATTAGGGCGTGACAATATCAAAATCGTCAAGAAACTGGTGAATTTGCAAATTCCATAAATAAAATTGTGAATTGCTCGGTAACATTTTAGCTATAATTATCGCCGGGGTGTTGTTTTGTTGAAAACACGTTGAAACTTGAGGGAATTAGTTACAATTAGCGCCTGACCTCTATTAGGCTCTCGAGCACTCGAAAAAAAAAGCACTCGAGCCCAATCTTTTTAGCATTAAGTCGCATACGTAAAATATCCTGTAAAAGAAGTGCTGTTCATTAACGTCATCTCGTCTTATGACCACGCAGAAATGCCTTTATTGCCGAATTATTCAATCACTATTTTAAATCAACATCCAGGATTGGCACAATTTCAGACTTGCGAAGTTTATCACCATAGAAATACATGAGAAAGTTAATTATCGTCTTAATAAATATCTGCATCACGGTATGGACAATAATATTACCATTCGCATAAAATTGGGACGGTAAATTTACAAATCTTGATAGGTAATATTAAAGCCAACGCAAATGTTAATTTGAGTCCTCAATGTCTTCAACAGCTGTTGCCGATGTGAACGAACGGGTAAACCCGAAATATAAAACTTCGATGTCCGCCGACCCACAAGAATTCATATTTGTAAAAAAGAGAGGGCGGGAATATAGATTACCCAAAACCTGAATATCGCCGCCAAAACGATCAGTGACAAGAACAATTAGCGATTACAACGGAATTAACCAGTAAAAAGGCTTTGTTGCCGATTTTTTAATGTTTCCACCACGTTTATTCGGTACTCCCTAAAAATATTCGATTCAAAAAAAATATTGAATTTTGCCCACCCAACCTCGCATATCAATGAGAAATAGTTGTGTAAGTATCGCAAAATTCCGGAAAATGCCACGTCCTTTCAACATTGTGATTACAATAAAATGGCACTTAATGGTATTTTGTGAATTTGGTGATTTTGCAAATCTGTGACATGCTACTAAAAGTTTCGTCTGATTTGAAAATCGTGCAGTTTGGTCACAATTCATCCAAAGTGACTATAACACCTAACACTTTTATAGTCATTTTGAATTCATCGATATCATTGATAGTCACATGACTACTCTCGTTCAAAGAGACGCACTGTGTAATATTCCAACATCTGGTTTCAATCAAGGGGAGCGTTTTTTGCGGGAGAAGCGGAATCGGTGTGCTTGTATAATAATCATATTATAAACAAGAATTTTGCCGTTAATGCAAAAGCTTTATCTCCTATGTCTGCATCTCATAGGTTAGAATTCCGGTAAATATCGTTATGATATGCAGAATTGAGTTACAAAAGTACTAGTATGTTACTTATTTGTCAACTTAATACTCGAAAATATTTGTTAACTTTGAATTTTTATTCCATTCGAAATCGGAAAAAAGTGCTATTTCTCTTCAAAATCGGAAAAAAGTGCTATTTCGCGGTCCCTAAAAAAAGTTGCGAAAGTGCTTCGCAATTTTCGCAAAAAAGTGCGCTAATAGTGAACACTGGTTACCAGTCAACCCACAAACACCTTATCTCTCACTGAATTTCAATCTGTGAACCTAATTATTGAGAATGATCAAGTATCTACTATATAGGAAACCTAATAGGCATTATATAAAGATTTTATGAAACTCGAAATGTTTTCAGAATATATAACAGAACATAAATAACATTGTTATCTTCTTCTAAAATCATCTTCCACGTTTAAAATCGATAAATATAGAAAGAAACCAACTTCATTCAATACTCACTCTTCCCATGATACGAAGTATTTGTTTGATATGCCTCGGACCAATTTGCTTTGATATACATCCCAGGACAACTAGAGCTCTCGCTTGTAAAGATGGATTGTATTGAAATGCAAACTTGTGACTCAATTTACTCCAAACGTTTATCCATTGACAATTTACAATGTCTTTGCCACATGCCTTAATTAAAATGAGACTTGAAATTGTATTTATGAATTTGAATTCTATGAATGAACATTTGCATGCACATTGTTTACTGTGTGAAATATTGAGAAATCAAGAATACAAACAAAATAGGGCTAAGTGAAATGCCCTGCATAACAACATGTTTTTCCAATAATTGCCATACATTCAGTAAAAAGCAATAGTCAATATAATAAATGTTTTAGCCATACACATGTACTGTGAAAGATAATAGGGAATTTATAACGAAGCATCGACCACACATACAGAACTTGAACGTATGTCCATAAATTTCTGAGGTTTTGTTTCAGTGTTGATGCCATGCATCCACATATGTGAAAACATAAAATCTGGGTGTCGTGTCAGATTCATGTTTTCAAATATGTGGCTGCATGGCATCAACACTGAAACAAAACCTCTGAAATTTATGGACATTCAGTGCCACACTTTGCATCAAGTTTCGAGTTCCATACGCCGACAGTGAAATGGCATACCTTGGAAGCTATTGAAACTAGCTAATCAACTTACCTCCATAACTTCCAGTAACGCATCAGTGATAACATCAACAAAAGATAAATTAATCACTTCATTATCTTCTTCAATAATAATGTCATTTATCGATCCTGATTCTAATCCAGCTCCAAGGTACCCTACACAAAAATGACAACATCACTTGACTAAAAGTCATTCAAATGTTTGAAAATATTTGTGAAAAGGTTTCAAAACAACTATCATATCAAGTCCTATAATATTTCAACCAAAATTTTGCTGTTTTATCTTAATTAATTCATGTGAACACTTTAATATGACCTTTGGCCCTTAGTGTCCATACATTTAAACAATGTTCACTGGTTACATAGATATTATGAAATTCCCTCATTTCAAATAAATTCAATAAAAGCGACCAGTAACTCAATGCTGCTAAAAACTATAGCAAAATGTGATCATATATAAAATCACCTTGGAATTCTTCAGGACTTGTAGGCTGAAAAGCAGTATCGACAGGCGATTTAACTTTTGAAATTCCAAACAATCTATAAAATTTTGGTAGACAAAACTCTGTCAAACTCAACCGAAGGACTTGTTGAGATTCTTCTGCAAATATAAAGCAACAGATTAAAACTAAAACGCAGCTTCCTGCGCCATTGAGACCATGTACTTGAAACAAATACCTGGCTGACTAGACTACTCCCGTACCCGAAATAGACTACAGGGTTCACCACATGAATAAGTCGACTTATTGGTCTTATTAAATTTTAAGTTCTAATACCAGAGTTCATGTGCATCTGAACGGCATTTTATACATGGTTCGAAAACATTGTTATAGAAAACAATAACATCAATACCTTTGAATTGTGTCTGTTTGCAAGTCAGAAGAGAATGTATGATATTGACAACCAATCCATGTATAGATGCTCGTAAAGATAAAGGACCGGTATGTAAAAGTAGAGTCACCAGATGACAAAGATATGGCAGATGTGTTGTTACATCTAGATTGTTGTTGAATGATAACATCAGAAGGTATCTTCAAATAAAAAAGTACAAACAATATTTATTGTACATATAGAGATAGTCTCGGAAAATTCTACTAGATTTATTTCATATAAGATACTTTTAGAACGTTTTCGCGTTCAAGAATCATCCACTGATACTTAAAGAGCTACTATTTTCTGGATGACTGAAATCTTACCAGTTCGACATTGTTCACCCACCAAATTTATTACACTCTTGGAAAGGACAAGGTGTTTGAACTTGCGGTATCAACATAGGTAAATCCAAGTCTTCATCAAATATTATAAATTGGTGGTCATGTGACTCAACTATTTTATGTTTCCCAGTGGAGCTATTCTTCAGATAACATGAATGAGTTTGAATGGAGCCATTGCGCATTCTAAGTTTTCTACCATTTACACCGCCTTACAAAGCCCCCAAATCTACCAGTCTAGTTTGAGAGTTGGGAATGAATCCACAGTGCAGTGAAATCATGATTTGGGCTAAATTTCCCATCCTCATATCTTGTATAAATTATCAATTGAAAACAAAAAGGCAAACATCAGATAAGTAGAAAAAAAATGCTAAAATTGTTATTGATTTTACATACATTACTACAGTATTTTTTATTGCTTACCTGGCTAAAATGGCAATATCTTCCCAGTGTCTGTGCTTTTCCAATGTCGGTGTTGGACGTAGCGAAGTCTTGTCAACAATTTCACATAATCTACTGATAATTTTACTTGAAACCAGTTTCATGTTGTTTGCTGCCAAAGCTACCGATGTATCAGCCATCACTTCTGCCTACAAATAGAGTATAGAATACTTTTATAAAACTTTAAAATATATTTTCTCATTATTAGCTAATTTAGTTCAGGTTCAACACTTCAACCACATCCACCTAATAGTTGAATTAAACACAGCATATAAAAAAAGAATCCAATGACGGAATTCACCTTTACGAATTTAGTTTTTGTAAATGACAACTGTCTATAGTTGACACCAGGTGAACCAAAAGTAGATATAACATACCACAAAAAGAACATTTATAGATTAGAAATTCTTTATGGAAATGACACATTTTCTTATCAAAATGATCCATACCTCTTTAGATCCTAGTCCTTCCCTTGCACTTGTCTCAATGAAAGCATCAAGCACCATGTCAATAAGATCAGGCATTTGCCCAATACTTCCCCAAATTTTAGTTTGAACACTTGGATAAAAATCTTTTTCATCAACCGTCAGCTCAATCAATCGGTGGATGATGGAGAGAATCTTCAAAAAATTAACATTGGCTATCTGTCATTGATATTACATAGAATTTGAGTAATAATTAATATTTGAATTTTTAAATTATCATACCAGTACCATCCAAAATTTGTGAAAAATTTATCACTGAATACAATCCAAAAGGTACTCACGTACGGAGTCCAATTTATAAAAATACCAGCCATTATATTAGGAAAAGATTATGAAAGATCTTTGTAAAACTGAAATTTCGTGACAAGCTGGTATTAAATAATAACCAGTCAAAATAACACCACAAACAACATTAAAGTACATTGAGGAATACAGACTTATATGCAAACTAGTAGATAAAAATATTCCTTGTGAATAATTAAATCGACCATCAAATCAGAATTACCAAAAGTATTCTCTGAGCACGGCAATTTGTCACTGAATACAATCCAAAAGGTATGCACGTACGGAGTCCAATTTATAAAATTATGAGCCACTATATTAGGAAAAGATTATGAAAGATCTTTGTAAAAATCAAATCAGAATTACCGAAAGTATTCTCCGAGCACAGAATTTATAATAGACAGCTATTCTTATCATAAAATATAGAATTGCAGATATCAGAATTTATGCTACGCCATAGAAAACACCTACCTTGGTTCTCTTAGGCTCATCAGCATGTTTCAAGAACGATGGAAGATTAAACAACCAAGGCTCCATAAACTCAAGGCATAAATTTTTCAATTCAGATGTTGAATGGCAGAAACCTAGAAATATGTTATTGAATATTAGTCAACTTCTATAGTACTTTTTAGTGGTCTAGTGATAGGAGGGTAGACTTGTTGACTTCATCAAGATACCTATCCCGATAGCAAACTACAAATGGTAATAAAGCGATAGTGCATGGATTTTCATATGAATTAAGCCATGATACCAAGACTTCTAAATAATATATATGAATTGTATAAAAACATCCATCCTCAAAATTACATGCAACAGTATTTGAAAAGCGATCTGATTAAGAACAAACCTGTTATACATTCCTCAAGCAATTCCAATGTAACATAGCTTTGTTTTTTAGATAAAGCGCAGCTTAACGATACAATAAATAAAGTGTTGTTTGCGGGAATACATAAACCAGCAGATTCACATAATTGTGATTGGACTTCCAATTCAAAAGCGGAAGCTACAGCACACAACAGATTGTAAGCAGCTGATCGAACCATTGGTTTTGAATATCCTGAAATGTGAAAAATGAGTAGTGTGTAAATAATGTCATGCAACTAGAAAAGCATATTCAAACCAGTAAAACAAGCAAGTTACCTTATTTGGAATAGACCAGGGGTGTGCAACCTATTTTGTCGGTGGGCAATCTAACCAACTTCAGACATCTAGCTGTGTCACACAGAAAAATTAGTTTTTCCATGTACACAACGAAATAAAAAATTAGCGTCTGAAGTGAATGCGGCTGTCACTTAGCCTTCCAGTAATAAAGGCACCAAGTAAAACAGCGAAAGATTTAACGCAGTGAAAAGAGCAAAAATCATTTATGTATTTTTACCCATGTGAGCACTTTTTTACACATAAACTGTCAGATCAGGATTTTATGCTCGATGGGAAAAAATCTAAGTGTTGACAAGGGCCACACTAAATGGCTCGGTGGGCCGATCCTTAGTCAAACAAATTCAAAAAATGTTTTTGAACAGGTAAGGGCCATATATAATATAAGCAAACTGCCCCTTCGCTACACTTCTAGAAGAAATCGCATAATATCAGAAGTATATCAAATTTGAAAACAAATTCAAGGACTGTATAATGATTTTGTATGTAAAATTCATCATTTTCACTCACCTAGATTGAGCAATGCAATGCTAATTAGGGTCCCAGGAACATCCTTAGCGCTTATTTTTTGATGGGCAGATGTGCTTTCAGGTTTCGACAGTTCCCATCTTGTACGTATATGCTGGATTGCCTATTAATCAAGTATTTGGTAAAACATGACGATAAGATCCATGAAACAACAGCAACAAAATTTCAAGATTACGTCTAGTCAGTATTTTTTTAATGAATCGTTTTCCAACCTTTACTCTGAACAAGACTCTTTACAAGAAGCCACTGATATATAACAAACTACATTTTTTCGAACCGGAATATTACAAATTCAAGATTGCCCACCCAATTTATTACGGTGGTGGACATGGCTTTTAAACACCAGAATTTTAATCTGAGCCAGCACAGTTTGGCCACATGCTGAAATCGACATCAGCTTTAACTTGAGTCATTATTCTTAAAATCAATATACAACAAAAGTATATCCCCGAAATTTTTTTTATAAAAAGCGATTTCAAATGTAACAAATTTCTCAGTAAGCAGTATTGATCTGATCTCTTTGAAAATGCCTTTTTCTGATAAAATAACTGAGGTATCAATATGAGGGTTACATATAAAGAAATACCTCAGCAACTTTGGCTGCATCCAAATGTGAAAAATTCATTCCTTCATTGCTGGTAGAAACTTTCATAATGAACGTAAGTTGATCATCCAGCAAACATAAATGTTCAATTTCACTTGCATAATAAATATCATTGAGAATGATGGAGTGTCCGAGAACCTATTACAAAAAATAGCCATCAAAAATGTGACGAACAGCCGCGCGACAATACTTCAAATGGCTCAGTGGTTGAAGCATTTGTCTTAACATGTTTGCATTGCTAGTTAGAGACCTCGCGTCAAAACGATACATACCCAACATCTCACCCCTGTTGTTCAACTGGGGGCGCAATTCCTAATCAAAAAAAATCAACAATCTATATCTTTTCAAAGTAGTAGTCCTGACCAGTAACTGCTTTTACAAAGACTTGTTCATGGTGAAAACACAGTAAAAAGCATGTTCTACAATGTAAAAGCATACCTTGCATCTTTCAGCCCCGGTGACTTGAACTGCTTTAGCTCCAACTTTTATGTTTACTTTAGTATCCTTGTGTCCAGACCTGCAGGAAAATAATAAGAAACTATTTAAAGCTAAATTCGGCATCGAAGTAATTTCTGATTGATATAAAAGCTGAAAGAATTAAAATTCAAGTCCAGCCTTATCTATATGTTTTAAAATATAGTAGAATCTTATATTTCTAACTGAGATTGCCAAAAATGAATAATTACATATTCTGAAATAATAGTTTAAAACATTCAACATCAAATATAATCTAAACTTGAACATGTACAACAATGTTTGAATCGGTTTTTTACAGTTATTTGCATTAAATAGTGCTGAAATAGTCTGAATATCAGATAAAAATTGCACAAAACCATATCGACTTTAATGAAAATACTCTATTATTTATTTTTTTTATTTAATTTATTTATTATTTATCTATCGTTTATATTTACTTTCGAATGTATTCGAATATGCAATTTGCTTTACACAATATCACTTGTTTAGAAAAATATATATATTTTTTTTAAATTTCATGCCAAACTAATTTGACATAACAATTAATAAATGGAGAGAAAAGCATGTTAAAATTATTATCTTACCACAAAGCATTATAATATACAGTTACATCGTCATCCAACTCGACAGTAGCAATAGGTATCTTCTGTTGTTCTGTTTCAATATATTCCTCTAGTTGTGGCAAATGATCGATGAATGTCAAACTATAGAAACAAAAACAACAAATTGTTTGATATTAACAATTAGTTTTCAGTTATTGCCTGTTTCTTTATCAACCTTGCTTTTGTTTAAATTTGACCTTGCTTCTGAGTGTCGTAGCATGGTTGCTGCACAAGACAATGTATCTGATGTAATTGTATAATGATTGTGTTTACCGAGTGACAATAGGCGATTTAACACAATATATCATGATAGCAGAGCATTAGGGGTCAAAATATTTTCAATATTAATCAATTGGACTTCGGAGAACTTGAACAGTTACCGGTAATTGTTTCTGAGGTTCAAAGACTGCCAAACACTCTAAGTTTATGTTTAGAGTAAACAGTTAGAACAACTATTCAAATACCAATAATACTGGGCCGATATTGATTTTTCCCTAATAGTATCAAATAATTGGTTGGTTATGAGTCCAGTGCCAATCAGAAGGAAGCTCCCATGGATAAATTTTAATCATTTTATACATTTTCTCATCATCAATCTGAACAAGGCTCTATATAAATATCCATTACCATTTTTAGAAGGACCAGAATCGGTACTCCTGAAGTATGCACACCAAGATGTCGCACAACCTGAACCCTAACCTGGTACACAACCTGAGTTCAGGTTGTGCGCCATCTTGGTGCACATACTTCAGGAGATTCCCAGAATCATTCTGGTTCGGTGTTCCTATTCCCATTTATTACATTGTGAGTGAGGTGGAGAGCTTGGGGTTATCTACAACAGGACACTATCACATAACTATACAAGAATACACACAACATAGTAAGAGGTTGTTTAAACACTTGATGTTGGACTTGGATACTTCGTATAAATGACAAGACTTGATATCATAGCTTGATTAATGAGCGGGTCATCTGAAATTTCAGATCATTGCAAAATATGATATTTTGTCTGTTGAATCACATAGAAAGATTGCGGAAATGTAATATTCAAATATGGGCTATTTATTAACCCAAAAACAAAAACTAAAAACAAATGATAGAAACTCCCACACATACCTTTTACATCCTTTCCATGAGCTGAAAACATCGTCATGATATTTTACATATTCCTTAAACCAGCTGTTTGTGTTATAAAGATAAACAACATCCAGGTTCTTGTAAGTTAAGGCAGGAAACATCAACAACCATTTGGGAAGAAAATCTCGTTTGAATCTAGATTAATAAGTCAATATTATTGAAGATTTCACTTGCAGCCTATATTTTGTGAGCCATGATTCATAAATAAATGTGAATCAATCTTTGATCAAGGCTTAGGCATTTGTGTTTCTGCTCCAAAATGATGAATACAAAAAAAAACATGGGTGCGTACAAGCAGAATAAGTAACTAAGTAGTATTACTAGTATAAAAAAATGTGTTTTGCTTGGGGCCTTGAAGTTGGGAATCGGAGTCCTAATGTTGAATTTCCTGGAGTCAGAAGTTTCAGACTGAATTTCAATAATGATAAAAGATTCAAAATGTTTTAATAGAAACTTGGAAAACATAGAGTTTACCAAGCTTTCTTAACACTCTCTAAACAATGCTTGTATATGCCATAGTTTTTGTTATCAAAAATTAAATTTTCAGAGTTTGGAGCTGAAGTCAGAGTCAAAAATTTTTTCAATCGGGAGGTGTGAATTGATTGTGAATTTCCCAGATTCCACAGACCTGGTTGCCACTTGCCAGTATTCGGTACAATTTTTTCAAAGTGAATGCAGAAAAAAATGTTACTATATTCATTCAGTGGGACAAATTTGGGATAGCTTTACTGAAAAAAAACATAAAATTCTACAATCTTACCGATTATGAGGTCCAACATGGGTAAGATCAATCACAATTTCAAATTTTCTTGCGATAAATGGTTTAACTGCGAGCAATACATAATACATGAGTAGATCCTCTCTTATTTCATCAGTTTTGTATCTTCTTGCAATATAGTAGAATACAGGATGACCCATTTTGGAATGTCCAGACTAGAACAAAAGTTTAATTAGAAATAAAAGTGATTGATTGGAAAACAAAAAGGGTACTCCCGTAGTGTGTGTACCAGGTTAGGGCTAGGCCATAATTTTATTCCGATTCCCCTTCTTTAGTTCTATTATGAGTTCGGGGACTGTCTGTGTTAGCCAAGTGAATATACCCCCTGCCCATAGGTTTCCTTCACACAACTTGATGTAAAGTAAGCGAACAAATTAGTTACCTCCATATTGGTACACATATTTCTGGAGCACCAAAAAAAGATTGCTTGAAAATACAGAAATAAAAAAGCAAGAGAACTTGAACATATTCACTAGCAGCAATGGTAATTACCGGTAGATAGAATTAGGTAACTTATGGATGGCTTAATACTGCCTACTATATGACTCAAAAGCAACAGACAAATCACAGTTGTGTCGCAAAAGTCTGGGAGAATAAAAAGTGAAACAAATTTAGCAGAAGACCGTCGAATTCAAAGGTGGCGTGGACATGTAGCATAGCCATGAATGGTATGAGATCTAAAATATCGTTACATAGTTTATGATATAAGTGTAAACAATGCTTAGGAATAAATAAAGTTGTTTTTTATTAACTGGAGATGTTAATAATGCATAATTGTGACTAGAATTTTTTCAAATACTGACAATGCTGTTCATATTACAGTATGGAGTTCAACATTATGTATTTAGTCGTGATTCATTATTTTGTATTTGTTTTGTCGGATCTGTGGGGGCAGAATAATGGTTGTCTCTGGGTTATTTTTCAATACAATCTGGCTTAATATTGTGTATTCATGTAGCATTATGGATGCAAACTTAACCCTACTTAACAGTAGGAACTTATTGAAAAATTTCAGTTCTCTGAAACTAACATTGAAATGCAGTGCAATCAAAATAGTATTTGGAAAATATGAAATAATCTCATTCCAACTTTTCAAATTTCTATCATACCTGATAAAATATATTAAGACCTTTCAATGCTTTGAATTCTTCCATATCAGCAGTTTTACGTTTGGCCATCAAGTCTTCAAATTTTGATGAATTCAGATTCAAGCCACTGATTCTAGTCTCGAGAGCAGGTCTGAGTGTAAAAAAGGTTAAAAATACAACCCTTTCCTTAGCAAATAATACAATGAGCAGACTATACTTTATATACATACTTTGGAATATTGTAAAATCTATATTTTTAAGACCTTGTTAAAGTAAACTAATGAAAACGCCAATCGGGCAGTACATTATTAAGTTATCACAAAATAACAGAAATTTTAAGAAATGTATAATTGCTGCCAACTGTTTGGCAGGTATAGACATTCTAGCAGTGAGCTCCCATGTCAAACTTTAATTTGTTGGATGTTTATTATTAAACTCGACAAATACTGTAGTGAACAAAACTGGTCTTTTTTTGATTGGAGAGCAGAGGGCTATGGTGTGTTCACTCAGAATCTTTAGGAGATCACAAATCATGACAATTTGAGGACAAACGGATTACCATATCATTCTTACCTGTTATATTCTGGTGGTCCGAGATATGCTAGAAGTGTCACCATCTTGTCAAATGGCTTTCTACCAACTGCCTTTGCATCTCTGAATAGATAAATCAATCGGTCAAATTTGGAGCAGGAATCTTGAGTTTTCAATTTCAAAAATATGTTTTTTTCTTCAATGCTTACCTACTACGAGCTAAGTATTCTCCAATTTTTTCTTGGTTGTTCCATAATAATCGATGAAGTGCCGCAACATTCGTATCGCTGATCAATGGCATGGTATGAAACACACCTTCACCACTTGGTGACTCAGGTGATGAGATTTTCATGAAAAATCTGAAATTAATTTAGACATTATTCATCAGTAAATACAATCACACAAAAAGATAGCAAGAAAACCATTTTAAAATTGTTGCCGTAGGGTAATATATTATGGTAAATTGAATGGTTGGCAGGATTACGGTGTCAAACTAGTTTAACTTTATACTTAATTCAGAAGTGAAACTTTCCATAGATAGAAAGAGTAGAATTTGTGAACTTTTGTGTCACGCAAAATAAGATTTACGTAGAGTTTTTACTATTTTAAGATTTATTTATTCATCAATTCAGATTTATAACAATGACTTAAAAGTCGGTGCGAGATTGAAAATATAGTACAAATGTAAGTAATTGTCATGTACAGTATCGACTATTGATAAATACTATTAACTCTTTTGTTCCGTATAACATATATATTCGTACTACCATCCTTGGTCATAATAGTTATTTTCGGACTATTTTACGTTTATGTTCATGTTTTGTGAAGTATTCCGCACTAACTAAATCATTTTGAGCATCCAACTATGATCCGTGCTTGATCTGTCAACATTTTGTTTTTTTGTAAATTTTTTATTTTACTACTAAGTGAATTTTATTTGTGTAGGTATTTCAAAGCTTAGAGATACACGAAAGTATTTGTCATTACTTCAAAAATAAGTCATTTGAACGAGCGGGAAACAATTTCGCGCACATAATAAACAAACAAAGATTCCAGACAACTATCGTGGACATGCTCTCACATATCATTGATTATTTCGCGTTTCGCTTCGCTTGCGAAGCTGAGTCTGGTTTTTCTTCAAAGGTGACGTAACTCTCTTTCAGAAGAGCGCTTGGAATTTCGTTTCTTTGTAACACGTGTTCATCGAAGCGATAAGAGTGTGAAACGTTCTCTCAAAAATTTTTGAAATTTCTCTCTTCTTACACGCGTAGGGTCGAACGGTTTCGCCTACGTCACTTGGGCGCGTTTTAGTTGGAAGTCCCGAAAATAAGCTTTTTAAAGAGATATTGGGGGTGTTCCTTGTACGTTTGGTTAACTGGTCATTACATATTATAAAATGGTACATAAAGTCGATTGTATACAGCGGAAAAAAAGGGTTAATATATATTCTAAATGCATTTGAGCTATGATGGCTTATAGTTAAGATTAACACACTTACTGTTGGCAAGCATCAAATCGTTTTCTGACAAAGTCGTTAAATGGTTTCATATGAGCTTCTTTTGTGAATAATACATGATTGGAAATCTTTTGCATGATCTGGTGAAGAATAAACATTTGTATCAAAGAAACATATATCTTAAAATGGATTGTTGAATATTCCAAAAATGCAAATTACGACTGTGGGTCAGACTCTACCATGATTTATTGATAATGGAGTGATAGCCAGAGTCGTATTTTCAAACTCTTGTGAGTCATGAGTCAGAACTTTTAACAATGATGATAAAATTATGCCCCAACCCTAACCTGGTACACATACTACGGGAGTACCACTACAACTGCAAGATGACGGATAACAGACAAATAATGTGTTCGGTCCACAACTGAATTTCTATAACAACATTACTCAAAATTTAATCATACCTTGCACATCAGTTTAAACGCTCGAGACAAGTTTGGTGGCAATTTCTTCTCTGTCAATCCAAATTCATATGGTGATACAATAGCTGGATTCAAAAATCTTAAAAACACTGCACTTGCGACAGCACCTGTACCATTTTCTGGAAATCTTTGAGACACTACTTGGTACAAACAATGGCAAACACTTTTCAATTGCGGCGGAAACCTAAAAATAGAAAAAATAAGGTATGAGGCCAAGTTCATTAGGATGGCGCTTTTATGGTTTTGATGGAAGTATTCACGATTTAATGACGCTGAAATTGTAAGGAACTGAATTCTGATTCCTTTTTCGTAAGATAAATACTGAAGAAATCGAATAGTTACAAGGTCAATGCTAGTGGGGAATAGTATACAATTTTAATCATTACAGTCCAGGTTTGTATGGTACAAGATGTCGTTAGAAGAGTAGCCTACTTAAAAAAGTCAAATGTCAGTTCTGCAAAAAACATACCAATCATCATGGGTCAGATGATAAGGCATTCAGCCAAGGTACAGCAATATGTCCGTTTCTCATGACCAAGAATAGAACAAGGATAAAATTATGATATGCACAGGATTTTCCCCAGAAAATCCTCCTTGTAAAAAAAAGCCTCTTAATGAGGGTTGGCGTTGCGGTTATATTTTCCATGTGTGAAACCTAACCAGGAGAATGACTTTGCATGTGGATTTATCATGGGTAAATTCTAAAAGGTGGAATTTTTTCTACGACCGATTCATTGTAACAGTAATGGAAAACTTCAATTTTTCAAAACTATTACACAAGCTATTGAACATGGGAGCCATTAGCAATACTGTAGCACTAAGGCACAGTTAGTTATTGAGGAGCCCAAACTCAACAAAAACAAATTTGCTAAATAGGAACCAGTGTACATACTTATCAGTTGACTTCATAATTCTTGTAAAAAATCTTTCAGTCAAATGTTGCAAATTTATACGGCTTTGATTAATATCAGCATTATCAGGTAATCTATGAACATCAACCTGAAATAATTGTACCAGTAATATAAAGAATTATTTCATCTCCTAAAGTTTGTGATAAATTGGGAATATAACAGCTATATATACCTGAAAAAGAGAGAAAAATGAATGGTTTACATAGAATAAATTTGCGAGTTCTTAAAAATAGCAGAAAAATGGAATAAAAGTATGTTTCAAAACAGGCCATGTTTTGTGGTGAAATTGCCCTTATTAACATCTTGTTGCAAACTGAATTATAAAAAGGTCAAGTCTGCAAAAACTATATTCTTTAATATCATATTTGGTCAATTAAAAATGATGTCCTTTTCTTTTACTGTTTGAGTGATAAACACATCTCTAATTTTCTATTCTATTCCTATAACTAATATACAAACAGTCGAAATTCCGCAGATACTTTTTCATGAGGTGTCTTGAACCATATATGCATAGAAAATAAAAGAACACAGATATACAAATAATGAACTTCATAAAGCTTTCAAGTAGATTTCTGAACTAGAAACTAATACTTTGACACAAATACCTCGAATTTAGAGTTGACAATTTCATTTCCAAGACTCCATGCTATGAGAGGTTCCATCAAATTATGCAAATAGCTTGCACCATACACTTTAAAACAAAATGTCATTATCTTGCTGGCAAGTGAATTTCCTCGAAACAAAATTTGTACATTTTCTGCGTATTCGACCTAGATAAGAAAAGGGTGAGAGTTATTATTTGAAACAGAAACAAAAATTATTTGATTTCGAGACCTAAAGACCATTCTACATGAAATCAATATCCACTAAGTTTGAGGTTCTCAACATGTGAGCCGCAAAGCATTGGCTTTTCTTATGGGCTGCAAACTTTGTGTTTGATTGATTTGACTATGCATAAATCTTGTCAAATAAAGATCTCAAACAATCAAAACTTGAGCTAAAATACCCGAAAATACTTGCCACTACAACTCCTATTAGCTTTTAAATAAAATATCTTTGTAAGTCGACAAAGAAAGTTGAGAATCACTGTACTAGGTCAACCTACAAAATTCTGTTACAATTTCCAAAATCAAAAAAAAAAAAACTTTTTTCAATGAGAACATTCATTAAATACATAAAGAACCTCTGATATGATGTTTCTGAATGTCAAAATCTTTCTCACCTCTTTTGAGAACATATTCCATAAAAGTTGATACAAAAGATGTTTTGCATCAAATAAAGTAACAAAAACACGAGCAAGTTCATCCTGGAATATAACAAGGAAAGATATAACTTGTAAAGCAAAGACTGACATTTTGAAACTGTTTCAAAATACTTAGTCACTGATTAATGCTAATATTAGGTTCAATTTTTAAGCATGGAGGGGTGAAATGTAGAGCTAGTATCAATCTGCTAGTATTATAGCCATATATATGAGAAAAAAAAACTTTTCGAACTGTTCAGACTCAGAGTTAAAATACAAGAATTTTAATTTATATTGGGTGTTAAATCTTGATTTTTCATTAAAAAAATTTTGTCAACTTTTTTCCTAAGCGATGTTGATGCAAAAAAATTGACATACCATATGCATCGAGTGCACGACATTGGCAAGAGCATTAGCAATTGGTAATTCTCCACCATCACCCATCATAGTAACAAGTTCAACAAGGTGATCGAATCTATCAGATAATGTTGTATCCTTCAACATATCAAATCGAACAGGCCCTTGTTGCTGGAGAATTTTGGTTAAAACTTCGAGAAATGCAGATCTTGTGTGGAAATCAGTGTGGTATGCAAGAACTGGAATAAAACGATCAAATATTAAAAAAAATTTAAAAAGATTCAGATAACTAGTCGTACTACACTATTCCCGGGCTTTATTTAAATATGAACAATTCTGGTATAAGAATAGGATAGGATAGGATTTACATATTTATCCCGGGGAAGAGGAAAGCCGATAAGACGACTTATCCATATGGCGAGCCATGGCCTCTCGTCCGGTTACCATTCCAAGTCGGGTATGGGATTAGTTATATTGTTTGTTTTCAGAAGCATGGACTTGGTGGTGGAGGAAGCCGTAACCGACCAGCGGTTACGTGAACCACCCAACGACGACGAGGAGTCCAGCAATCCTCTCGCACATAACTATCCCTGCATGGGATTCGAACCTGCGAACCCACGCAGAGTAATTAGAGGTGCGGTGGCGAGCGTATTCCAAACGCTTAGCCCGTTGAGCCACACCGCCGCGCCACAATAATGAATAATGAACAATTTGATGCATGACTAATTCACGGTTATTTGTGAAAAGAAGTACGCAACCACACAGAATGAGGAGTAATACAATTCATTTATTTTATCAAAAGGAAAACTGAATAAAATGACTAACATTTGATGAACCACAGCCTTTCATCTGGTTATCATGGTAGCGTATGAGACCGCAGCGTAAACATGGCCGTGGAGTTGTATAAAACTCTTGAGCCATCGAAAAACCACTCTCGTCTCCAGGCTGACAACATTTTGCCCCACAAAACTGGGTCTTTTATAACTTTTTTATAGTTTCTGCTTTACGAGATTTCAAGTCCAATTGTATACTTGTAAAAATTCAAAAATTTTGACTCGGATTGGTTCAGATTTTGACTGCCGAAACTTCAAAAATAGGTCTTTATTGCCAGCAGAAAAACGCAGATTTGGGCCGCACAGCAAGATTCTGTATACCACCTGCACTAAAGTCAAGTATAGCATACTCCAGGCATGTGACCATCCCCACAGCCATGTGGAACAATGAAGTACATATTGTAAGAGATATTGGAATACATATTGTCAGGCATATTTTCTTTCAATCGAATAACACATAAATCATTTCCATACATACCCATAGCATGCACAAATCCATATTCTATGTTAGCACTCAGCATATTAGACATTGCTAATATAGTTGAATGCCGTAATGCCATCAATTGTTTGATAACAGTAGAATGAGCAGTAGATCCAGCTGTGTCATCAGGAGCGAGAGAATTTGTCGAATTGTGAACAGAAGATTCATTGCATTCATTCAACAGCTTCATGAACAATGTGAAATACCTGGATGCAAGACAATTTTAATACAATATGAATGTGACATTATTTCAAACAGGATTCTGTAACAAGAGTAAAACTTAAACATATAACATTAAAAGGACCCATTTTCGAAATCCCATTTTTTTGGTATAGATGATTTAACAATTCAGAATTATTAAATTCTTTACTGGTGTTTTACTCCTTCAATCTTAACTAAGGCTCCAATCAAGAAGCCACTGATACTTACAAAGCTACTAGCTTGGACGGATCTGAGTCTTCCAAGTTCTACACTTATTACACGCTAGATAATCAGATAATCAGTGGATTATCAATGGAAAATCAATCAGATGTAGGATAGGGATAAAAAATTCATATTCATAGAGGAGGCAAGTCAATAAGATGGTTGACCATATGATAAACCACGTCTTCTGGCCTGGTTACCAATCCATGAGAATGGGAATACTTGTTTCAGATGCATGGATGATAGTGGAGGAAGACTGACCAACTGACCAGAGGTTACATAAACCCCCTGACGACAATGAGTCTGGCTATCCTCTCGTACATATTGATCAACATGTTTGGTCAAAAAATAGAATTGATTTGCAAATCAAATATGCTACACACATAAAAGCAATACGCATCATCATAAAATCCTAAAAAACACCGAACAGTGACAGGAATCAAAAATAACTTGAACATACTTCAAAAACAATTGAGACTTGGCATTGGCAACATCACCACCATCAACTTCATCAGGTTGTAATGGTAAATCCTGTAGCAAAACAACAACTGCACCCATTGCTGCTCCATCTAGTTGTCTGAAGATGAGAAGATAGAAAGGTAAGAACTTTAGTACGAAAACAAACCAGATAGTCTAGGATAGAAACATATCGAAATATTCGTCGTGTATGCCTGGAGAATTGTACATTGAATATATTTAAAAATGTTTTCTGATGTCTCATTCACCAAATTTTGCAGTAAAAACAGATTATTTACTACAAAATTATGACAATAATATTAGAAAATAGTCAAACCACTTTTTAACTAGTTAACAGAATACAAACTATAAAAGGTGTACTGCTTCTGCTTGTAATGGTCCTTTCTGAGTAATTTCTTAGCAAATGAATTGAAATTTCACAATGCAATGAAAATTATCTTGGCGTGCTGCACAGTACAGAAATCACTGATCTTAACCCTTTTGTGCAACAATGTTAACTTTGACAATTTACAAAGACAGCAACTTTACCTCAATAACATTTTTGTGTCATCAGGAACACTGTTTTCAGCGCAATGATTAGAAGAATCCATTATCCAATCTGTAACATATTCTACTAATCTGTTGCGAAATTTGATTTCCGATAAAAAGAACAAATTGTTCTTCTGTCTCATCATCTGCAAACAATGAACATTGCTAAATTATTCCGGAATTATGAACATAAGTTTTGAGATGGGACATGAAAATAAATTCAATGACTTCATAAAGTTCTTGCCCCAGCGTATGTGATTTCAATTAAGGGTGTTGATAAGGGAGATTACAATAATATACCTTTATAGGTATTAAAGGTCCTCATGGTGCCCTTACCCAATGACCTTTTTTTTTTATTTTTTTTCAGAAAATACTATACTATTGTTTCAATGAAATTTTGCATGATCGAAAAAACAGTGACACAACTTATTAAATATCATCAGTTCCTGTAATGTTTGATCTCAATTATTATTATATATCTGGAGCCCGGTGTCAATAAAAAAAAACCATTTCTGGTTTTACCGGTAATAAAACAATGTTCATATTGGGAATCCAGGCTATTTTGCTTAATGTACACACTAGATACATTATTTCGGCATCACGTTAGATCTACATAAAATTTGAACCAATCCTAACAAGGCCATACTTACCAGTTCAATCATTTTGCACAAATGAATTCTCATGTGGAATGATTTCATATTGTTGGGCATGTGTCGAACATATCTAAAAAAGAATGTATCAATGCCAATTTATAAAATCAGACTTCAGGCAACTTTTATATCAATTTTACAAACACATTGCCAGATATCATGATGTTTACAGCTCAATTAAAAGGAGGAAAAATATTTGAATCCTTCAAAACACATTTCCAAACTGTAGTAATCAATTTCAAATTGAATTACATTAATAAATGTTATATAAATTGCAGCTCAAATAATGGTACTCCCGTAGTGTGTGTACCAGGTTATTAAGTTTAGGCCATAATTTTATTCTGATTTTCCTTATTTTAGTTCTTTTACGAGTTCGGGGACTTCGGTGTTAGCCAAGTAAATATAATATATCCTCTGCCCAAAGGTTTCATTCCCTTTACACAACTTGATATTGGTACACATACTTCTGGAGCGCCATAATAAGTATATAAAATCATGAAGATCACATTAAAATAAATTTGTTTCACTGTAGTGTTTGCAGACAACTTGAGATAATTTCAGTCCAAGTATTTAGAGATAATCTGTGTTTTTATACTTGAAATTCATTCCTACTTTCAAGCTCAAATCAAATGAAAGTGAATACTATAATAAACAAAGCTATGCTCATATAATACATGTAAGATGATTAAAGCAGAAATACATTATGACTGACTCAAGAATCATGTATCATGTGCCTAACTACTGATGTATAGGGTTTACACAGATCCAGAATTCCACTACAACCAGCGTGTTTATGAAAAAAGGATACCAACCTGACAAGCTGAAGAACCATGCTTTCTATACTTTCCTCGCCAAGATGATCGGTATCAAGTTCTGTACAATTTTCCAACAAACTTTCCAGTATTAAAATAATATGATTGACAAATGTAGTGTTACCCTCATTGATCAACATCTACAGTGATGAAAATAAATCAAAAATATTTATTTATGATATCATTCATGTTTGCTCCTCTTCCCATTATAAGTATAAAATTGGATTTATGAAAGAATCGTCTCTATAATCGTCTCTCGTCTCATCTACAATAAACCTTCATGTATTTTGAATAGTAAAATGAAGTTTCCTAACATTGATACAAAATTATACTATATTACTATGTCATTTGAGTTGTTGATAGCAACTGTAAAAAGCTTCAAGATATTTTGAATATAAGTAAAAAGAGAAAGTTTTTTCAATGTGAATACAAAGTTATACTCCTGCTCCTGTGCACTCTACTGAGAAAAATTAACAAAAAGGTTGAAGCTTCCCATCACATTTCATTTTTGACTTCAAAAATACTACATATTCTACCACAAAATAAACCTAACCTAAATATTTTTAACAGATAATTAACAGTTGTGAAAGTTTCCAACATTTTTATTTTAACAAGCTATAAGATATTTGTAACCAACCTGGCCCAGGGGATCATATAACGTCTTTAAATGAAGTTTGGTTTGTTGAAAAAGTATCGGATAAAGTGCAGGGTGAAGAGCAGTACCGAGCAAATTTCTAAAAGTAAAATCAAGAAGATTTTTAGATTTGAAAAACTTTCAAAAACTGAAAATAAAAAAGTGATATCTTTTTTAAAATATTAATTAGTAAATTCAGATATCAGATTATCTATTTCTCCATAAATTGTTATTTCAAAAAATTTGGTTTTCTCAATTATGTTTCGATTGAACCAAAAATTTTACCAGTAGTAGCCTAGTATCATTATTTGACTGGAATCCTAAAAATATCATTTAAAATAAACTTAAAATTAAATTCCTTGAATCTAACTTTTTGGCATACATGAAATCTCTATAACAACTCAATGATAATATCATATCAACGAAGATTGTATGCAACTGCAATATTAGCGAACATAAAATTGATCGTCAATCGCAATTACAAAAATTTGAACACAAGTTAAATACATTTTTTTTAATTGCTTTACATAAGAAAATGTAGCTGAAAAAGTGTTTCGAAATTAAATTTAGATAGTGGGAGACTATTTTTCCTATTCACAGTATTCATACAGTAAATCCGGCAGACAACTTACAGCACAAATACAATAGAAAACAAACCTTAAGGCATTCTTGATATCTGGGCTGACTTTACTCAAATATTGATGAGATAGTAGTTTGAGTAATGTTGCAATGAAACCACTCGCCCGTTCATATGGAGTAGGAGGACCAGTATTTCTCGCAGGTGCAGCAGAACTAGCAGATGCAGTAGACATGGTTGCAGATGAAGTGTTAGGAATGCTTAATCTTGCAAAAAAATAAAGTTGAAAATATTTTATTAACCATAATTAGGTTGAGCAAATCTATTTTTCTAACAGAGGGCTTCATATTTAATTCCGGACATTGCTTTCTATAAGAAGATATTTGTACATAAATACTAACTGAAGTTTGTGGCCAATGTCAAACATTAACATTACTATTTGGAACCGACGGGATAAGTATTTGCTAGTAGATCACTACACCACTCTGCCAACCCCATTCATGAATTTAGAACAATGAACTCATTGGATGCTTAGCTATTCCCATGTCAGATACCAGTATATAAATTACATGGACACAAAAAAATGCATTGGTGGTGGACTGATGGTACGGTAAAGCCTAAGCTAAGCACAGATTTGCTAAGATATCGGTGGACAAGCACGAACTGGATAAAGTGTTCCGATTAATTTAAAAAGGATCAAAATTTGAGGTTAAATACAGCGTCCCACAGGACTCAAGGAAAAAGTTTGATAGAATAAAAAATAAATGGAAGGGATTTCCCTTTAGAAACTTCTTAGATCTTTTAAGTACTCAAAAATTTGAAAAAGATTGTTGAATTAGTTGAAGAGAAAAGCAATTTTTTCCCAACAATTTAAAATTTTACATTACCTTTGTGCAGGACCTTCTGCATTACCAAGACTATAACTACTGATGCTACTGTGCGGCAATCCAGTGGAAGTTGTGTGCAGTGCAGGTGTGGATGAACTTGTACTTCTTGTTTGTACTCTGCTTGACATTGATCTCCCACCCACTTTCCTCTCCCAAAGTTGTTTCAAATTGAACGAACTTGAAAGAATAAGAAATGGAGTTGATGTGTATGAGATTAATACATTTCGTCCTGACCTGCTTGAGCTTGCGTCACTGTATAGATTCTTATTATTTAAATTTTCTCAATTAAATATTCTTGTGGTTTGGCCAATTATCCATTATGGTTGATATATTTTATATTGCTAATAACATGAAGCCTTTCAGTAATTCAAAATGGGAAGTTGATCCAGAAGAGAATTTCTGATTCATTTTCGATCGACTAATCATATTCTGGCTCAATATAAAACTCAATATAGTTATTTTAATACTCCTAGCACTAGGAACTATATTGAGGTCTATTGCCAAGAATTTGAATTGGGAATAATATCTTTTTGTAATCTTCAAACAATACTCTAGTCAGTATTTAGGAAATTCAAACTATTTTCAAGCATATATATATATGATCATTTGACAAACTTTGATTTACAATTAGGTAACATACATAATGTAAGGCAAAAATTAAAACATTATCACTGTATACTCACTGATCTTTAGCATTGACACACACTCCACCCAAGGCACAAAGAAATCCTGTCATGTTGATCCATTCCATAGGATTTTCCTGGATATGAAAATAAGAAAATCATGATTGGTATCTATTCTGTACTATAATTTTTGAACAAAATTCCAGATTGGTGATATATAATAGTTGAATTCCAAACTTGTATTCGCTCACCAAGAAATTTGAAATACATTCTAACATTTATATACAAACCCCTGGTATGTTTCTTCTGACTGGATTCCTTACAGTAGATGGGGCATTACTATTTTCTCCTATCGATGGAATATCATCAAATTTCCCAGGTTTTGTCATCATCAATGGCATTGTTTTTGATTCCCATTTTATTCTTGTATCTTCCCATGCCTAGAATTAAACATTTATTATTTAATTTATAAAACTCAGCAAGCATAGAGGGTCACTATAGCAAAATCACATCCCTTTTATTAAAAATATTAAGTTTTCTGTAAACTATATTACTCAGAGTAGTATGAACAATTTCAATAAAAATATTTACCATAATTCACTCATGATGGTTATGGTATATCAAAAATCTTTATAATTTAAATTGTTAATACAACAGACTGTACAGTTGATCGAAAATCACTTTTAGACACACAAAGTGTAGGCCTACATATATATTATTTTGCTAAATTCTTATCATTGTTGTTAGATAAAAGTGTTCTTTCTCCGGAAGTAATAAATATTTTTAAAAAATGTATCTAAAGATGGTTGAGGGAATTTGCAATTTGGTTATTTAAATAGAAATATATGAATGGAAGTGTGGGAGTTCAAGTAAAAAAGAAAAAATAATATGATTATCATACATCCAAACTTGCTGGTGTAAATTTACAGCATCTTCTTAATAAATCTGTAACCTTTTTGTGTAAAGTACCATAACCATTTTGTATCGCAGTACCAGCAGATGCAAGGTCAACATATAATTCATGATATTCAGGAAGCATTCGACCGAGTGCACTCTCATCAAATCTCCATCTAAAAGTGATTTATCATTGACAAAACAAATAATTTATCAACTAAAATTTATTTATATAAATATACAAATCTAAGTGTATCTAATTTTTGTCAATCACATAAGACTACATCCTTGCAAACTGAACAATGTATTAGAAAAAGGGAACAATTATTATTTCAATAGACAGTGGTTTTCAACAAAACTTACTTTATTTCAATTTCTTCATGTAAATATCTAAAACATGACAAAGCAACAAGAACAACTTCTGTATCAAGGCTCCACAAGTACTCAAGTAAAACCATTTCAACTTTCATCTAAAAATAACAAAATGATTCAATACAAAGCAAAAAACTTCTACTTTCTTAGGCTAGGGTATTTCTGTGTGACACTCATTAGTGCTAAATTTTTATACCTGAGCTCTCTTTACTACTTCCGCTCTATAGGCAACTCCTCTTTCATGATTTTGATAAAGGAATGCGATGCGACATCCAAGTATTTGAAGCAACCATTTCAAATTATTACAAGCAACATCAGCAGGAGTAGACATCTGTTCAGTCAATATATGACAGCATACATTGAATAACATCGTAGAACTGTGATACAGTAGAGTATATTGAATGAGGCCCCAAATTTAGAGCCAAGAAGGGCAATAATGTATATAAGGAATATATGGGCAGTTGGGCACAAAGGTCATACAAAAGTGTTCCCATATATCATATAAAAAGTGCTATCATGAAATAAAAATAAAACAGAAAAATTTGGGGTGACATATATAGTTTCGCATTGGACTGAAAGATCTTTGTTAAAAAAAGCAACGTTTGAAACGACTACAAAAATTTTGAAATCGATTGATCAATTATATTTGTGGAGTAAAGTGTTATTCCAACAACAACGACATTCCAACAACATAGTAAAACAGTCTATAGGTCCATTATGTACAATAATGCTTCACTTTTGTAAACTACTTTCATTTTTTAAACAATGTTTTGAATACACGGCTTCAACTCACTAAATATGCAATGATTTTATGTGTTCTTTGCTGAATAAGAGCCAACTTAAAATATATTGATGTACTTATCGGTTATACACAACACATAGATTATGGTGAGCTATGATAGGTGATGCATATGGATGAAAACAAGCCAAGAATCAAAACAGTCAGGTCTCAAAATTTAATTTTCCTGTCAAATGTATAAATACCATACCACATTCAGTACATACCTGACATCCCAAAATGTGGTGACTGGAGATTCCGGATTCCAAGTTAAAGATATTTGTGGACTGTGCAGTTGAAGTAATGCTTCCATTGCTTCCAGTGATGTCTGAACTCCAAAAATGGGTTGCATTGGAATGACCAAATTTGTCAGTGTTCTGATGAAATCCCAACAATTTGAATGAATTTTTTGATTTGTGTTTCCCAGATCCTAAATTTAAAAATATCAAGATTTATCGAGGCTCAGAAATTGAAGGTTCAAAAACCCCCTAAGACTGAGACAGACAATACCCAGATCATTTGCACCTAGGACCCGGACACTTGTAGCACTTGTAGTAAATATGACCAGGAAAATAGCTAAATAGAGGATGACTTCAAAAATCAGAACCATGAACATTTTAATTATTCCTACGAAAATGAGAAAAATTTAATCAACATTTGAATTTCTGTTTTTGTATGACTGTAAGCAAAGTTTTAGGAATCTAGATTTTAAATTTTTGATACAGTTGCTTTTTTACATATTGCTATTTTTACCAAATTTTTCCAGTCCAATGCAAAGTGATATATTTCACCCCAAATTTCCCTGTTTCATTTTTATTCAATGGGAACACTTTTGATTGACCTATGTGTCCATATATTGTTTTCAGACATTATAAACAGTTTTAGTAATTATTTCTATGAAAATGAAGAAAATTTATTTAACACTTGAACTTCTGTTTGGGTGAGATTGTACCCAAAATTTCAATGATCTAGGAAACTTTGCACAAAAGTTTTGTTTTCTCTAGAATATGTATAAGCATTAGGTATACCTGAAACTCTCTGAAAAAAGTTTTCATGTAAAAACTTTTTGCCTCGAGCCATATAATTGCAGACGAGTCTAACAAACAATGTGATTGTTTATTGAAAGCTCAGGTATCTATAAATAGATCTCAATTTGCATAAATCCTTTTTTCGATTGAACGTTTGCTGCCGTTGAAATCACAGATTCACAGTATATATTAAATTCTCATTTTGATAAATTGAAAATATTTGAAAAGTTTTATAATTCTATAAGTTAAACGAATATCAATAAATACACTAACAAAAAGAAACGGTCTTTGATCAGCAATAGTCATCTGTATTAAAGCTTGCATTAAATCACGGTGTGAAATAGATTCCTCTTGTGACCGCTTCAAACTAACATTCATCCGCTCCATTTGTTCTCGTAAGAATGACTGAAAAGAGTTCAAATTCACATAAGGCAGTGTTACAGGACACTCCTGATAAACCAACAACTTTTTTTAATAAGATACCCTATAACTACTTATGGTGGTATTATTATCATTCTTTGTGAATTACAATATTTACCGTCCACGTGCATGTAAACAAATCTATCGATTGATGTTTTTTGATTTCTTGTTCTCGTCTATGCCAAAACAATGAAGTGTATGATAAGGGTTAATATTCTCTGTCTCATTTTTATTATTATTTTAATATCCTGTTGCCAGTGTGTGAGGTCATTTTATTTGATGTTACCAGTTCCCTGAGGTAGAAGGTTGAGAACCATTGATTTAAACTCTTAATTTATGAGAATTCTTGTTCTTAAAAAACAAGTTCTAGTAGCGTTTTATAAATAATACAGACAGAATCACATAATAATATCCATTTGTTAACACGATTTAAACCATACTAACTTGACTTGTCCTCGCTGAAGCAGTTCCTTGCCCAAGAACTTTAGGTGTTACATCAAGAAATGCTTTTCTCATTTCAGGTCCCAGATTATAAAACGAGTCAATTCTTGGCCACCAAAGCAGAGGATGCTATAAAATGGAGGAAATGATGAAATTACAAATTACAAAACAATAACCAACAAATCGAATTGAATATTCTACTATAAAAAGAGAATAATTGATAATAAAAAGATATGGTTACATATTACTATAATAAACCAGAAATCATATCTAACCGTTGTCATATAATATTGCGAATGTGAAGGAGTGATACGAAATAAGACAAAATTAATCCAATTGTGACCACATCTAGAAACCCACAAATTTACGAAGGTATGGGAATCTCTGCAGGCTTCAAAACAGAACCCATAAATTTCTTAACGACTCCAACGGAAATGGAAAAAATTGAACTAGCACCCAAACACAGAAAATATTTGAAAATAGGAATAATTTGAGCATTTTTATTTAAAACTTAGGGATTTTGAGTAGTCAGACAAGCAGATCAAAGAGTACAATATCTCAACTGATAACAAACAACACAGAAAACAATGACTCTCATCTCTATGTCATTTTAGTTGTGCTTAACATGAAAGTATAGTGATTTATGTAATTTTCCACATGAACTTGACCCCAATCTTGAATGTTTCCAATATTCCATATTCAAAAATATTCCTTAGAATGTATTCGGAATACGAAAATATTCGGTTTTGGCCATCCCTGATATCGTAGCCTATTCAACGATATTACTTCAGAATGAATTCACAATGACAAATTATTTAAGTTTGTCCAACCCTGCAGTGACTCACAGTGAGCCAGACAGACTTTCAACTAATTCAGCATTTGGTATACAGTTGATGACAAGATGATTCCAATCTCGTTGTATGTGTTTGAATATCATATTGATTGAAGAATTATAGATTGGTATTTACCTGAGTGGCAATGCATTTCATAGCTTGTACTAAAGCCATTTTTAAATGTATAGGAGCACTTGGAGCAACACACGTTCTTGCAACTTTGTCATCATTAGGCTGGAGACGTAAGCAAGATACCAGGCATTCCACGAGAACATCTTGATCTGATATTTTTGAGAATCCTTTCCCACCATTTTCAAAAAGAAGAGCCTAACAAGATAAATATAAAAATGGTGAAAAATGCATAATATCGAATTTATATGTGGTGGGGTCAAAGTTGACATTTGCAAACTATGGCTCGCAGGCCAAATCCGGTCGGTTGGGCAATTTAATCTGGCCCGCCTGATGCTGCCACAACCAAACTATAACCAAATTTCGATGTTTTAGCTAAAAAAAACAACTCAAGGAGTTTATTGAGATAGCGATTAAATTTAGTTTGGGCACGAGGCTTAATGTAACTTTATACGTCACACTTCTATGGCCCGTCAGTCTAGGTGGGCAACATTTTTGGCCCCTTGACCAACCCCTGGATAGAAGCGCTGGAATCAACTATGGTGGCACGACAGATTGAAATCTCAGGTTTAAATCATGTGCCCTCCACCTCAATCTTTTTGTAATGAAATTGGGTAGGCAATGCCATTTTTGGGTGAATCCAGAAAAATGGGACACAATTAAATGAGTAGATAACAACACATTCAAAAAAAAAAATTTAGTATAGTAATAAATCAGCATAATCTCATATCATTTTTAGAGAATTAAACAGTCTTGAATTTTACCTTCAAATCGGGTAAGACCATGTGAATCAGTTCATGTAATGGGCATTTATCCTCAGTTGGTCTGGCAGTTTGCACTGTAGGTGTTGTCGTGGCAGCACTCGCAGGTACAGATGAAACGGACGAAGCAGATGGTGACGGAATACAAGTGGCAGCTTTCAACATTCTTGTAAAAGATATTGCACTATTTTCTTGGTTATGTCTAGATGTGAGTGCTTTTTGCAAACAGTTGAACCATTCTTTCTAAAGTAAAAAAATAATGTATTTTAAGAGTTAGCAGACTATCCGAAGATATTGTTATAAATGATAAAATAGTTGTCTTCAAAATGACACTGAATTTTTTGAATATGGGTGTTACCTTAAATAAAAAAAAAAGTAAAAAATTATATCAGTTGTGTTTTAAAAGTTACAAAATATACATGGCGTTTTACTCAAAAACCTGGAAATTAAGAAATAATCTAGAATTGTACACACAGTTTTGTTATCATAAAAAAAGGATACAAAAATCATTAAAAACCCAATAAAGCTAAAATTGCACACAGCCTAATAAATTCCCAAAAATTAATACAATAATTGAATCAATCATGAGGCTTTACATAAAATCGAAAAACAACGGACATTAATGAGAATATTGCATTCTGCAGATTTGAATAATACTGAGATCGAATTCAATAGTTCATTTTGCTGCAATAAAGCCAAAATAGCTTAAGGGCCAGAAGCCATCATTTAGTCTGGGTTCCAAAGTTGCACTTGCTTTAGTTTTTTATTCTTAGTGCCTTGCGTCCATTTTAAAGTTTGGCTATTAGAACTGAACTTTTACAAAAATGCAATTTTCTTGAAATCTTATAACTTGGCATAAGCTAATTTGTTTAGGCTATGACGATTTTATGGTTCAAATTTAGCGCAATGCAACTAGTTATACAATTATTAGAAAATGATCTTGACGGAAATAAGATATTGGTCTCAGATAAATTTTCTAAAAATGATCATGAAAAAATATGACTTGTTCTACTATCCTAAAATGACTTTCCTCATGTCATCAAATTAGAACAATTAAAAATTAAACGGAGTGATGAAATGCAAGAAGAGAAAAAAATCAACTTCCAATGCATAAACATTTGTAAAATTTAAGCAACAGCACATAATTAACTCATGAAAATTTTAAGTTTATTATAAAAAAAAATGGGAAATTTCTTAATAATCTTACCCGAGCTTTCATCTCAGGCTTCATTGACTGGTTACTGCTGAAAGCAATTTCTCTGATAACATCCTGAAAATATGAAAAATATATGATTCTAAAATTTTCAGATCCCAAGTCATTTAGAATATCCAGTGAACAACAACACAACTTACTGGGCAAAGCGTCAATAACATAATCTGCAAAGGCCAGCATGTTGATGCTTTTCGTTTTGAACCTTCTGATGAAGTATCGAGCATGCCAAACAATTTATCTGCAGCTTCTGCTAAATGTTGATTGTGAACTTTCTGTTGCTGGAGAAGAGTCTGTTATGAAAAATATATCTTGATGATAAAGTGGGCACAATGGCATAGCTTAGCGGTTCAAATAATGGGCTTGGCTTATGCTGGCATTGCAGGATAAAAATCCTATAATCAATTCCATGCCCGCTACTTCCTTGCCCGCACCAAGGGTGTAAATAACTTGCATAGACAATGTCAATCCAAAAATAATCCAGTCTTTCTAAAAGCCTTGTTCGGAGGGAAAGGCATATAAAAAGTAGAAACTTTTTTTACAGTAAAAAAAATTATCAACTTAAACTTTATGATGTTATAAAATGATGTTACAATGCTTTATCAATAATGAATTTGACAGAAAATCTATCAAAGACACATACATATCGTACAACAATGAAAACATAGTATTTACGATTTGATGTTTCTATCTTTAAAAAACTGCCACAGATATGTAGGTGGCACTACCTATTTTTGCAAGTACGGTAATCAATGTAATCAGCTCATTATATGATCTATTAGTTGTGACTTGTGAGCAAAGTTCTTTAAGATAGTATCAAATCATATCTCGGCACAGAACACTGACAAAATTTAAGGATTCAATAAAGAGGCACTACATATATATTGTTATGTCGTAGTGGCATTTCAATGCTTATTAATGCACCTTTCCATTCTATACACACACCTCATAGAATTCAAAAGCAAAAGAAATATTAATAAAGAAAATAAATAAGATATTTAATGAAATTTTTAGAATCAGTGAATTTTTACCTTATACTGTTGTTGATGTGCTTGAGACACCTGTCCCTGCGTACCAACCACACAAAATAATGGATGCATATGCTGAAGTTGATTTTGCACTGCAATTTCAGGATAGTAAAGTGCACATAAATCAGCAGGATATGAGTGCAACCAGTTCCAAATAGCCTGATAAAAAAAGAGAATATTATTATAAGGATAAGATTTACATATTATTTACTCCGTGGTAGAGGAAAGGCGATAGGACAGCTCAATCATATGGCGAACCTTGGCGTCTCGTCCGGCTACCAGTTCATGTCGAGTACGGGATTAATTAGCCAGTCATTTGTTTGAGCTGCATGGATCTGGTACCAGCAGTTACCTGAACCACCCTGTGGCAATGAAAAGTCCAACAATCCTCTCTCACATAATTTCCCCCGAACCCACGCAGGTTAATCAGAGGTGCGGTGGCGAGCGTATTCCTAGCGCTTAGAACGATGAGCCACCCGCCGACCAATATTATTTACCTCATGCATTAAGTATGGAGGTCCTGCTACCAGGCATAAGCAAGTAACATATATCAATGTGGCTCATTTAACTTTTTATAGCAAGCATATCTAAATGCATTGCTACATTTGTCCTCCAAAAAAGTCGGAGTTTGACTCTAAACCTTTAAAAAGGCAAGCTGCTCCCCAATTAACATAAGGCAAAGTCCAAGATGCGCCATATAATATTTATTAAATATCAATATTATCTTCTCTCCTAGGCATAAATATCATACATTATTTCAACGTAATGGATTTATATATTATTTAGATATAAATTTAATATCATTTATTTATAATTAAACCATTTAGCAACATATTGCTACAACAAAATGTTCAACTTTTGTTAAATATGAATGGGCATTCCAACAATAGCCTATCTCTCATAAAATAACAAATAAAATTATAAAATTTGAAATATGGTTTGAAATTATCTGAGACACTAACCTTCTCCAAATTGACTGAGATTGCAATCTGAACATTCTTTCTGAAGCTTCGAAATCTTTGGACTACATCTGGAAAGAAACAGTTTAATTTACTTTTGGTATAAGATACACATATACCAGGAGTGAAATCTAATTTATAGTGTTGAAATCACACAATGTAAAATAAAAATAAAAAATTTAATGATTGGACTTTTCAGATAAAAGATTGCTAAATACAGAGTTACTAAGAAACAGAGCCCATGTCATCTGGAACATATTCGAGGGCAGTGATTGGCAACCTGCACGACTCTTTGTTCTCAGAGCTCTGGCTCCCATGAATCAGAGTGGTTACAGCAGTTCATTGTTAGTAGTAGTATGTATTAAATGAAAAGGGAGGCATGAAGCCTAATACTCCTCAATAATTACACATCACAGCGGTTCTCAGGTTCTCAAAGTACAAGTCACGAGCGGTAGAAATGGGTCGCATTCGAAGTGATTCAAATGGGTCGCATATATAGTTATTCAAGTCTGTCATAACAAACTTTTTCTTTTCATTTTACGAGTTCTTTTCATTTCGTCAAAGACTGAACTATTGCATCATTGCTATTTCATTTGGCTTCTTCTAAGAACTAGATTATTGTATCATGAGTGGTTTTCCAGAATTTTTAATACCCATAATAGCCACTGACATTAGACATTAGAGTAGATGTAGCGGCTGTAGGTTTGAGCCTAATTAAAAGGATGCCAAATGCCTCGCTCTTTCAATGCTAAAGGTTGTCTTTAGGCTACAATCATACACAAACAGAAGTTCATGTACGAATAAATTTTCTTCATTTTTGCCATAGTAATTAAAATAAATTTACATTTTAATTTTTTTGTCACCAAATGACAATAATCAGTTAAGCGTAGGAGTTCACAGAAAACGACTTATTTTTTATTTGCAACATTAGCAAGTATAATAACACACACCTTCCAATAATTTTGTGATCTTCACCATATCAACATGAATGTGTTGAATTAAATCAAGATCATTAAGATCAGGTATATCATCACTGTTTCGAGACAAATCTTGCAATCTAAAATAGAAACATATCCAAATCAGTTGTATTCTGCAGCAAGTCCTCTGCATAGCCAAGAATAATATGAATTTATGCTGTGCTACCAATCATGAATAAACAGACAATAAAGTAGTGTTCAAGAACCTTGCAATCCAGGTTTTCTATTCAAGAATAATAACAAATATGTACGGTAAATACAATCAAATTTACTACGAAATAAACAAATCCATATACAGTTCAATTTGCCTTCTTTTGATTCGAACTGTAATGTTGTACATACCTTGCTGAAATTCTACTGAAAACAGTGTTGAAATTGTTCTGACTCAAACAATACAAAACCCGAGAAGCACAAGCCTTCAGTTGAGATGATAAATTGTTATCAATGCTTGATTGATGGATGAACTAAGAATTGAGAGAAACAACAATTAACCCTCTATTAAATCAATAAAATATTCTAAGGATGACCAAAAAAAATGGAACCGACATCCTTTGCAACATATTCTAGAAAAAACATAGGATTATTGAAATTATTGGGACAATCATACACAAACATAAGTTTACATGTTCAATTATTTTTATCCATTTTCATAGGAGTAATGAAGAAATTTATGGGTTACATTTTTTGGGGGGTTGCCCTGTATATTATTTATTGACAGTCTTACTGCTCACTGACACAAATATCATATCTCCGCAACATTTTGTCTGACTGAAGACAAACTTCCTCAGACAAAGGAAATCATCTCACAGCATTACATGCAATGCAGAGCATATAAATCCTCTAGCACAAAGCATAGAAGTAGGATACGTAGAAACACAATTGGTAGCATATCTATTAGGTAACATATATTAGCATGCTGTTTCTTATTAAAAATGAAAAATGACCAAACTACTTGGTAGTGCAATTGCACTGATGTTAATAAGAAAATGAATAAAAGGTTCTCTATTGTCATTTTAATAATGGCCACCAGACTGTTGATTATGTTGCCATAGGGGTTTCTTTAACTACCAATAGCTTGATTAAGCAAATATTACGTAGTCGTGAACTACAGAGCAAAATAAAAATCCTATCATTTTTACGAAAAAAAAACTTTTAGTGTTTAGGTCAGAAAACTCATGGAGTCATGGATGATAAACAGAATCAAAAATCTTTACTATTCACAAGACTAAACTTCAACAACAAAGACATGGCTATTTGTCACACATTCTGATTAGAGCCAAGGCAGAAAATTTTTTACGGTGCCTCCAAAATTTTGTGTCCCATTTGTAACACGTGTCCCACTTGTACCACGTGTCCCACTTGTACCATGTTTCCCACTTGTCCGACTTGACATGTGGTACAAGTGGGACACGAGGTACAAGTGGGACATGTGGTACACGTGGGACAAGTGGTACACATGGAATAAGAGAGACAAGTGGACATGTTGTACAAGAGGTACAAGTGGGACACATGGTACAAGTGAGACATGTGGTATAAGTGGGACACCTGGTACAAGTGGGACACGACATTTTGGAGACACCCAAATTTTTATAAGGGAAAGCAAATACCTATGCAATTTTATTTAGGAATATTAAGAAAATATGTGTACAAATACGAGGTTCTTTATATTTACCACATATAAGCACTAAGATGTTAAAATCTATCACCAAAATACTCTGAAAATACAATGTTTACCTGACATATCTCTGGCAGAAGCTGTTTTATCAAAATGGATTCATCAATAGTCGAGGACTTGTCTTTGTGTTGCTGTAAAATTTGAAAACAAAACAAATGTATCAGAATAATTTCAAACGAAACAACTTATTCCATTAGAAACTGACTATGATACATTCAACACAAATATTCAATTACCATAGTTACTCTCTTTGAAATCTCTAAAATAGCGCAAATCAAAAAAATCTATTAAAGTTCCTTATTTATATACATAATATACATAAGTATATACCCCTCTACAGCCTTGTTCAACAAACACTAATATGAAAACTTTAGTTTTAATTCATTCCAATAGACTCAATAATATCAAACATAACAACCAGAAAAGCGTAATCAGCATTATGACGAGCGAGCTGATAGTACACACACCAAGAAAGACAATACAATAAGCCATTTAAATAACTTGAAAAGGAATTTTCCAAAAACCAGCCATGGTACTTGTGCGCAACGTAATCGATCATCGCTAAGTATTGGTATGAATCTAATAAAATAGTCCTAAATGTACAAAAAAAAATCAAATGAGAGGATTCTCTTCTCGTTTTCATGTAACATTAGAGAATATTTAGAAAATAAATAACATAAATAGTGTCATACTCCAGAAATGCATTTCTCCAATGTATCCAAAACAATAATTTGGGATGTATAAAGATTTCTTTCTTGTCTTCCACCATAAATTCGCTGCAACAGAAAATATCAATTATGCATGGTAATAAGAAAATTCAAGATCAAATACAAAAAAATAGCATAGTATTTAAAAAAAATACAAATAATCTTGTTCCTCATGTCCTGTGTAAGTTGATAATGATAACCTAACAAAGTCAATAGTTTTTCGAAAAATTGCGTTTAATTGCATAAAAACGAAAAAAAAAATACTTTTTTACTGATCCTTTTCAAATAAAAAACCAAAACAAAAGAGTTCAGGCCTAGCCACCTGGGTATAATTATTTTCCTCATATTATTTATATTCTCTCAGTATGAAGTACGAAGATTTAAAAAGTAATACAATAGATGGGCTTACTATACTGGCAAGATTTTTCAATATTTCAGTGAGCCCGGTAATTACTGTTGTGAATCTTGTTCGACTGATGTTGATCATACATTCCTTGTGTTTTTCCAAGTTAGCACGACATGCTGGAGTAAATTGTGCAGCTTTCGAGGGCAACTGAAAAAGATATACACGTTCAATATTCATTACATTTACTGGAGTATGCACAGATTTTGTTGATCAAATCATCTAATACTGATACTACTGTAAATAGCCTGAGAACCAGGGCAGTGGAGTTTGGGAAAATTAACTTCAATCCAGACTACAGAGAATTTGAAAAGACAACTCCAGCTGCAGTCCAGTGAAAACGTGCCTCTGACTCTGTAGCCCTGCTGACCTGGTATTGATTGATGATAACACAGACATTTTGAGATTCGCGAAACAAGGAAAAGACTTTATTAATTTATTGCTATTCATACACAAGCAGTAATCAATCATGAATAAAGTTTTTTCTAATCGTATATATCACACATCAGTTCATCTGAAATACAAATTAAAACAACGACCAACCAACTGAATAACATCATATTAAAAATACTCAATACCTCAATATGAATGGAATGTCTTATCATTAAAGACAGATAATCCAACCCTAATAATCATATGGAAACAAAAATAGGGGCTCCTGAAGTATGCGAACTAAGATGGCGGACATCGGAATGTAATATGTGTACTAGGTTAGGTTTAGGCCATAATTTTAGGTACAAATATTACGAGAGGCACTTGGCTAGTCTTTGAACTCATAGTAGGACTAAAATAAGGGAAATTGGAATAAAATTATGGCCTAAACCTAACCTGTTACCCATGCTACGTTTCGATGTCCGCCATCTTGGTTCGCATACTTCAGGAGCAACCAAAAATATATCAAAAATAATATCAATTTTTAACACTAACCTGGGAATCGAATCTTGATATAACAGTTGTAACCCATTCTTTGGGCCGCTGTGTAGCCATGTCATCAAACTAAATTCCACTGCCAGGCAATTGTATACATTCACAATCAAGTCATTATAAAGCTATAGTTTACAACAGAACACATATTTGACTGAATAATGTCTTGTAATAAAACGTGAAAATCTGAAGTTAATTTCAAGGCTTGGATCAATAGGGCACAGTTCTCAGATTCCAAGAAGTCCCGACTGTCTCGTAAAGAGGGGGGGGGGGGGGGGGCTGGGGTTGCAATCATGTTATAATTGATGTCTCTTAATGTGGGGTCAATTCTTGAAATCGGATAACTCTGCTGTACTGTATATATGTTGTAGTAATCAATTTGCACAGTATGTCATATCATATGCACAGTATGATGATACCAGTACAGTATTTAAACGGTTCCATTACATTTGAACCCACGTACATTTGAACCCATGATAATTGCACCTGTATGCTATTGCACCTATGGAATTTTTTTTGTTTTTCGGATAGTTGAACCCATACTAACCCTAACCCATGGGTTTTAGCACCCGCATATAGATTAAACCCGTGGATATACACATGGGTTCAAATGTACGTGGGTTCAAATGTACGGTCACCTATTTAAACATGTTCCTGCATTCATTCAAAAGGAAACGTTAAATTAACATTATTAGATGCATAGCAATAGTATGTGAATTATGATTTAAAATCAATAGAGCATAAGAAATGCTAAAATAATATATTCAGAATCATATACAGATGTCACACAATTATGTTAATGTCATACTCATAGATAAGTAAGCTATCTAAAACTGTAGTCAGTTTGTTAGTCAAATAGGGTCTCCCGAAGTACGCGCCGACAAGTATTTCTAGTGGGCGTAGCATAACTATTTATGCATATCATATTTCTGACCCCCACCTGACTACGTAGTTCAAACATTATGTCACTGCAACGTCACAATCACGCTATAGAGCTTGCCAAAGTACAGCTACGACCGTCGGAAATGGCAAATGTGGCAATGTCAACTATGATGAACTCACTAAAGCCAGCGATCTCTATCTTATAGGTATCGTTACAAAGAAAATTGAGAGAAATAGCTTGCTTGATTTCAGACGATCGTCCATGCGTTTTAAATCATCATACTTTATACTATGGAGGGCCTTATTACGTCACTATGACTTAGAAGTGACCTAATTTTCAGATGACGTAGTCAGGTAGGGGTTAGGAATGACATATGCCAGGCCTGCACAACATGCAGCCCGCCAGATACTTCTGTGCGGCCCGCGGGTGATTTGGAAACACGCCACTTCTCGGTCTAACATTCAAAGCCCGCATTGTTATGTAAGCGTGCCGCTACTCCGATCATATTTAAAATCGCGAGATTTATGTTTTGCACTAGTTTCAATAAATATCGAATTTTGTGTGAATTGGTGTGCCCTTCGCGACCCCTAAAATAAGTCGCTCGACCCCTCGCCCCCCAGTTTGGGAAACCCTGATTTAGATATCTCAGTATTCAGACTGAATCACGCGAGGATAGTTGGTAGCATAAAAGTGACCGCATTTCGCCATCCCTAATCTGCCACCTTTCGACCGTATTTTGCCATCCCTATTCTGCCATCCCCAATATGACTTTTATGCTACCACCACTATAGAATCATGCTTAAAACAATATCGGTATACAATCTCGCAACCATTAGTGCATATTAGCAACCTATTAATAACCCCATTATTTTTTACTAGCAGTTTATGAAACTGAAGTTTCTTTTTTGATTCAAATTTAGAACTTTAAAAACAATTCCTTCATGTATGAATGGTGCAGAAATTCTTGCACAAAAGATTTTGCTATTTACTGTAAAATTTCAAATAAATTGGAGCAGATTTTTTAGAAAAATGTAATTTAACAGTCAAAAAAGTACAACAGAGGAAGATCTATTGCTACTAAAGGGATTGTTTGTTTAGCCTACAATGGAAATATCCAATAAGGGTAGATATGACTAAATAAATTGTCATACATATATTTGGGACGATTTTACAAAACTGAACATGACTAAAATATTTTCCTGCAGTCAGTTTATACTGCAACACGCAATACCTAATTCTAATAAAAAAGAAATGTTTAAAATGAAGGGTGGGTTTTCAAGGTAGATGAACCACTAAATACATATTTGTCATCTCATATGCAAAAATACTGTACCTTGTTTTTACTCAAGAAAATAAGATTCTTCATATTTTTAAGCTCTCCAGTAATGAAAGTGTTTCATTAAATTTAACTGTTTCACAATATTATTTTGATTTGTAGTGCATCTTGTGAAATATGTATGTGGCAAAGTTTTCGGCCCGCCAGGCCTTCAGACCTCGTGGTTATTCGAGTTGTGCAAGCCTGACATATGCAAAAATTGTAGAGCCAGGCCGACTAGAACTACTTGTGAGTGTGTACTTCGAGAGACCCATCAAATTTGTTAACTGTAGTTTCGTTATCGTACCACAATAACTTCTAATTAGCATGGCGTTAAAATTTGCATATGTCATTCCTAACTCCCACCTGACTACGTCATCCAAAAATGTTTGTTGCACGACGAAAATGAAATTCAGAATCTAAATTTAAGTAATTCAATTATAAACATTTCAAACCGCCCTACAGTTGTAGATACTGGCATTATAAATAATGTTAACTTAATTCAAATACAATGAGTGAAGCTCTTCGTATCATTCAAAATTAAACTTTCAGACTTTGAAAACAGGCTGCAATAGTGAAACAACATATAAAATGCAAAGATTGAAATTATGTGAAAAAAATCATGGCGGAAAAAATTGGCAAGACCCATTGTAAAAACCGAAAAATTAGGCACTTGCTAAATTTGACAGCTCCTACCAGTCCGAATTCTTCTCGTTGGAGACCAAAAACTTGCCAAAATCAACCATACAAAATGTGTATATTTGATATTTCTGTTTTAAAGTAATCAAAAACAGCAGGAAATAGGTTTTTCCACAGTGCCTGAAATTGTGATTTTGTGTGCAGCGTTACCATATTTTACCATTGATGTTTCAATTTCGAATAAATCCAAAAGATGAGATGCTTGGCCGTTGATTGTCAAATGATATTGCTCCTTGTATTATGAAAATACCTAATTTGTCTTAGAAACACGAATTTTTTTAGAAATTGAAATATTACTGTATATGGAGTTCTGTGGGAAATAAATTATGGAAATTATTGCGAAACAATATGGCAACAAACAGACATACCTAATTTGTCTTAGAAACACAAATTTTATTTAGAAATTGAAATATAACTGTATATGGAGTTCTGTGGAAAATAAATTATGGAAATTATTGCGAAACAATATGGCAACAATTAGCGAATAGTTGTCCAAAACACGCAGACCATCACCAGAGCAAGCTATTTCTCTCATTTTCTCGTCGCAACGATCACAATACGAGAGAGATCACCGGCATTAGTGAGTTCGTTATCGGCGTCGCATATGCCATTTCGGGCGACCGTAACTGTACGTTGGAAAGCTCTATGACGTGATTGTGACGCCGTAGTGACGTAATTTTTGGATGACATAATCTGGTGGGAGGTGGGAATAACATATATGCAAAAATTTGTTATGCTACGCCCACTGGAAGTACTTGTGGTACTGAACTATACTAGACCCCATAATTCCTCGTATTATTAAAAATGCTAAAATTGTCACAGAATGAGGAATTTCATTTGAAAAGCAAAGTACAGCAAGTTTTGACAAAAATAATCGATGAAACATATTGCGAAAAAATATAGCAACTTTCATTAATGACTGAATGAAAATTAAAAATCAGGCACTTGCAAAATTTGTCACTTATTCGCCAGTCACAATAGTTTTTGTTTTTTACAAAAAAAAATGTAAACTAAATCATACAAAGTCTGTATATTCAATTTTTCTGTTTTAAAGTAATCATAAACATTAACAAAAGAAATACGGTACCGGTACCTTATTAGGTGCCTTAAATTTAACAAGTGCCTGATTTTTTTCATTTAGTATTCATTGTTTTATACCTTATTAAATCGAAAGGAATATTGCTTTATTGCTAGTGCGAGATAATGGAAATGCAATTTTTTCTAAGGTCTATAATAAAACTGAAACCCCAATGAACTACGAAAAAGTGCCTGATATCGCAAGTGCCTGGTTTTATTTTAGGGAAACCCCCTATCTTGTACCATATTGATGGTTCCAATCCATTTTCTAATTGCAGCATAATCCTACGACTGGTAAAGACCTAAATGCCTGGTAATGCATGCAGTAGAAACAACATGATAGGCAACTGTGACGTCACGCCATAAGACAACAGGCAAGCAAAAGATTGTATTCCACGCTACGCTCCAATGCACAAACATTGCGCCGCCTTTCTTCCGTTTCTTTCGTCAACTTTGGTCTGGAGGCGCAGTTCTTACCACTTCATGGCAGCTCCTGCCACGAATGAACCACGGCAGCTCTTGCCATGGTTTTATAGCGCTTTTCAGTAATCAGTATTAACGGTATATTCACAAATTAATGTACCAGATTTTTATTGATCATCTGGAATTATATCTACTTAAACCCTAACCCCAAATCTATCAAAACTGTATCTATAAGACAAACGTTCCAACTTACTCAATATTTGTCACCATAAGGGACAGCCCTATCTTTACGGCCCACCTGCCGCGGTTACAGCAGCAAAATTTTACCTGCCATTGGTTTTCAATTTGCTGCCGCGGTAACGGCAGCTCGACATTGGTTTGTGGCAGCTAAAAAGTCAGTCGCCATAGGTTTGACCTTGGATCAGAGCATATATTGCCTATGACATAACGATACAGCAATTCTCTCTTCCTCTCTGAACTAGTTAATCAAAGATAAATTGAATGCTTCCGATATGTATGTTATGTAAAAAAAAATTTATGACTGCCATGCTGCATGGCTGGAATATTTAAGTTCACCGAGCGGGACGCCAGGATAGCATGTCAAAATCGGGATTGTCGGGTTACCGACTGATACATCGGCCATATTATTTGTCCACGACTAACGCATATTGAAAAAAAAACAGCCAAAATGCAAACAAAATCGACGCAAATAATTAATTTCAAATGTCAAATACCATAAGTAGCCTAATGCATTACGCGCCACGGAAAAGCTGGAAGTCAGTCGTTAAAACGAGGGAGCCTTCAATTGATCCTGCAGAAAAGAGAGAGAGGCACACTCTCTCTATATATACTGTATATCAGTGGCGGCGCGTCAATAGGGCCAACCGGGGCAATGCCCCGGTTGTTTTTTCGGTATAATAAAAAATATTCGAAAAATATCTCAATATCGGTTGCACAGACTGTCTACACTAGCCATATTCTCCCGACATGATTCATTTTTCGCTCGCAAAGCCTTCGCCGAACGTCGACGGGGCGACGCCAATTTTGCCCCGGTTGCTCATTGTATATCGTATTCTCTCTTTTATCTTCCACTCGCCGCGTTTGTCTCGTTTGTTTTCTGTTTCTTTTACTAAATCATCAGGGCCGATCGGGCTAGCACCGAAATTATGACGACACAATGCCGACGTTTCTTACAACAACGTGTTGACATATTCACGCATTACTTCTCGTTCGTTGGTTGCTTGAAGAGTTGATAGTTTCCTCGCCTTCGTTTTTGTCGCTTGTTTCGCTATTTGAATCAGTTAGAACCCTTTAGTCCATTTGCTTTCGATTTTCCACATTCCTTTTGAGCTCCTCACTTCTTTCCGGCTTCGCATTTCTTAGCCTTAGACCTCATAATGAATAAGGTTGATGCACTACTTCGCACTCCGTTTTCGCAGCTGCCGCTGGAACAAAAATTAGAGGTACAACGTCTTGGGCCTGATCAACCAAAAAATTGTTCACTGGAACAATCCCATGACGGAGGAAAGCGTCGGCGTACATTCTGCGCAGAAACTTGGTATAAAAAACACGAATGGTAGTGTTACAGCGAGGACAAAAATGCACTTTTTTGTTTTTTTTGCCTACTTTTTGCTACCGCCCGTGACTCACGTTGGTGTAAATTTGGTTTTAGAGATCTTAAACATCTTTCCGAGCGTGCCAGGGATCATCAATCTTCTATGGAGCATCTGGACACTGCAGTAAAATACCGAACATTCGAAAATGTTAATATTGCAGCACAGTTGGATGAAGGACGCGCGGTTTCTATTCGTCGGCACAACCCAAACGTCGAGAAAAACCGCCATGTTCTCGGTCGATTGATAGATGTTTTGAAGTTCATTGGTTGGCACGAGCTGTCTCTCCGTGGGCACGATGAACGGGCTGGCTCTTCTAATAGAGGGGTATTTTTGGATATGGTGGAATACACCGCATCCCTAGATACAGTATTGAGAGATAATCTCGATGCCGCAACTGTTTCGAAAGGGACATCTAAGGATATCCAAAATGATTTGCTCGACTCAATGTATAAAATTTATTTACAACATTTGGCTCTGGAAATTGAGAATTGCCAGTTCCTTTCGATTCAGTCTGACGAGACAACTGACATCACGTGCGTTTCCCAACTGGCTGTGATTTTTCGGTTTGTGAAAGATGGTAAACCTACCGAGAGATTTCACAGCTTTGTACCAATCGTTGATCGCACGGCTTGCGGGATATCGGTTGTACTGAAAGAAGTGTTACAGCCTTACAACGCGAAGTCAAAATTGATAGCTCAAACTTATGACGGCGCGGCAGTCATGAGTGGGTCGAAACATGGTGTTCAAGTTTATATAAAAGAAGATTTTCCTCATGCGCATTTTTTACATTGTTATGCACACCAATTTAACCTCGTTATTAAAAAGATGTGTCTTGATACCCCTCTCGTCCGTATATTTTTTGCAAATGTTTCGGTTTTTTTTTTTCATTTTTTTCCGTTTCGCCGAAGCGCTCTGACCTCCTTCGCCAGATATGTAGCCGCCGTCTCCCAGCTTGTGCACCAACACGTTGGAACTTCCAATCACGCGTGGTGCATGGCGTGTCCGAAATTAGGTCTGAGCTCATTGAGTGTTTCAATGGCATTCAGAGCTCTCCGGTTTGGGACGAACGCTCTGTGAGGGAGGCGGCAGGTCTAAAGCGTCTGCTAGAAGATGGTGAGTTTTCATTTTTTCTCCACTATTCTATCACGTGGATGTATTATACGGCGCATTGCAGTCAAGGCTAATGGATGGAGCGTCTGTGCAGTCGTGTATTTCAGACTTCTGCGATGCTGTATCTCGTATCCGGGAAACAATAAAATACGACGACACATGGAGTGCTTCTTTACGCCGCGGGCAAACAACGCAGCGTTTGATTTTGTCTGCAAAGGAATGCTGTGACATTCTGGTGAATCAAATAGGCGATCGTCTGCGCACCGAACACCTTGCCGCGTTCTCTTTGATGAACCCCAAAAATTTTTTCAAAATTTGCACGTCAATTTCCCATCCATTTGTTGGCTACTGTCTCCAAATTTTACCCCATGATAAACGTGGGTAAATTGGAAAATGAATTGCGATTTATATACACCAATCAAACTTTTTTGAACATCACATCAACTTGCGCGCTCTATGGGTTCCTCATAGATAACACTCTAGTAAATACCTTTGCGGCGTCTGCAAAATTTCTGGACATCATTTTGACGACGCCTATTTCTTCCGCCGACGCAGAGCGAACATTCAGCACACAGAAGTGTATTAAAACGTATCTCAGAAACACAATGAAGCAGGATAGATAAAATTCCTTGGCTGTTTTATCCATTCACAGAGACGGTATTTCTGGGATGCATGACTTTAATCAGCGCGTTGTTGAGCATTTTGCTTCCAAGAAACCGCGGCGTGTTGCATATATGTTCAAGCAGTAGAAGTCTAGCAGCATATATATCTATGAGTGAGCGACGCATGTCCTTATCTTTGCATAACTTTTTTCATAGTAACGTTTTAAACCTTATTTTAGGTTTTGTCTGCTTTCCCGAAGTTTCTGTTAATATGTCATTGTATTTATCTGGGTAAATATTGCCTTTCCTTTTGAAAGAGGTTTCAAAATAAACTATGTCTATATTTATTAATCCCTTGACTTGGACCGGTTTTAAAGACATTTCTTATCGTTAAAAATTGTCGCTTTTGCCGATTGGTTGTTACCGATGGATTGGTTTTTATACTCATAAAATGATGGGAGAACTTACAGCGCTCATCCTGTCCCCGTAGATGGGGGTGACTTGGTCCCGCAGTAGCTTGCCCCGGTTGTCAAAATGACCACGCGCCGCCACTGATAAATATGATTTTTCTCCCTCTTCAAACGCACTTGCCGGAATATCTCCAGCCTGTGCTCATACTGAAATCGATAATCGCATAATATCTATGCTGCCAAAAATTCATGTACCGCAATATTGAACGAGCAAATCATTCCAGTTAGAAATTTATGTACACAATTGAGTAATAATACAGATTGAGCATTTCTAGAGCGAGGGCTGCGACCTTGTTCCACTCAAATAACATGCGCTATTAACACATGAGTTGTTAAGAGTATTGGAATCCACGGTAACCATCAATCCATGCTCTCGTTAAACTACAATAAGAGTAAATATGTAAGTCTATTCCGTGACATCAGAACAAAGAAGTAATACAGACAAAACAAACATAAAGCAGGCAAAATCTAGAAAGATTTAAAAAGTGCTTATACTTACCCCAAGCAGCGAACAACGTATTATAGTAAATTAAAAAGAAATACTAGTTCACAAAACAAACAGATAATTCGAGCGTAAAAACATGGTTGTGGATGTGGAGTTTGGACACACAATTTCTACTATATTGTATACAAAAAATACCGAGAGTGCAGCAAGCAAACAAGCGGTGCACAATATGTGACAAGAACAATATCAAAAGCAGCCTAACTTCATATCAACAACAAATGGAGTAAAATAGAACAAGAACATTCCATGCCCTGGCGTTCCAACTTCAGAGCGATTAGTATTAATAAAAATCTATGTGCTTTGTAAAACTTGCGCTGTGCAAGCAGTCTTTTATGGAAAACCAATATTAAATTTCACATCCAACCACAGTCAAGTTCCGAAATATTAGCCTTCTGTTTCTGTATTCACTTTCTATAAGATTAAACGCATGCCAAATGGTCGAATGCGACCAAGCTCATGTTAATTAAGCAAGTGAGAGCGCATACCAAATTGTATTTCGAATTTCTTCAATGTCAAATGTAATTGTTTTTACACGCGATGAGAATAACATAACGCTTGACTACTACACATCGCTGATTGCAAGCTAACTTTGCACAACATATATGCAACAAGGCAATGAAAACTATAATTCAATGCTTTGGTCTCTGCGGTAGGGGTAGCAAATTGCTTTGGATCGTGGGCCATACCATGGCAACAACTTTCGCTAATGAATAAACGTAGTTTTAATCAATCTAAAAAAAAGAAACATTCGATTTCAATTCTATTCATGAGAAAGATAACTTATCATTCTCTTCTGCAAAACTTTAAGGTCATGAGTTGTATTGGTTGTTGATATTTTCATAAAAGCATGCCGAAATCATCGCGAAACTGCGACCATCAAGCGAATAACCAGGATTAAAAAAAACATAGTTTCGAAACAATTAAATCGCAATATAAAAATACTTGTATATCTTCGATGATGTTTTAGGCTAAATATTTTAACTTTTGTCGCCAGTACATTTGAATATAGCTAATATTGAAATATTTTACGTTATTTGAGTGCGGTTAGCTAGGACATGAAATAACTTAATTTGTGACGTCACAATTATTTTATTTATTAGTCAACAATCGTACTTAGAGCAATGTTAATTTTGCAAATTTACAAAAATGGCAAATTTATCATTTACGCGACTTCGACTTGTATCAACAGGTCAAAATGTCGCCCATTCTCGTGTTTTTACACGCGATATTGGGCAAGCGAATCAAGCACTTCATCAGTGCGTTACAAGTTTTGCTGGCATTAGTAAATTTTTTGTCTGGAGTATTAATCTTCACCGAAGTTGACTATCAGAGAAAAGAAGACAATCTGTATCATGGAGCGGGATTATTTTTGAGATTCATCGACATTCCTCATGACGCTTACATACTGGACAATCCTGTGCATGGTAAGGACATTGGTGGAATTCTGCATAATTTGTTCAAGGAGCCCATGAATTGGCTATTTTGGCTGATCATAACATTTCCTGTAACTGAAAAGATGGCGAGGCTTCTAACCGCAGTACTTCGCCATGATAAATGCTCGATCTCTTTTATTGTCAAATTGCTGGGACAAATTGTTGTGGCCACACAGAGTCTCAAAATTAGAAAGGGACTTATTAAAACTTTAAAAATGCTTTTGGCAATATGTAGAGAGCCCGAAAATTTCTTCAGAAAACATCAAAAAACCTGGCGAATAAAAAAATCAGCTAGAAAATTTATTCGTCAGGCAATTAGACGTCATGACAACATTGCTTCTAAGAGACTAAGACTACGAGCAAATGAACATGTGAAAATACGAACATCGAATATACGAAGTTTGGATCGCTCTGAAAAAAATCGTAATGACCCGAATAATGAATCTAAGAACAATAGCATCAAATCCAGGCCCGATGATGGACCCCCGAACCACAACGTAAAATCTAACGAATCTGCAGGAAACAATTCGCCCGCACAGCAACAAGACGAGGAAAATATCCATCCACCCACTAAAAGCGAAACATATTCGTCACCATTCGTTTCTGCATCAGAATACGATTTGCTTCCTGGCAATACAGGATCAACGTCAGCGCCTTTTGAAAAGATGGTCGATGAAGTTCATTTTAACATTGTAGATGTACCGACAATGATTGACCCAACTTTGTCTTACAAAAACTCTACCGAGCATTCTCAACGACTCTCTACAGTTGGAGGTATCTTTAGTCCTACAGAAGAAGAAAAAGCTCCTGATGAGATTGATATGTATACCATCAACCAGGATGATTTGAAAGGTGCTCAAGTAAGCCATAAAATTAATGGTAAATCTGCGAGTATTGTCGGCGAAAGTGGTGATTTTGCTGATGAAAACCAGTCATGCAAAAATTATCTGTTGGTAAACGAAGATGAAGTCTATGCTGCTGGTGATTCAAATACCACTAGCCAAAAGGGAAACGGGACACCTCAACATCTCTATAAACCATCGGGGAGGGATAAAGGAGACTGTGTGCCTCACCCATCACCCATCAAACTGACCAGATCATCCGATCAAAAACAACCAGGAAAAAACCTTCTTGAGAAACAAATACAAAGTACAAATAATGTACACGCGAATGATCCTGTTTCAGAAGTTGAAATTTCAACTATTCCAGAATATATGGCAAAATCAAACGCAATTAAAGATGAAGGTAATGCTGATTCTGCTCCGACCAACCACGGAAATTCATCAATCAATGCTTTGGACGAATGTAACGATCCTACGCCAGATGATAAAATATATGATACTGCTTCTTGCTCAGTCAGTCACACTGATTTAAAAAATGATTCCAACGATCACAAGAAAAATCATGTCGTGTCTGCAAAATATGGAAAAAATATCATAAAGGTGAGTTCTGAGATTTTATTCCTTCCAAAAAAATAATTTCTGCTATCGTTTGCAGTTTTTTGAACTTAGGTTTGAAAATATAAGATTGAATCAGCTTAAGACGTATTAGCGGTATTTCTGAACAAATCTAATTTGTCGGAAACTTTTTTCCTGCTAATCTTCCCAACCGTTATTTTTCTCTTTAATTTTTACAGAATAATATAAAGAAGTCCAGAAAAGAGGCACGTGATCAATTTTGTACTCAAATATGCGCCAAAACTGTGGAAACAAACAAAAACGTTGATGCATCTGTTATTGTTGAGGTTTGTAATCAATGAAAACGGATTGTTACGAGATCGATTAAATGCTGTAAACGTTCTTAATTGCCTTGTCTCCAATTCATGATATAAAATAGCAAATTTCATATCTGAAAGCTTGCTTAGTGAGAATTAATGATAAAAAGTCGACTTGGGAAATTGTTGCTCACTTGGGAATTTGCCAATATTTATCATACGCCCATGCTGTTAACGTTTCTAAATATAAAAAGAAAGTAGCAGACCAAGCTCGGAATAAAAACTAGCCTCGCATTAAATGGATTGATAGACCTCACACTGAAATGCATCTTTTTATTTTTTTTAATTCTGTATGTACCATGTGTATTTTCTGCATGTGAAAAAATAAACTGCTGATTGGCTGACAAAATAGACTATTATAATTGAATTTTGTATTTTTGTTTAGGGGAACGATATCTTCTCAAATAGAAAAGATATTTACGAATTTAACTATGAATTGTCAAAGATGAGTCAAAAAGAGAAAAGGGAGTTTTTGTTCAAAAGTGAAGTCGACTCATACGAGGTTAGCAAAGTATTGTACTACAGACCAGAAGTAAAAATGTACCGAAATAGACGTTATTTTGCCAAAATGATAGTTCAGATCAATACAAATACAGAAAAATCATTTATTTTATTTTTCATCAGAATTTGATAAAACTAGAAGAAGAAAGAAAAAGAATTTCCGAAGAAATTGTTTCATTCGAAAAATACCGTGGCAAAACAAAAAATCCATTTCGATGGATTCGGAAAGCCATTCGAGCTAAATTTAGACCTGGTTTGAAAAAGGAGGACAACTTTAAACTGGAGTCATTGTTGGCCAAAATTCAAACGAAAATACAAATAGAACGTGAACGAAATAATGAATTTCGAAGATTTCTACTTCTGTTGGAGGACAAAGAAGAAGGAGATATTCGGAATGTTCGTAACTCTATAAGAGGGCTAAAAAGCCGTATAGCTAAGAATTTGCACAAAGTGACACAGATTCGAAAACGGTTGGGGAACAATCAGAGCAATTCAGATGTAAACATCGAGCCATTTCAATGTGCTTCTGGATTCCTTGGTACAGATATTCGCAAAGAATATTTACTCCAAATTGAAAATCCAGTCTCGACTTCAACAGATGGATTTCTTCCAAACTATTCTAAAAGTCTTACTTACAAAATGGACAATTCATCTTGTAATCCTTCAGCAGCTGGTGTTCTACTTACATATTTTGCATAGCATGCAATTTTCTACATATATATATATGTTAACTCTATTCTATATTATATTATTTTATAGTTCCATTCTGTCAATAAAAATTTATTTGTATTTGATATTTAGAAATAAATTTCATTGATAGACAACATAAAGTTTGATATGTTAGTCTGCTTCTGTCGCATATATTCATTGGACGGTGTCCAGAAGTATGCACACCAAGATGTCGCACAACCTGAATCCCAACCGGTACAGACATAATATGTTCAGGTTGTGCGCCATCTTGGTGCGCATACTTCTGGAGGTCCCATTGGACAAACAAATCAATGAGACGTACAAAAGTAAAGAGCCGTTTAAGAAGTTTCCCAAAATAAAAAAGTCCTATTTTTTACAGTGTCACTTATGCCACCGTGCATCATAAGTGTGCCAATTGGCGATATAAGGTAACTAGAGGGCTATATTGGAGCCTTTCCTCGAAGAAACATCAATTACCGTAAAGAAGAGTATTTAAAATTAGGGCGAATATTACCATATTTATGAAACCTTACATGCTCAGCATTATTTCAAAAATAAATAGACTAGCAATAAAAAATGAAAAAGATTTCACGTTTTTAACTAAAATTTCAGAATGGGTTTGAATAAAAGTTTTTATTGAGCGCTACTTGCATAATTTTGTTCAGAATTTCCACTATTTGTAAACTTCAGGGAGACTCCTTTCCATCATTAATCAAGTTATGCGCAGTGTAATCTGCTTTTAGGCTTATTTAATTGAACAATTTATGCAATATTAGTTTTCAGTCTATACAAAACGTAACTTTAAACCAGAATTGACGTCCAGCTACAGAAGCATAATTATGCTAATTTAGATTCAGTGGATAATCCTTTAGTTGATCTGCTTTCGTGCACGTCGATGTAGATTTCATTGTCCAATTTTGTTAAAGTTGCCAAAATCAACAAATTTCAATAACGCTGTGACGCATCCCTAAGCTTTAACAATAGCTTTAGAATTTACTGATATATTGATTTCATTTTTATGTTTTAAAGAATTTTTATTGATGCTGCTCAGAAAAATAATGTGCCTTTCATTGGTATCGGGGATGGGGGAAATTTTCTAACATCTGGGTCGAAATTGTGTTTTTATCACGGCAAAAAAATATTGTGCTTTTCAATGGTATCGGGGATGGGGAACATTTTCAAATGTCTGGGTCGAAATTTCGTTTTTATCACGGCAAAAAAAGTGGATCAAAGATAGTTAATCCAAATCTCCATCAATGGGAAGCTTGCTTTTGCGACTAGTCCTATAATCCTTGGTTTGTATTGTGTAGTTTTGAGCTTTGAACATGAAGTCCTTGTATCGAGGCTGAGATTGATTTCCTGTTTTTCCTTGTAATCGATTTTATGAAATTCTTGTGCGAAAACACGGATGCTCATGAATATAAACACCATAAAACGTTATAATAATACGGCAAATCTTGCCATAGTTTCAAAAGAGTTTGGAAGAAAATTCTATTCTTAACAAATTATATTTTCGAACGACTTACAACCATTCCCATACAACCAAGTCCCATTCCTCTACATTGTTATTTTAGATTTCTGTAATCGTTAATTTCCTATTAAAGTTCCTTTTCCAAATGACAGCTGAACGTTATCAAATAAAGGCAGTTCTTATGAATAGATACAATGCAAAACGTGCGTGCCGGGGCAATCTTCAAAAGACAAGGATCGGTAGCGCTATAAACGCTCTTCAGCGAATATAAAAGTTAATTGTTGCAGTAATTCAAAGCTGCTTGCGCACCACTAGTGGTGCGCGTACCTCAGGTTGAGAACAACTGCTCTAAAGCATGCCATAGATTGATGACTTGTTGGAAAAAAATTTCGGAAGAAACCATACGTGCCTTGTGCAGTCAAGTTCCAAACAGACCGAGGCGTGTAGTGGAGGCAAAAGAAGGATATATCGAAAAGTAACAATGAATGCTATTATTCATCTTTATAATGCTATTTTCCGCAGAATACTTTTTTTTTCTCTTGCATTCATATTGTAGATATTTCAATAAACATTTGTCTACACTTGGTCTGATCACCATGTAATATCTATGTTGCCAAATGTTCATATGCAATGATGAACGATAGAATTATTCCAAGTAGAGATTAATGTACACAATGCAAGTATATGGGGATGATACCATATTAGTAATAATGCAGATTGAGTATTTCTAGAGCGAGGGCTACGACCGTGTTCCAAGCAAATAGCATGCGCTATTAACACTAAGTTTTATTTTATTTTTCTTTGTTGCCGTAGGTTATGTGTGATTCAGTCTAACTATCGTTTCTATATTACCGCACACATCGAATATTAACACCAACTATTTGAAATTAACCATTATGTGACTTTATTGCAAGCAGCGTATGGGTGGCCAGAAAAAGTTTGTGGCGTTAAAGTATACTATATACCAGGGGTGGGCACACCGCGGCTCGCGCGACTTTTTGTGCGGCTCTTCTCGCTAACATAAATTATTATCAAAATTTTGACTAAAAGAAAAACTTTAATGTAAACTTTTTTAATTTATTAAGCGTTGTAAAGAAGTTTCCGTCAATGATTAGGACAAATTATGTTTTAGTATGAAAATCGCTGTAGCGTTGAATTTAAGTCAGTCAAGTCAGCAAATCTTTCGTCACAATGGTTAATGTTCATCGATGCGTAGGCGGTATTGCAGCTTGATTGCGGTTAGTTAGTCTAAGTTAAGGCCGGTATACACGGCAGTAGTATAACTCACCGCACAGCGACCAGAGCCATTATATAACTAGTCTGGAAGGCCGTATACTGACCTGTTGTTCACAGCGTCATCTAGTGTTGGCGTGGGTGTTAATTCATAACCACGGCGTCGTCTGCTGTATATTTTAGGCTTCTCGCTGTTAACGGTATTCGAAGTTCGAATGAAAATGGATTTATCTGAGAAAGAAATGCTTGAATTTTTTGACAACGTGAGTTATATAGTACTGATTGCTTATTGAAATAGGTTTTAATCCTGAAAGAATGAATAGTAAGAGTTTATAGTACCGTAGTTTAATATATGAAAGTAAAGACCGTTTTTGTTTTGCTAAAAATTTGGTCAGTATTTTTACATCACATCTGTTTTGATTTATTCAAGCACTTAGGCACTGTTTTAGACCAGATTTTATATATTTCACAGCTTGATGACGAGATAGAAGGAAAATGGGACATATCTGTAGTAGAAATCTACTACGGAAGTGTTGATTGCAAGAAGACACTGCAGACTGCATTGAATGATTTGAACATCACATTAAATCAGGAATCACCACTATGGGCAGATATGATGGAAATTTCTAGGGAAGAATCCAGAAGTAAAATGACAGCTAAATACATTGAAAAATTGCAAAAGCCATATTCGAACAATTCTGAAATCTCTCATTTGGACCTAAAACGCATAATCAAAACTGCAGCACCGAAAATTATAAAAGGAGCGTTTCAAGTAACTGAGCCATTCATGCAAACGTCAATAACCAAAGGCGACTGAAAGGTGATTGAGTACCTAGCTGGGGGATTGCTAAAATGGGGAATAAAGCGTCTAGGTGGAGAAGTTGCTTTCTGGTGCCAATACTAAGCTTCGAGGCGTGATCTTCCCAATTGCTTTGAAGAGCGCGAGAGAGGCGGTCTCATATCAGCATCCGAAACCTTTGTTCTCTTCCTAATTTCTGTGGAACGCGAATTCCGGTCTCAAGCATGCAAAAGGGTAATAGATGATTATTGGAAATATTGACATGGACCTCTTCAGCCCCAGTGAATCCAGTATTATGACCATTCTTGTGGGGAGGTTTATTCGATCAAGGACCCATATCCATTGTAAGACTGAACTGCAGAACAACAATAATCTCATTATTACACTAGAATAAAAATTAGCCAACAAAACAACTTCTACTTTGTGTTCTTAGCATAAGAAATACAAAAAAAATGAAGAATCAACAAAAATGAAGAATCACACAGACCTGGTAGAGAAAAATGACAAATGCACAGACCAATAATTGATAGCTAATTTTAAAACATAGATGCTGTTTCACAAATTTGAATAAAATTATACGAGGAATAGGGGAAACTTTTCAATTTGAATTCAGCTTCTCAAATAGAATTTTTGACAAATAAACCATCGATTAATATTCATATGAAAATATAATTTTGGATACATTATGGTAACTATTATTAAAAGCAGAGACGAGCCAGCCACTAAAATTAGAAAACATATTTAAGAAAATGGACTAGTACTTGTATATAAATCCGTATGCATGTATTTAAGCAGAAAGAAGTCAGCTTCTAGAAATTTATCAATCATTTTCAATCGCAACATTAGAACCAAAAAGACTACTACTCGATTTTACAACATCAATTGATCTGGAGTTTGATTTGAATAAACTAAAGGTGGGGTTTCCAGTACGGGAACCTCGCTCGCGTTGGTGACCAAAATAGCAGGGGTCTCCAATTTAAAACATGTCGCGGGCCACTTTTTGAAATTTATTGGCCACGCGGGCCGCAAACCAAGAAATTAGGAACAAAAATGAGTATCTAAATGTATTGTGTTGAAATTACACTTGAATCTTAAAGCAAACGAGACAGGGGTCTGCAACTACGGGCTCGCGACAAATTTGGGTTGCGAAGCACCCCGCTCTGGGTCGCAAAACAATTTAAATTTGCCATAATTATGAGCATCGCGTCTGTGTAGCGTATTTAGGTATAACAACTATAAGATTCTCCGAATAATTATGGATATTTCCCCGAGTATGCACTTCCTTATTTACTGCGGTGACATTGGCCAATCAGTATAAGTGCAAATTTTGACGTAATAATAAACATTTTAGAAGCGCTCAGATACTTATGCCATTCAGACAGTCTGTCGTGGCTGAATTTTGGATTTCAGTTGCAAAGAAATATCCGGAGTTATTAACTGATGCAATGAATGTTCTGTTGCCATTCGGAACTACCTACTTATGTGAAAGGACGTTTTCATACATACAGAACAAGGCTAGAAGATCTTCGAGTTACCGTCTCCCAAATTAAACCTCAAATTGACATGTTGTGCTTGAAACACAAAGCTTATAATTCGCATTAGTTATAATAAACGATAATATTCATTTTATGTGCTAAGTTTCACATAATTTTATGCAAGAAAATTGATAGGGTCAATAATAGTATTAAAATTGATGAATAATGTTATGCTTACCAAATTCTTGGGTTGCAAGAAATTAGAAAAAGAATTTTTGGGTAGCGCTGAAAAGTAGTTGCGGCCCCCTGCTCTAGAGGGTCTTGGTTCATTCGCCGTGGTAAAACATAGCTCGCATCACTGTCCCAAACAATACGAATAATCGCAGCCATGGAAATAGATGCCATTCTCAAGCCATTTTTTGTGGCATCACTGAGCAGCATTTTCTGGCGATTAACTTCTTCCACTAATGGCCGACTGTATGCCTTTTCTTCCCAATATCCAGGTATTTTAGAATATCTTTCTCAAGCCATTCTGATCTTTTATCATAGATGTTGTAAAAAGGCTGAATTTTCTCTTGTCACTGTCTTGATCATGCACATGGAGACGCATACAAGTGTAGCAGATGTTGGGTCGTGTACCAGGATAAAAATACAATATTTCACATTGAGAGCTGATATATCTGTATTGATACAATACCAAAAATAAATTCAACAAAAATACAACTGAAAAGAAGTATATCTGACTAAATGCAAATATATCTTACCTTAATTTCAAGGAAATTCTGCCATCATCTTCTATTTCTGGAACACTTCTGGGAATCCATGAACTTTTTGTGGAAACAATATCATATCCCAAACTCGGGGTGAGATCAACTAAGTTTTTGAGTAGGATTGAAATTGCTGATGATATTGTGGGAGAATAAACTCCAGCGAAAGCGCAAGAAAAGGAAAATTATTTTTGGTCAAATTGGCAAATTAGAAGGCTCATTTCCGATGTCGCCTGTAAACTGTGATTAGAATAGTATGTGAAATGAGCTTTGTATGTATTGATTTAATGTATTCTCCAGTTTTTCAAAAGCTGAAATTATTTCATTGATGGAATTGTAGTTAATAATTGCAGATTGAGATGATGAAGGTGGACAGTCATTTATAGATGAATATTTGGGAACAATTCTTCCTGGTGGCCAGGGAGGTACTTCATGTGATTTTCTTGGCAACAATTTTGTGGGTGATGCTCCAAACTTATTCCATCTTTTTTATTGGCCCTTTGAATATCTTCATCCTTGAAATTATCAGCACAAATTCTAGCTTTTCCATTCTCAACTTTGCTTTTAAAGTTAGGAGAGTAGCAATATTTAAACACAATCTGGATGCAATAGAAAATCGGTCTTACTACTTACTGAATACAGCGCGAAACACCGCAAACAGCGCGAAACAGTTTGGAAACAGAGGGAAACAGTGTGAAGCAGAAAAAAATTTTGCAATGAGTTCGGGGCACCTTGTTTTGAGTTAGAGTACCACGGCAGCGAATTAAAAACACAAACCAACGTAGGTAGCCAGTAATGCTGTAATGGCAGGTCTGCCCCTGCTGGTGACACATTTTGGGTACCATAATTTAGGACATTTTCCATATGGATATGGTTGGCTATAGGGTTAGGTAAAAAGGGACCTCCAGAAGTATGTACACCAAGATGGCGCACAACCTGAAAATAGTATGTGTGTGTGTGTGTGTGTGTAGCGGATTCAGGTTGTGCGACATATGGCTGCACATACTTCTGGAGCACCAAAAAGGTAGATAAAATTTCGCATGATGACCTATAATCCGGTACATAACCTTGTAAATATGCGGGAAATAGCGCCATAAAACCATGGCGAGAGGCGCCGTAGTTCTTTCGTGGCAGGAGGTGGTAATGACTGCGTCTCCTGTTTTGCGCTGTTTCCCTGTTTTGCGCTGGTTTCCTTCTGTTTCGCGCTGTTTTCCTCTGTTTTGCGCTCTTTGGGGTGTTTCGCGCTGTATTCAGTAAGTAGTAAGACCCATAGAAAATTACTTAGCAATTAATATGTCAAAGTCATAAGTGAGTTAATAAATGGCTAACACTAGAATACAATAAGGCAGAAAATAAACAGTGAAAACTCATGACATCACATACAGCAGTAGCCTACACCATATTTCTGAGATGAAAGAATAAACTTTGCCCTTGATTTGGATAGCCAAAATAAAATACGGTAAAATTGCGGATACCAAAAAAACGTGATGAAACTTTTGTGTCCATTCTTTTAGAGGCATTCCAAATTTCCTTTTCTTACCATCCGGGACACGATGCTTGCTTGGAACCATAATTAACTCTGTACCGGTAACTAAAAAACGAATGTTACCGTACCAGCACCGGAGTTACCAGTAGCTTAGGATAGAATTCTAGACTACCTTTTCTGCATATACAGTCCATATTTAAGTTTAATAATAATAGTTTGTCTTTTTATTTTAGTTTTCTATATCTTGCCAACTTCGCGCAACTTGAAATGTGTAAACATGGCCTGAAAACAATCACACATTACCTGTATCAAACTGCCTGATTCGGCTGTCCAGCAGACGACAGGGGTGTAAAACCCACGCCAACACCAGATGTCGCTGTCAACAACTCGGTGTCATGCAAAAAAGCGAGAGCTTCCAGACTAGTTATATAATGGCTATGCAGCGACTCTCCGCACTGTGCAGTGTGCACGGAACCACAGTTCTGCGCAGTGTACTGTGACGTGAGGTCAGGCGGGAAACGGACTTGTCCTTCGTCTTTTGTATTATTTCTGTTTTGGATATTTTGGGGATCGTTGCAAGATTAATTTTATTAAAATGGGTATCGTATCGCGAAGAAGAATAAGTCGTTTTCGGTCACGGCGCTACAAGCAGTACTTGTACCGACATCAGCTGAAGTTATTGTTTGTGGTTCTCTGTATTAGATTAAAAGAGGATGAGCGCTGTGTCGGCAAGAGATTGTGGATGCACCCAATACTTTGCAGACGAAAGGAACATGGTAATTTTTTTTTACAATACACTAAATGCATACGTCTCAGTCTCACGAAGCCTATACTCACCTTCTTTGCCTCTATTTTCAGGAGAATACTACAGATTGGTTAGGGAGATGAGAATGGAAAGAGAAGCCTATTTTAAACAGTACTTCCACATGACACCATCTACATTTGACCGTCTTTTGAATATGATACTGTGCGATATGTCATCAATTAAGAAACGAAAGTACGAAGATAAAAACAGAGTTGTCAAGTCAGAATGGCAAGAAGAATACGCATTTACCAGTCAGGAGAATAAACCTTTGTGCTCAATCTGCCATAAGCTACTAAGTCAGAATAAAGTCAGCAATGTTAAACGGCACCATGAAACGAGAATCATGAAAACTTCTTACGAGACTACCCTCGTAAATCAGCTAAAAGGAAACACAAATTAATTGAGCTCAAATTGTGCATATATTTGAGCATAGCTGCTTTGTTTATCTATTTATAGTTATTAGACTCTTGTGTGAATTTCTTTTCTGTTCATGGTATTTTATATATATCGACTTTCTTCCCCCCCAGTAAATCCTATCCTATATATATATGCGGGATATGATTACTATGGAGTGTCAGCATGAGTTTTAATGTGACAGGAAACACCTATACCACGGACGTTAAAACTTAAATGTATTTTACAAACAATAATTATATATAACATAGAACACTGTGAAACATTTAAATTGCTAAATATAACAATGAACTAAGTTATAGGGTTCCGCTCCAAATCTTATAAAGTGAACTTAGTAGCACGTTAATAATATATATAAATTAAATATAGATTCACTGCTTTACTAATGTAGTCGACGCAAACTTTTTATGTGTATTTATTCAAAGATATATACTATAGATCAGGTTCGGTGACCACTCAAGTAACGAACGCAGAATGAGCAAAAAGATCTAACAATAAGTGAAATACAATACGTACAGAATATTAAAATATATTTAATGGGCTATGTTTCATGCAAATTAGTCAATTCAATCCCTTTTAAAATATTTGTTAAAAATATATATTTATTTTATAAATTTCCACTATTCAAATATATACATATGTTTTTTATCACTTGCTTTTATCTTATTTTTATTGTGATTGCTTTTATCTAGTCCATATTTGATCATAATTTCCGTAAATTAACTATGAATAAAAAAAATTACAACAAAGTATATATAACGACAAAACCAAAATAAAATAGTTACACAGAATATAGCTTCAATTTCAAAACACCGGAAGTGTATTTTATCAATCAATTGTATAAATCAATAACATCCCATGTCTCTATTATTTATTTACAATACCCAATGTAATATTAGTTTATTAGTTAGACTTAATGAACCTGGAAGATAATTTTACGGAGATCTTGAGAAAATTAGCAACGAGACAAATGAGGTTTCACTAAACAACTAATTACTACGCACGTAAAAATACCAAAGGACTTTGTTGTTTAAAAAATATGCTTCTCCAGAAATTAAAAAATTATGAGATATTTCTACATATGATGAAATCTGTCTTGAAATAGAAGCAAACTATGAAGAAGAGCATGAGCTATTTCCGCCAAATATATATTTCAGGTTATGAAGCGAATATATTATTTTGGCTGCACGAGATATCAGTTTAAAACCCGGGCGTGCCTTTGTCTTGCATGTGCCATTACAAAAACGAGCAATACTTCTTGACATTAGCTTACACTTGTTTAGGTAGTCGGGATTCTGTCTTTTTATTAATTAATTTTAGAGAATTACGTGTTAAGGTTCTAATCCAATATAGTTGAAGGACGGGTGAGGACTAAAATACACAAATAAAATATAAAGAAAACACGTCCCCGTTCGTAACTACATAGAGAATAGTTACAACATATATATGAATATAATATACGAGAATTCTCCGTTGAATCGTGAGCTATGTTATTTAGCAGATGGTACACATTTCAGATCGTTGAGACTCATCATCCGAACGCGTTTCCGTGATGTTTTCTCTAAGTTGCAATGCAGCAGGTTCATAGGCGAACTTTTGTTCTATTGGAGGCAGAACGATTTTACTGCTTTGGGTTGGTAATGCATGCTCAATATTGATCATCTCTTTTGGTGAACGACGATTTACCATGCTTCCGTCATCTAATGGAGGTAGATTTCTGTATTTTGAGTAGAGCTCCGTACGATTTCCTCGTCGTTGAGACACAGAAGAGGTTTGCTTTGTACTGCTGACAAGAATTGGCTGAGCTCGTCCATTCGGTGCCATTTGATGTCCATTGGAATCTATTTTTCTTTCCAAGCATGATTTTTTAGAAGCCAAAACGTTCAAAGCGCGGATAGTCTTTCTCGTTTTTCCAAGTTCAGAAGCCTCAATGTTACGCTTATCGCCATCATTGGGGGGGACTGACATATGCACGTCGACGATTTCTTTTGTTGTCGTGTATCCATGTGAGCTATTTTTATTCCCTTCTTTTTTTGGGTATACTTCCTTGTACTCCTTTCCAAAAGATTTCTTAGATCTTCTGTGTTGGGTTTCAACACGAACTCTTGATGCGAGAATGTCAATGGCGCTATTAGCAAATTGTGTCGGGCATGGTGGTGCAATAACAGAAGAAGACTCCGGAACAAAGTGGTTTGGAGAAATATCATCGGCTACCTGAAATTTATTTAATTGAATCATAATGAATATAAATAGAATGAATCATATCATAATAATTAATTATCTATATCATAAAAAGATAGCAATTTCGATGTCTTCGTCGAGTCATCATTGTGAGTTTATTAATTACGTGAAAATAGTGTTATCGAATTAAAATTTTACCATCAATTGACCTGTTTTGACTACTTTTATTTTTTGTAAAAGTTTTGAGATACTTTCGTTTGTACGAGACTTTAATTCTTTCATACTAACCGGCGGGATGGGAGAAGCACGAACATTGACCGCATCGTCCACAAAAATTTTTCGCTCTCCTGAATGCGTTGACAACTTGATGGCACTTGTCTCAACGTGTCCTTGGAAATGACATGAATCGACTAGTTATGCTTGTAAATATATTACAGCGTAATTATTGTTTCGTTTGCACAAAAGCATTGTATAAATACTTTTGTATAATGTCTATTTACTAATTCATATTATGTATATTTTTACTAATTTCTCCGTAGTTTTTCTAATGTATCCAATTGATAGGAATATTTAAATACCCTTAGTTGTAATGTCAATTTCCTCAGGATAGGTATAAGCTTGTTTTTCTTCTTCGCTTTCTTTCACTATATCCGATTGTCTCGAAGAATTTCTCATGGCTGTGAAAATTATAAAGAAATATTCAACATGTTGCAACTTGCAGCCTAGTTTGATAAATCATTCCTAATAACAGATACTCACTACATTGAAGAACAATTTGGCAATTGATGGCCGTAACCTCTATCAAAGTAGTTAGGCAAGGCTGGGGTTGTATCCTCCGTTATTATAGAAGTGTGTCTTTGTCTACTTTGGCCCCTTCTGGGAATTACTATCAGTGTAATTCCTTTTTTTCTCAAGCAAAATTGTTGGCGCTCCAGAAGTATGTGTACCAATATGGAGGTAACTCATTTTGTTCGCCTACTTTACATCAAGTTGTGTAAAGGGACTGAAGCCTATGGACAGGGGGTATATTCACTTGGCCAACACAGACAGTCCCCAAACTCATATTAGAACTAAAATAAGGAGAATCGGAATAACCCTAACCTGGTACACACACTGCGGGAGTACCCAATTGGTAACTATCTTTACTTACAACTGAGCATGTGAGTTTTGTCTCTCGGTTTACTCTTGCGTGGTTGGTTCGGGCTGAGAGCGACAGAGTGACATTCTTGATAAGCAACCATTTCTTTCGTTTGTATGTCTACAATTTCTTTCAACGCTTGTCTGAAACTCTGTTTTAGAAGAAATCAGATTGGACAGGAAAATAGTACTATAGATTCATATCTCACTTTAACAACAAATATTATTTTTCAATACCAGGCGCTTCAGAAGTATGCGCACCAAGATGGCGCACAACCTGAACCTAACCTGGTATACATACTATGTTCAGGATGTGCGCCATCTGTGTACATATACTTCTGAAGCGCCGATTTGAATATATATATGTGAAACTGTGATTCAATGTTCATATTTATTTTCCGAAATCTTTTCGGTTTAACATTGTCTCCTAATTTATTATTATCACATCTTCTATAGCAATTTTTCAAAATTGATTGTTGATTGATTCTTAACCTAACTTAGCAAGAACATAATATTTTATGTGAGCAATTTAACCAGATAAATTACCATTGAATTCTCGGAGTCATAAATACATCTATCGTTTATAGGTGTTGGAGTTTCAAATGAAGTATTCTTTTTAGAAATCATTGCAGGGAAATGTTGGGTAGTTTCCACGTCCTCCTGTGGAACGGATTTAGGAAATACTGGAACATCCAAAACTGGGGATATGTCCAAAACAGGATGAAGAATCTTCAGTGCTTTCTTCTGATCACTAGGGCTCACCCCCGTTGTTTGAGAAACCAGACTTTCCGCGAAGCTGAAAATGACATCAAATATAATTATGAGTATTGTAATGATAGCATGGTTTCAAAGTATTGAAAACAACGACTTGATATAATTTTAAAAAGAAACCAAAATTAAATTAAAGGAAAACCCAAGCGCAGTAGTGTTGCTTCGTTTAATTATGTCTCTTCCTTTCAGCCAGTAAGTTCGCATCTGTCCTTTTCCCTGTAAATTGATTCACAACGATATTAACAATGTAACTTGACTTTACATGTGAGCGTTGCCCGCAGTACATTCCAATTTTTAATTGGCCATAGCCATAAATTAGCATTGAAGTTGTAACACTCACAATGCGATTCTAGTTGATTTTGACCGACAGAAATTGAATTTTTGACTCACATACTTTCAATAAAAAAGGAAGAAAAATTCTTTTGTTATTAGCTTATATTGAAACGACGTCATGCTGTCGTTGGCGACATACCTTTATGTATATCATTCCTCGATCTTCAATTTTGTAGGATCCTGTAACCATCAGCCTGTCTCGAACCGTTTTGCTAATGTGTATCTCACACCCTTCCCCACAACTCTCCATTCGCGATGCGGTATTTACGGTGTCTCCGAACAAGCAATATCGAATCATCTTCTGTCCAACAACACCAGCAACAACTCCACCTGAATGAATACCTGTGGCAACGTATGACAGTTCTTACTATTTCAGCTTTCTAGCTTGATTAAAGTTGATCAAAATAAAGGTAAAGTAAAAAGAGTATGTGAAAATAATACAGTATATTATTATAACAATAATTGCTGCACTACATGTCTTGGAACAGGCCTGCCCAACCTTTTATTGTCGCGGGCCACTTTCGCATGAAAAAAATCATTGCGGGCCGCAAACGTTTTTACCAATACCAGCCAAGTTCTGATTTGCGCTTCGCTGAATCAAACACTTGTATTGCACAACGCTCTAGCGGATTTCTGAATACCCGAATACGTTATAGCTTTTTTATTAACTGGGCCGTTTGGTAATATCGGATCATTAGCAATACAAGTACCTAATAAAACAACGTTTCTAAGATTTCCGAACGGATATATTTATCTGAATATTCAGAAATAGCATTAAGTTAATCTCATCAGGATTTTTAACGGATACGCAGCGACTAAATTTCAGAAGTTTTATTTAACGCATAAATAACATAGACACGATAGAAAAATACAAACAGAAAAAATACTACGGATACAGTAGCAAACATATTGTCCCCTTTTGATTTTACAGCGGAGATAAGGACGATCAAATTCGACACAAAAGATAATATTCATAATGAAATTAATTTAGAAATGGGGTAGGAAATGGACTCCTATAACTTTCCTCTGCGTCTCGTGGTCAATAAATAATCGCACAATAGTATTCGAGTTGCCGAACAAAACGCGCAGCTCTGCGAGAAATAAATATACCTAACATCGATGCAGTGGCGTAGCAAGACTCTCGTGCCCCCCCCCCCCCCCCAAAATATTTCGTGGAAATGACCCTAAAAAATCTCGGACATAAGCTAAGACAACGCTGTTTTTTTATTTCGTCAAAAAGCACAACATGTCGCTAAAAAAAGGCAATGGTAACCTAAAATTTGCTGTTCATCTTGGTTACTTTATTTTTTTTATTCGTTCCTCCTCTTTTGCCCTTTTCTGCGTTTCTGTGCGCCAATGTGAGGTTTTTCTTTCGAGATCATTCTGACAGCCTTCGTAATTTTGCCGGTGCGATCAAATCACAAGACGCCGAAAATCGTAGACTCCCTGGCATTGTTACGTAACAAAACGATTTGAGCAGAACTAACATCTACGTTGTAAGATGTGCATTACTTGGTTTGCACTGTAGCTTTTGGTTTGCGGCTTAAATTTCCAAATTCTAACCGCTTGGGCCCCTTTGCGCTGTGGGCCCTCCCGCGACCGTGGGGGTTGCGGATGTGGATGCTACGCCACTGCATCGATGTACACACTTGGTGCATGTGTGATAAGGGAACCGACATTTGAATGTAGATGATCGGAACAAACTCACCAAATTCATGAAACATACCTTATCCTATATAAAATATTGTATCTTAATTGTAAGATATCGTTGAATAAAATGTTTATTTAAAAACTTCCATATGATGGGAAATATTGAAGAGTATATAATGTTTTTATTGTTACCTATTCTTATGCGTATTGAAGCACCGGTCCACGGATCTTTCAGATGACGAATGCCGGCTTGCATTTCCAGTGCCATGTCACAAATATGCTGTGCATGCATTTTCGTTCTTACTGGGGCTCCAGATACAGCCATATAACCGTCGCCAATTGTCTCAACCTTGAACACGTCATACCTTTCAAAATTTAAAAAATGTGTATCCTAGTCCTAGAGAATTGTTGCTGTATCTAGAAAGTTTCAAACGCGTCGGTGGAGGTTCTCCATATTCCTTCCAGAGAACGTATTCAGGAAATTCAATGGGTGCTGTGGCAGTACTGTTATCTATCTCCGTTATCACAAAGTTGCTAAATTTGCTAAGCATATTTTATCACTTTTCATTGTATACAATTTTATCGAAGAGTTGGTTTACAATAACAAAATAAATTATAAAATAAGTTATAAAAGATTTTTTCGAGTGATATGAAATATAATTATCTACACGTTGAATTGTTTTGGGATTATTGGGATTAACATTTACCTCTCGCTCAATATGTCAAACACAGTATAGATCTGGTTGAGAATTGCAACAACTTCCATTGGAGTTATCCGACTACAAATATTGGTGAATCCGACAACATCACTGAATAGTACCGTGACTTCAGGAAAAGTCTAAAAAATGGTGCCAAACATTAGCAATCTAAATTAAGAAGTTTTAGCGTTTATGAGTAATATCAAAACCTAGGAGCTATGTCCGAATCAAATCTCTTTAGCAATAACAATTATGCTAATCTCAATTGAACTGCATATAAAATGAGAAGGGTTATCGCCGTAGTGAGGGATACAAATACCAGATTATAAGCAAGACTATACCTCAGCAATGTTGATCGGACTTTCTCCCTTTTTTAATCGTTCAGCAATTTCGCGTGGTATCATTGAAAACAGCAGGGCGTCCGTCTTTTTGTTTTCGTTGTCCAATTCCCCAAGCGTCTCTTCTAATTTAGAGTTCTTTGCTTGTTCCTTTATAAAATGAGTATGTATATTGTATACTATGTAATCTATGTTATTCAGAGAATGCTGGTGGTTGAAGCGAGGACAAGGAAAATGGTAGTTACAAAATATTACCATATCTAGAGCAATCTTCAACTCGGCGTTTTGTTGTGGTCCAGCAGCAAGCAACACTTGAACAGAATCTTGAAAACTCAGATCGCTGATGTAAAGTCCTATATCATTCATCGTTTCCAAACTTTCAAATCTACAAATAAGATGTAACTTATGACGTGAGTACGTCACTTCTTATCATACATTCAAATCATTCCACAGAATCTTTACATAAGGATTTTTCTAATATTTAATTCGTTCGATGAATTTTGTTCCGAACTCAATGATGATAATAAGATTTGGATTTTTAGATATTTCCGTTAACGACAATTTTAAGCACTTTTGCTACAAAAAATTGCATGTATTTTTTCACGCAATTCGATCCGAAATTATTTTTAATAGATGCGGTTTGGAGATAAATCGAACTCAAGATATCGGTGTTTCAACGTGTCGTGGACAAGTGATCAAAACGGGACAATTGATTCTAGTGGGGCACCCGGGACAAGACATTTTTGAGACACCCTAGAAGAAACAAGAGTTTGGCGAAATTGGAATACACGTAAATGGCAACAAAAATGAGGAGTGGTAGAATTTTTCAAACCAAACTTTTGTCTTGGGATATGTGAAGATTTGTTCGCCATCATCCAATACATGATCAGGCATGGATCAAATTGTTGGTATCAATTATTAGAAGCGTTAAATAAAAAGTTATATACTCACACGGGTGTACACATGAATATGACAGAGTTCCAACTCTTAAGATAAGCAGTTGTACCTCGCAGTTTCAGTGGAGGGGAGTCGTTTCTATTTGGTGGTGGTGGTGCATTCGCTGGGTCCAAAATTTCTTTGAAATAAATGAAAAATTTTGAAATATAATATACACAAATATAAAGCATATTACATTGATCTTCATCGAGTATTTAAATAAGTGAGGACAATATAATTTAATAAAAGGAACGCCTGCAATAGAAATGTTTATGGAATAAAAATAAGTCAAACATGTTGAATTCTTAATGGATAGTTATATACAATTATACCTTGGGATCTCAAATATTCTTCGTATTCCGCCCATAAAGCAACGGTTGAAGTCATTTCAACAAGAACATTCACTGGTCGATGTCTCATCTGAAAAATATTTTACGATAAAAATGTAAAATTTTACGTAATAAAACTTTATAAAATTATTTTTATATACCTCAAGCATATAATTTACTCACAAAATCCCAGTTGAAAGAGATACCAAATGGCTTGGTAAGCACAAAAAAATCGGTTATTTTCTTTCCCACTAACGTCGGAAACGATTTCACAACTCCTGCTCCACAACTTAGTACTTCCATACTCTGAAAATATTTTTAACATGCTGATATAAGTGATAATTATTTGCATAAATATTGTTCATATTATGAGCCATGTATGAGAATCTGATGTATATATAGAAAGTTTAATGCATAGGAGGCGAGGTCAGGATATAGCCCCTGAAGAACAATTTTGTCACGAATTCTGATTTCAGAACTTGTAATGATCTCAATTGAAACTGTTGATTAAGATATTACCTCACTAAAAATAATAGAGAACGGAAACGAATTGAAAACAACGTCACTGTTAACCGTGAGTGGAGTTTCTTGTCTCAGTTTTCGAAGTACTGGCATCCATGGCCCCTGGATTCCAAGAGTGTTGTTGGCGTACGTAACTCTGAAATAAAGATTCAGACATCCAGTACTTTTTAATAACGATAATGAACATGTTATTCTGCACTTTATTACAAGTGTACGAACCAAAAGGAATCCGTGGATCCAAAACACCTATTTTTTCGTATACACAGCTTGAAGTTTTGAAACCCAGCTCAAATCCATCACGCTAGGACTAACTGGGCTGACCTTCTTCAGACCATTGAAGTTCGCACCAGTAATGACTAATGAAGCGTGAAACAGTCATCACTAACGTGAGTGGACTTTCATCTTTATGTGATATTTCTTATTCCGCGTTAGATATACCGTTAGAAACTGTTGAGTGTGGATCGCTGAGTTATATTAATAGTAATAAATTTATAGATGGCCAATCACAAAATGTAGGCCTAAGTAGTTGAATATTATCCATTCTGTAATTATAGCACCGTGCCTGTATATTGCGTGCATCCCACCCTCCAGAAGCTCTTCTTTCACTACTGTAACTGAAAAGTTAGCCATCTCATAATACGTTATTGCAGCACTTGTGATCATACCACGAACATAATGAACAAAGGCAGGATATTTTCGTGGAGTATGATAGTGGAAAATTAGCCCTTCGTCATCTTCTTTCTCAACGTAGAAGCTAGATGGAATAAAACCGCGATAAACAAAAGCACACAAATGTGGCACACAAGATATTTTTGTAGGAATTATGCTCAAATTGAATAACCCACGGCATAAAAAGTTTATTCCAGATATTAGGATATTAATTTTACAGAAACCTCATGTTACATCGATTAAAAAAATGGAAGGTGTGTCACAAATTCGTTATTTCAATATATTTATTTATATCTATGTACATAGTATTTTTTCGCTAAGAACTATAGCCTTCTCTCAATGAGGAGGTTCTATAACAATTAAAACTTTGGCAATTTTCTATAAATTTATCATTTCCGAATTATAATTGGATTTCTATATATTTCAGCAATGCTTTGCCATGAAAAATGGCGTTTGAAAGTAATACGGTGACTCGTGGTAGTATAAAATGAAACCATTCCGTCGTGAAACGTTCCGATCTCATTATTTTGTTTTCTAATTTTATGTATATATGTATAGTATACCTTGGTGGTTTTATTTCCTTGTATAAGTTACTAATGTAATCATGAAGATTATCGAGTCCATTGATAAAATCACACAATTTTCTTCCTAGTACTTTAGTTACTTGATCATATCCGTACCCAGCGACGAAGGTCATGAAGTGTGCGCCAAACTAATAGAAAAAAAAAATTGCCGAGTGTTCCATTTATAAATACAGTGCATGCCAGAGAGAATTTATTAATATATATAACGACATTTAGGATTTAGGCTACATATTTATCCCGATGTTCGATGCCGGGGGGTCAATTCAATAGCGTGGGATATTTCAAAATAATCTTTTGACTGAGATTAGCACAACGGACTGCTGTACAGAACTCAATCGTGTAGCATATCTCACCCGTTTCGCCATCTACCTCTAATTATCTCTAAACTCTCGCCTCGTCCATATTGTATAAGTTGTGTTAGCACTGATATATCTCCATTTAGTGCGATTGAAATTTAGGTGCACCCGAAGTATTCGTACGAAGATGGCGCACAACCTTAACATAGTATGTGTATCAGGTCAGGTTGTGCGTCATCTTGGTACGAATACTTCCGGAGCCCCGAAATTTATACTGCCTAAACATATTTTCCTGACCGTTTGTAAACATTTAGTTACGTTCGGAATACCAGATTGCGGGTTACTAAATTATAAGTCGAATAAGATTAAAATTTCAATGTTGCATAAGCAAGACTCATACAAACCTTGAACATTATATCGTTTTCGCTCAAGAATATAATTTTTGATAACGTTTTTGCCACCCTTTCAATGTGAACTTCGCTGTAGACCTGAATATAGAGAGAATAGTTGTTATTATTCGGGGAACATCCAAAAAATTTCCTTACCACGTTTTTGCACATTGCATTCGATTGTTTTTCTATTGCAATTGTGCATCTTATTAGGTGTTGCTGACCCCTATATCCCATTTTTATGCTTAACAACTCATTTATTTTTGTACCAATTACTTAAAAAAAGGTTAATTAAATATAACTCGCGTAACGAATTTGGTATGGGGCACGTAAATACATAATGCCTTTTATTTCAGTGCATTTTATTAGTTATTCCTTATATATTGCGTGTTATTATGATATATTTAATCACTACTTTATATATAAAACTTGTTCTAGATCTTACATTGTGTATCATAAATCCTCCCCATCCAATGTCGGCCTGGTCCACAACTGTCAGCCAAACAGTGTCACCCCACTTTTCTCGAACGCAGTCGGCAACACTCTCTAACACTAATCCGTACATTATGTATCCAAATACAGTACAAGCTTGTCTCGAAAAGCTGCACTGAACAAAATCAAAGTTACAGGAAGGTGAGGTATTGCCGAAAAGACGCTGAAATGATCGGTGTATAGCTCCGTTTGCCTCTCTGTCTGCTTTTCAGTGAAAAAAATCTCAAAAAATGTACGTGTGAGTTATATATACAAGATAATTTTATGGGCCTGACATTTATTTTATAATTCAAACAAAAATAAAATAAAAAATTTGTTTTTGCGGTGTTAATTTTTTTTTTGTACAGTTATGCTAAACAGGAACTATGTTTTTATTCCCCAATTGAGCCTTTTTAGAAACCCATGTATTTTTCGCGATACCTTTTAATCAATTTGTTATTCTAATTATCTGTTATCAACGACATCCAAACGTAAACAATCGCGGATAAAATCTATTATCAAAAATAAAATATGATATGTCGAATGAATTTCAATGTTAGAGTTATCAATAAATTTTGCGGCTTCAAGCGTCATCAATTGTAGAACCCAGTACGCAAGGAAACATTCGTTTTGATACCTGCAACTAACAGTTTATATTTCAGTAGCAATTGACTGAAATTAATCGAACAAAATTAATGATGGTCTTAATATCTTTCAATTACATTTACGTCAACGTTTCTTCAGGAGAAATGCAAGCGTTTTTTCCCTCGTAAATTAACAAGTGATGGTGAGGTTAATTTCTGCGATCTGTATCAAATTTACGTTTATTTTATATACATGTTTCCAGCACCTGCCTTTTCTTTCATTCCCTTATATTCACTTTATTCCAATGCAAGCTCATATAAATACTGAGTATTGTTGCTGTTTCCACTTTTCTGAACATCGTGGAATGACTCCGACAGAACAGGTGTGTAAAAAGATTTTTATAGGTTGGCATTTGATTAACATCTGTGGCTGATTTGCAGATGGCGGGAACTGTCACGAACAGAGATCCACCGGCAAAGAAATGCCTGTTTTTGAATTATTACGTGAATAAAATTCAATCGATATTGGGCAGAAGGACGAAAAGCGAAATGGACTAAATATAAATGCCTATATAATGTAATTTTCAACTCTTTTTTTAGGAATTTGACGAATTTAACTTCTTTATATAAAAGAATCCAATATTGACACATGCCGGAATTTTGAAGACGTTTCGTGATTTCAGGGAAATGTGAAATAAAGTTCAAGTGCAAAGTCATTCTTGCTAATGTGAGCAAGTCAAGTATGATATATCGTTTTCAAAGGTGGTTCATTTTAGTTCACGTATTACAATTTTACCAACATTGCAGTTCTGAACTGATTTCTGTATTATATTGTTCTTGTTCATCATTTTAATACTATCTCGTTCGAGTATCGTTGTGGCAACGTAGGAACGGCAGTTCAATACAATATTATAGTACTGTACACATACTTTCGCTTTAATTGTAAAAAACACTGAATATGTTTTGTTTTCTAATTTAATTTTACCTATCATCAAATCTAAAATTTGGGGAATCTTTATTTTATGTAACAAGAAAGCGAAGGTGGCGTAAGAACAGCGGTGCCGGTAGCTTACGCCTTACGCGGCTCAAACGGAAACGTGCCAGAGACAAAGTTCGCAAAATCAAAATGGAGAACAGACTTGACCGAATAACAAGGTGTTCTCCTGGATAAAAATAAAACAGCGATGTAAATGTAATTACAGATCTCACAGATAAAAGTAATGGACTTCTAGCGACAACAACAATCTTTAACCACTGAAAATTTCAAACCAATTCTGTTTGAATCTGTCTTTTAAATCTAAAACTAGTGTGTTTCTTGGAAGTAATACAGGAGGGCCCACATATATGCAAAAGAAACTCGCGCATCGGTACATGAGGAATATTTGACACAAAGCGTTCCCCGTGAATTGAAATAAAACTTCAAAATATGACTGAGATTAAACGTGATGAACAAAAGGGTCGCCTTCTAGTAGCTTCTATCATCTATAAATACTGAAAATGTGGAATGAATTAGTTGCAGCAACAACAACGAAAATATAATCAACAAAACGATACATAGTTCTATTTGGTGTCCACGAACAGCATGTATTTCACTCATGTTAATAGTAGTTTGTTGTTATTACTAAGTATATTAAAAAAATCAGTAGATGCAAAAGCAAAACGTTGGAATTGAATAAACACCGCGCTAAAATTGACAATAACTGTGTTTTCCTATGCACTTACAACTGATGACCATTAAATGCATATGTCGTTAGCTCTTGGTATTCGGCTCACTTTTGTGGAAATTAAGAATCACCCCAATTCACTTTAAAATTCCTTCACGTGTATCAACATAATTCGTTTTTATTATATTTATGGGATTCTTAGACGACATTAAAAAGGTAAAATACAAAAACAGCAATGATTTCTGTTGCAAAAATATCTCATAATATTGAATACTTCCTTCAAGAACAATCAAGTCCTGCTGACATCATTGTAAACACTACCCATTGCCGTATTCAAAACAGTATTGAATATACGCGTTGCTTAGTTTGGTCCACAATACTGCCTTTACCGCACATAAATTTACGTGTAAGCGATTGGAGTACTATTGAGTCAAGTTTTTGTTCATAGAAATGAGCCACAAAACAAGATACCGGTGGTGGATATGAAATTAATTAATAGTTTAGTCGTATTGTTAGAAAATCATGATATATATATACCACAATTTAGTACAAATTTTATTCAGAAAACTGAGGTAGCTCATATTCAGTGAAAAATTATAAATATTATATCATGTGACAGTAACTAAATCAGTGACACCCGTTAATACATCACTACTATTTCTCTGTTTAATAGTTCCTTGAACCTTTGTTTTTTGCTTCAAAAATGGTAGTAATCTGGTCCTCCAGTCGGGAAATGATGCTATTACACAGACTGTTGCTATTAACAACATGAAGTCGTAAATTAATTGACGAAATATTGCAATTATCAAGTCTGAAACAAGCATGGCTATTAGTGCGCCGATACCATCGCAGCATATCGTGATTACTGCCATTATAGTTGTTCTTTTTAATAACTTTATCATACCGGAACAATCTGCATTAATGTTCTTAGATTTGTGTTTACGCTTGAGTAATGGATAGGCAAAGAGTCCCATCAAAATTATTTGAGATGTTGCGGTACACGAGAATAGAAACACGCCTGGTAGTTTCTTTGGAATGTGAGAATACTCCACCTTGCACCCAGTGGATGAGCTTTTGTATCCCCGTGTTGCGATAAACAGCAAAATGCCTACCGCGTCTCCAACACCCATTATTAGCTCTATTGAAAAGCTCAGGATTCTCATCCCTTTATTGCTCAGATATTTTGAAGCAGGCGATTCGTAAAACACTCTTTGACGCATCCAAAGTACTATATATATAGGACTGGCGCAGAATGCGTAAAGTATGTTTTTCACGACACGTAAACTGTTGCACGCTTCGTCATTGTCGAAAGAATGACGCAACTCCACGCCTTCTAAGCATTGACGTAGAACAGTAAAGACAGCGGTAATTATTATCAAATATCTCATTCTATCCGATGTCTCATTCCTCTCAAACTTTATCCTTCCTCGATGTCCTTTCCACTCGTACATAAGAGTAACAGTGAGAATGTAAACGCTCCAGACCAGCAGAAAAGATGCAAATACAATTGCTGCCAACCACTGACGAAATATTTCATGTTCACTCGGATGATAATCCGTTTTGTTAGAAGTAGTAGACTGATCAGAAATATCCATACCTGCCGCTCCAATATTAAAATTAATATTTTAGTTTTGACTTAAATCACTAAATAGCATATCTCTTTATAATAATATTTCTCTATTGAAGTCATACAAATCGTGTAAAAGTTCATTGAGCAAATAATTAGTTTAGGTTTATTCATACACAGGAGTCCTCTAGTATCGAACTTTGTTTTAATTATGAATAACTTCGAGCTAAAGTACACTTTCGACATACTATTTTGATAGAAAAACGATGTGCATCATTGCATCTAAGCAGGGGTGTGAAACATTTTTGTGGGTGGGCCATATAACCAATTTCAGACATCTAGATGGGCCACACAAAAAATTTAGTACACAACAAATTAAAAAATTTGAAACGAATTGAACAATAAAACGAATTAAAATTACAATAGCAAAGGGACCGGGCAAAACGGCGAAAGATTTGACGTAGCGACGACAAGAGCAAAAAACATTTTGTATTTTTGGTGCTCAAAAATACAAACATTTTGTATTTTTTTACCAGTGTGGGCGCCCTTTTAAACGTAAGCGACACTGTCAAAATAGGATTTTATGCTTGATGGGGAGTGTTGACAAGAGTCAATTTAAATGGCTTGGAAGGCCGGGTTGTGGCCCGCGTCCGCTTGTTGCACACCCCTGATCTAGAGTCTAGGACAGCGTTTCCCAACCTTTTTTGGTCGCGGACTATTTTCTCACCAGCGGAAGTCTTCGCGGACTCAATGCGCGTTAATTGTGTAACCGAACTCTGTGTGAAGAAGCACTAAAACCAAAAACAACAGAATTTTAACGAAATCAGTTTATTAACCACAGTTACAAATTTCAATAGAAACCTTGTCCCTGAACTTGCACTACTAGTTTGTCGAAATCAGGGCTTATATTCGTCAACGCACATCTAATGTCATCTTCTGGTTGCAGTTGATTACGATACTTGGTTTTTATCATAGTAAGGGCTGAAAACCCAGCCTCGCAAAGATAAGTTGTTGGAAAGGGTAAAAGAGCTTTCGTTGCCTGCCAACAGAGATCAGATAGATTTGGTTCTCTTGTTTGTACTTCTGCCCAAAATTGTGTGAGAGAAACATTTTTAAATTTGTTTCTCCATAGCTGTCGACTTTGCAGCTCAACCAGTTGTTCAGCAATGCAGTCCGTTTCTGGGTGAACTTGTAGGGCTGACACCTCGAAAGGACATCAAACCCAGTTAAACGTTCTGTAATCTGCTATAATTGTGCGAAGGGATATATCTATCCAACTCGGAAAAAATGAAGGAGGATGCTCGAGAAATATTGGACGGATGTTGTGGAAATTAAATTCTTCATCTTCTGCAAATGCGTTTAAAGTCAGAAACGCGGCTATCTTTCCATGTTCCATTCGATGCACCCACAACTCCATTTTAGCTTTAAATGCAACAATGTCCTCTGATACATCCAAAAATATTTTGTTTGATTTGCATAGAGGTGTTTAGTTGATTTAAATGGTTGAAGAAATCTGCTAAGAATAACAACTTTGCAATCCACTCGTTATCGCTGAATCGCTTTAAAAGTTCATGCTTTTAAAAAAGCACCGACTTCACTGCGTAAGTTAGCTACTCTCTCCAGCACTCTTCCTCGCGATAGCCAACGGACGTTCGAATGATGCAGAAGTCCACAGTGTTCAGCTCCCATTTCGTCACAAAACACGCGAAAGAAACGAGTGCACAAGGGGCGGGATTTTATGTAATTAACAACAGATACAACCTTCTGGAACACTGAGGCCAGATTTTCTTGAATCTCTTTTGCTGCCAAGTTTTCTCTGTGAAGATAACAATGAACAATTAAAATGTCATTATTTTCCTTTTTCACGAAACTCATAAAACCTTTTTTAATACCCATCATTGATGGAGCCTGATCAGCACAAGCAGACGCGCAATCAGTCCACGAAAGCTGATGCTTTTGAAAGATAGAATCCACTTTTTTAAATATTTCTTCTCCCGTGGTATTTTTGGAAAGCGGACGACAAAAGAGGAAATGTTCCACATAGTCGTCGGCTGCACGACAACGTACAAACAACATAAGTTG